TTTAACCCTCAATGGTTACATTAGTTAAACTGGGTAACAGAACAATCGGTTAATTCCTCAGAGTAAAGCGAGCATACACGGCAATGGAAAAAGTTATTTAAAATGTATGTGACAATATTCATACGAACAGTAATGAAGAAACATGTCCTGAAAGCAAAATTAGACCTTAATGAATTCATTGGTAAGATTATGCAATTAACAAAATGCCTTGGAACAATGGTTCGCGGTAGTGTGCCTGCTTGTCTAACAAATGTATATCAATTGACTAAGGGCTTTAATACATTTGCGGGCAAGATTCTGTGATGAAAATAAAGATTTTAACACAATAGTATCCCTGTGTGTGTGTAGATTCGTAACATAGATGGTTATAAATGTTTCATAAATTAATTCATTGGTACAGATTATCCAATTAACAACAAGAATGATTAAAATACTTCTAAACGACCGTATCTACGTAACTCAATGGGCAGCAATGCTTTACACCCTTTGGCCACCTTTTTTAAAAAACACATAGAGAACTTTGGAGTAATCTTATTAGTCCCGATATATCCGTTATGTGTGTGTTGGTGTATTGTCTGTTTGCACAACTCTTTGCATTAAGCAGACGCCGAGGTGGGGCGTTTCTTGGACCAAAAATGTGTTGGTTCCCTGCTGAGCGATGAGTCGTGTGTGTGTGGGTGGGCATGTCATACACACGGCGCTCTCGCTCTCTTGGCGGCAGCTGCAGGCCTTTTTGCTGCTGGATGAGCTGAGTCGGCACGACACTTGTCTTTGAAAGTGCACGATTGCGCTCACAGCTCGTCCGCTGGTCGCCGGTGCCGATACTCTTGCTCGGTTGCGCCCGTCACGCTCTCTCCCTGCTGCTGGTCCTGTGCGATGCTCGCTTGGTCAATACTTGGCGCTTTTCTGCCCTTTCTCCAGGTTGATTGCTTGTCGTTGCTCGTCACTCTTTCTCTCTCTTTCTCTCTTGCTGCAGCTGCGAGTGGGAGCTGGCACTCATTGGAGAATAAAACTTTTAGTGATGCTTCGTCTGTCAGCGCCGAACTCGTACTCGGTGACACACCGCGACTCTGCAAGCCTCGCCATCCTTGGTCGATTGCGGGGCCCGACCCCGGAGCTTGCCGCAGCAAGATTCAGTTGCATGATCTGTGTCCTTGCTTATATGTGAAGTTCTCCCACCTCCGCTCGCCTCCTCACAAGGGACCGGAATTACTTTGATTTCGCTCTCAGCCTGTGGGAGCAACTGTTTGTCCTGTGTGCGTGTGCCTGTTGAAGTAACTTGTTGTCTCATCAAGGCCTGGTTCCTGTCCCCTTCCTCAAGTCACCCCGCCATCAGTGGAAACAGATGCTCCAAATTGCCCCAAAGTGCGTCCTTCCAGTCCTCCAACCCTCTGCAATAATTAATCTGGAAGGAGGGGGGGCGTTCTCGCCCCTCTTGCCCCACGGCTGGGGGTGTTACATTATTCTCTCTCTCAAAAAGGGCCACTGTGGTCTTTGAAGTCGTGTTCTCTCGTGCACCGGTTGAAAGTTCAAAATTCTATTTTACCTCTTATAGCTTGATACCGTACCACTTTTCGCAGTTTTGACTCTGTAAGTGACTCATGATATGTTTTGGGCAATGTTTACAGTACTTCCGTTTGGAATTCCTTAATGGTGTTTGATATCTCAAGGGGAGGCGCCCTCCCTGCGTATGTAATGTATTTCTACCATGTGCTGCTGGGAGACAAAGGCGGTTTGGAGACTCTGAGTCTATGGAATACACATTATCTTGGTCGTGTGTGATTCACCTGTTTCGCATTGTATTTCTTCTGGGTGACCCTCGGTCTAATACTTCATAATTATTATTTGGTTTATGTTTAACCAAGATTTGTGATGTACCATAGTTGTTACCTCAGGCATTCTGAGGGTTTTATTAGGCTTTGTTCTCCGACCGTGTCCACGGATCCGTGCTTGTTATTCTCGAGTTGTATTTTGATATCCTGAGGTTTGAAGATATGGCTAAGTTTTGACTGAGACTTTGGTGACTGCCGGAATTAATTCTTTGTTTTTTTTCGGTTAAGTCGCGTCGATAGAAAAATCAAAATCAAAGTGAGGTTAATAATATTAATATTAGATAATATGAAATAAATAATAGACCATTAATGTAGATTGGAGATTGGTTCTTAATCTGAGAGTGTACTGGCAGTCTAGAATGTCGATTTTTTTCTTATCGCTAAGTTTCGAACTTTTACCGTTAAAGAAAACGCCAGTTGTAATGTCTGTTTGCCCTGTGCTCCGCGGCCGTGGAGATCTGAATGGGGTGGTGCAACGACCACGTCAGCAAGTTTCGATTTGAGACCAGGCGGTTCCTCCCGCGCCATTGAGCCTGGATATTTGCTTTTGAACTGTCCAAAACGTCCGTGGAGGTCGTGTCAAATGGTTCTTTGACAATCTGGAGATTTCCCAGATTGTCATTAACCTCCCTTTGCCCCGGAGTGTATTATTTAATGGCTCTTTATGACCTCCTCGCTCCAGTTGCTTTAATGTGGCAAGGCAGCTGAGTGTGAAGGGTGGGGTGTGACTCACACTTTCATGCCCCATGCTCGATTATTATAAAAAATATATATATTGGCAGAATTATTATTAATATAATTTTTGGGAAAAAGGCCTATATATACAACAGATGGTACAGAGGGGAAAAGAGAGCCATGAAGTTCGCTATCCCAAGAATTTGGTGGGAACCCAATGACCACTCAAGCAACTGATACTTCTGCATGGTGGACCCTTTCAAACGTCGGACTGGCAAAAATGCACCTGCTATCACGTATCCGGACCTTCCTTCATCCATCGCCCCAGTGCCACACTGCCATGAGCTCCCCGTACACACTCCTCTGGAGAGAGAGCAGCCGTCTTTAGAAGAGAGCAGCAAGTCAGAGAGCGAGGAAGATGTTGTAGATCCAGATGACAATTTCAGAGATGGAGCTGAGGAGAGAAACCCATACTACCCCAACCAAAAAGATCTCAACGACTTGATCAGAGATCTTGGTCTCACCAAGTCTAATGCCGAGCTTTTGACGTCTAGGCTCAAGCAGTGGAACTTGTTGGATGAAAGTGTGCAAGTTGCAGATCAGAGGAAGCGTCACCAACATTTTTGCAGCTTCTTTACCCGTAAGGATGGGCTCTGCTTGTGACCAGTCTGTTCGAGGCTATCGGAATCACCTGTATCCATAATGAGTGGCGCATCTTCATTGATAGCTCATCTAGGAGCCTTAAAGCCGTGCTGCTCCATAAATGGTAACAAGTACCCGTCTCTTCCCCTAGCTCACCCTGCTGCACTATTTAAGATCGGGAGCAGGTGGAGGGCTTCACTATTCTGGCAAAATCCTAATTGTAATTAATTTGTACTGCTGGCATCATGTAAAGCTATAACACTGTGTACCACATCTTCTTGGTTCTTTCGGTAAAGTCACGTAGAAGGGAAGTAATAAAATAATAAAAATAAAACATGATAAAATAATTCTCACGACGTTTCGGCCACAACGCAAGCAGCCGTCCTCAGTTGAAGAATGAAATACCACCAAGCTTGGAGCGTATATTTGAGCTGGGTTGGAGGGGGGACGTGGGAAGAAGAGCGCCTTGACAAAATAATTTGCATATCAAGAGGAATTTTGCATATTTATGTGAAATGCGTAGGAGGTGGGCGGGGGGTTTCAAAGTCATATTATGCCCGTGCATTATGCAGGATTAGCAGCATCAAAGGGAGGGAGTAAGGTCAGAATTAATAAAGGGAAGGAATGTTAATAGTATGTAGCTGCAGTTACTAAACAACCACGTAAAAAACTAAAGTATAAACTACATAGTATCATTAGTATACTAAATATCCTCTCCAATAAGCTGAGCTACTAACAGTAAGTAATACATTACAATTCTATGTCACAAAAAATATAATATGCTTCCAGGTAAACTTTTTTTATCTTACATCACACCGAGAAGATGGATTCTGGCTCAGCAATCATTGGAAGGACGTAATAAACCATTTCGGATCTTAACTGATTGTGTTCACGTTTACGGTGACTTTCAGACCACAGTCCACTCACTGGCATTGACTATATATCTTGTATTCTCCACAGGGAATGGATTCTTTGCTACACTCTAAGTCTCCTTTCACCACTCTCCCATTGACATATTTCGTTGCTTCCTCTTACTACCTTTCACACGACGGTCAATGGCATAGTGTATAGCAAATTGTATAAATAGTATAAAATTGTAATGTTTAATACAATGTATAAGGTAATTACAGTATCGTAATTGTATAGTGAATATACAGCAGTGTGGTATACAGTAGCGTGGGTAGAATAATACTTAGGGTAATATTATAGTCGAAGGTATAGAGTGCGTATAGTAATACAGTATATAATTTAATGTTGGGTTTGTCTATGGTAGTATATAGTACGGGGTAGACCCGTGTGATGTAAGAGAAAAAAGTTTAGCTGGAAGCATATTATATTTTTTGCGACGTAGAATTGTAATGTATTACTTACTGTTGGTAGCTCAGCTTATTGGAGAGTATATTTAGTATACTGATGATACTATGTAGTTTATACTTTAGTTTTTAATACGTGGTTGTTTAGTAACTGTAGCTACATACTATTGACATTCCTTTCCTTTGTTAATGCTACCCCTATCCCCTCTCTTTGATGCTGCTAATCCTGCATAATGCATGGGCATAATATGACTTTGAAACCCCCCGCCCACCTCTTACGCATTTCCCATAAATATGCTAAATTCCTCTTGATATGCAAATTCTTTTGTCAAGGCGCTCTTCTTCCCACCTCCCCCCTCCAACCCAGCTTAAATATACACTTCAAGCTTGGTGGTGTTTCATTCTTCAACTGAGGACGGCTGCTTGCGTTGTGGCCGAAACGTCGTGAGAATTATTTTATTATGTTTTATTTTTATTATTTTATTACTTCCCTTCTACGTGACTTTACCGAAAGAACCAAGAAGATGTGGTACACAGTGTTATAGCTTGACATGATGCCAGCAGTACAAATTAATTACAATTAGGAAATATACCAAACGTGTTTACAGCTCGAGCATCTGGTGTGGCAGTGGTGTGTGAGGCATGTTTATTTGAGCTGTCACATTCACTTAGAATAATACTTCGCGCCTGGTTACCCATAGCGATGCAAAATAGTTTATTAGGCTCCAATATGCTACAGGGAGCACAATTAATCACGGCGTGACTAATCACGGGTGAGCTCACACCGGCAACATTGACCCCTCCAGAATCACACTGATTGTGGCACTCCCATACAAAAAAACATTCACACCTTTCCACGACAACACCGGAACGAGACGACCCAGCATCTGGTCCCGAGTTTCCCGCAAGGACTCTGTGTCCTTTTGACAGCTTGATAGCTCCTCGATCCACGAGTTTGGAGAACCTCGAGAGGGGTAATCAAGCCCCGGTATCCCCTTCGTCAAGTGCAGTGCCTTATATACTTCAAAGAACGTGAGAACTCTTCTGCCTGAGCCTTACAAACCTTGTTGGTCCATCAAAATTATTAATCTCACTAGCCAGGTGACAGGGGAAGAAACGTTGAAAGGAAACATGTGGGTAGTAAAGGGAAAATGTAATTCAACGGAATTATACGGAAAATGAATAACAGTGATGTAGGAGGAAACATTGGGCACAATTCTTAACTTCGAATGGTGGTCACCCACCAAAATTCCAGGGTCACCCAGCATACCAGCACTCTGTGGGTCTCCAAACTGGCATACTGTCGCTACGCCCTCGCCAGTAGCCTTAGGTGTCCCAGCTGCTGAACCGTCACACATCTGCAAACCCTGTAGGCGTTACTGGTGTCCCTTGTTGCATTTTACCTGCCATTGAACACGCACAACTGAAAACAATTATGCGTCTCCCGTCAGAGAGGGAGGGGGGGTGCAGGTCTACTCATCGCAGTCTGTTCTGTCCACCGGAGAAGCGGGCTACTCGACAACAGCTGACCACCAGGTGGTGGGTTTGTCAAGCGGCAAAACTATTTCAATAGTCCTCTTCAGAAGGGCACATTGTGTATCTACAATAACGATGGGAGATACCCGTCACAACACCGCAGCTGAATTCCTATATTAATGGGATTGAGCGCCAATGTTAATATTTTATACCCAATTATTATAATATATTTTATATTTTGAAATCAACTTTTATATCAGAGGCTTAATAGAGGGTTTTTTTGGTTAGATCGCGTAAATGTCGTTAAAACCCGCCACCACCCGACACAGCCAACTAGTAAGGGTTGTCACGTAAACAGAACGTGCCAATTCGTCACGAGTACAGCACACCGGTGTGTTGGAGAGCCAAGCCACAACATTTACAATCTGAGTACGACGTTTCGCCAGAAATTACAACTAGCTTCATCAGGCGACAGACAGGTTTGTGGAGAAGTCCACAAACCTGTCGCTTGGGGGTGGTGGGGTCGTAGGTGGGGCGCCCGCAGAGCGGCTGCCCCTTCCACCAGGGCCGTCATCTCAATCAACCTCTTCGTAGAGCTTGGACTCCTCTTCTGTACTGGTGTACACGTTCGGACGAGCACGCTGCCTCGGAACCATCAGCTCCGCAAACTTGACCTTGCCTGGAGACGTCGGTTCCTTTCCCTGGCGCCGCGCGCGCGACGCTTCTGCGCCCACTGCGCTTCGTGGCGTCTGGGGAAGGGCCACTGGCGCGGCCACACCCGTGCCAGGTTGGGTGGCGGGCAGCATTGTGGTTTGTGTGATGACGTGGCGTCCCATCCCCGGCTGCGCCACAAACTGAGGCCCCAGTTTTGGTTGCGTGAATCCGTGGGGTTGCGTGAATCCGTGGGGTTGCGTGAAGCCGTGGGGTTGCGTGAATCCGTGGGGTTGCGTGAAGCCGTGGGGTTGCGTGAAGCCGTGGGGTTGTTGCGTGATCGTGATTTGGCGCGTGATGACCTGGGGAGCCGTGGCCGGTTGCGCACTCACTCGGGGCGGCGCGATCGGCTGCGCTGCGCAGACCTGGGCTGACGTCTCTTGTTGCTGCTGCTGCTGCTGCCTCCCTTGCTGTCTCCCAGCCACGTCGCCGTGCTTTCTTCCCAGCACGGCTGTGATTGTGTCACAGCAAGAGAAGCGGCAACATTGTGGCGTGCATTCAGGTGACCGTCGTGCCTCCTGCTGGTGAACGTGCATGCAAAACAGGCAATATCATAAAGAACGGCTCGACACTATTTATCCACACCAGAGTAAGCGAACACCAATGCAGGAGCAGCAAGCACATCTGCTGTTTAGAGGAGTTTCTGTTTTGTGACTCACATTAAGTCATGTCGTGTGCATGATCATTTATCTGCGCTATAATGCATCGCAGGATGAATGTTTTAACCATCCCACCTATTGACAAGAATTTATACCAAGAGGACTTCCCTGTTATTCCTTTGTCTGGGCAGCTGCTTGCTGCGACTCAGAATATGTGTGAAAGGCAAGAGAAGCTGCTCGTCTAAAATGGTGAATATTTCTTATGATCAGAAACAAACACTGAATGTTACTTTACAACATTAGCTCGGTCCCTAGCGCACGGTTGGTTCTGTACCTGTATGATAAGATGGCTCTGGCCCAAAATACACAACTCGGCTGACTAATAACGAGTTAATGTGCGTTGCAAGTACAATGCTATGGGTTGGTAATGTCACACGTGCGATTCTGTTAAGTTTACGGTGTGCATAAGAGTGATGGGCATCTCTGCGTGGCGATAGAACCAGAGGCAGCACGAGCCAGGCGAAACGAGCCGGCGGCTCGTGTGGTTTGAATGCTGGTACCGAGTCGTGGCAATTCATAAAATTGCTGGAGTGGGGGGCTGTGAAGAAATAGCATTAATACTGTACCACATGTACAACACAAACAACCGCACGATATCCTCGCAATGCTGGCTGTGGAACTGCATCTGTGTTACAAACTGGTTAAACAAGCGCATAGCTGGCCACCAATACGGTTTACCTGTATTCTTGTACATGGAAATTGAGTGTTCAGGTCCATGCGGCAGACAGCCGTTTCAATACGGGCAGCAACAAATGCATGTATATTTGTTTGTGTTTCTCTCTTGTGATGGGACTTTGTAGGATGAATGTTGAGATTTATAAGGGCACGGGTTGACCAAAAAGGTCTAAATTGGTCTGTAATAAGGTGGGCAACTGATAAGGGATTGACAGCTATGCAAGCGGTGCACGAGATTCACCGTCATCGCTATGGAGTTGAGATTGTTGACTGATAGAACAAACAAACATCATCATGACGCTGCACGCGTGTTGGATGTGAAGGTAATGTCTGTACGAGTATTTGTTCATCGTGCGAGGGAATGTGTCCCGCTGGACGCAATTCGCTCGTTACTGGATGCTGTTGGAGGTTTGTCGGAGGTGCTTGGGAGCGCAGCGTTGTTGAGTGTTCATCCTCTCCCCGCGCGAGCCCGGCCCCTGGTGCCAAATCTCCCGTTCACAGCCCTGACAGCCAATTGTGGATACTGTTTGATGTTGTTTTTGACCAGCGTAATTTTTCTACTTTGAACGACGATAAAATGCGCGAACGAAGAACAACGCGGCAGACCTTGTAACACAGTCCAGGTAATCCCATCGAATTACGAATGCTCGCTTTGAGCGCAATTGTGGACACTTTTCGATTCACGAAATCGAATTTCCGTGTGGCAGTTTGCGACATTTCACAACGGCACGCGCCATGAGATCGTCGAGACGAGAAGCCTTCCCTGAGGCTGCCTCGTCCACCCGGCACAGCGCCCACGGGGTTGCCTGCAGCAACGCAACAGTATTACAACAAAATCTTGTTCGTGAGTTCCCTGAAAAGGTTATTTTTGTTTAAAATGATTATTATAAAATTATTATTTAATCGTTTTAACATTTTAGTTTTGTGAAAAATGGATATCGGTGGATATATTTTTAGGTTAGGACTAGCGTTGGAATGGCTGTCCGAAACACATGCCTAACTATTTTTTATTAACGGGAAAAGCCATTTCCAATGTAATACATTTACTTTCAAGTGTGGTTTTATTTCTTAACGCATCCCTGTCGTAAATCTGCAACCTTGATCATCTACACTTGTGTAATGACGACTTCTCTTGAGATGGCACTTTATTGAAGACACGTTCACTTGACATCAGGTGGAGACCCCACTGCAACAGCCCCGAATCTCCCACGCATCTCTCCCTTATATACCCACCGAAGGCCCCGCCCCCCTTCTCGATCATTTTCGCTGACTCTGGATGCTCACTCCACCGGCAGACTCTGCCGTTCCCTTCCGTCACCTGACCACGCTCCCTTTTCGATCATTCCCGTAGCAACCAGTCCCTTTGCACTCACAACTGATACCTCTGTCATTACCTCCCGTAGCCACCGGTCCCTTTGCACTCACAACTGATACCCCTGTCATTACCTCCCATAGCCCCTAGTCCACTCACACCGCATGCAGGCTCTGTGGTGCCACGACCATGGAGAAACTCCGCAAACGCCGCAATCCCCTCCCGGCCCCCACACTAAACACACACCCACACACAGCGCACCCACGTAGTGTCCTGACATTGGGTTTTAATCCGAAGGGCTCCTAGAGGGAGAGTCCCATGGTTTCCCGGTGCCAGGAGATTGGCCGATCCTCACAGGACAGGTTACATTGCGGTGCCTCTAAATTGGCTTAAGATTGTATGGGCGCCGAACGAAAAGGTTCACTGGGCCAACCGCAATAAGTTACTCACGACACTGGGAGAGGCGGAGGGTGGAATATAGGCTAGAAGGGCAGACCAGTGGGTTAGAATTAATGAGCACGGGGGATGATGGGTGAGGGGCCGCAGCAGCAGCAGACTCCGTGGCCCTCCATGCAGACGGCACAGGTGAGCGCGCTATTGGCTGCGTGGTGAAGTGAGGGGATTAGGCCACGGTAGAGACGGTGGAGAGGGACGACGACGGGAAGCAAGGGTAAGCGCCCGATTGTATGCACGGTATGACGTCACCCTGGGCCTTTGACGTTTAGAGAATAAAGATTGGTGCCCTGGGACGGTGAGAGCAGTTGTCTTCAACCTCCAGGTGATCCAGACCCACTCCCTGCCGTCCTGCCTCCTCAAGCCGCTCGCAGCATCCGTGTGATGCCAGCGAGTGCTGCTACGAGGCAGTGATAAGCGAGGGTTTCGCTCGTCCTTCTCCCTCCGACTCTCACAGCGTGGGACGCCGTGAGTCCAGCTACGAGGTACGTGGTAGAACGTTTGTGTAACTGGGGTCATAGGCAGAGTTAGGCTCGGCTCTCCTCGTGAAATATTCCCCCTCCAGGTAACGGGTATTTGCGCCGTTAATAAAGTCTAGTACAGAATATCGGTGTAGTGTGATTTCTGTGTGTGTGGGCAGAGCCTCGGCGTAGCGTCAGTGATCTGTGTGTGGCGCGTCTGCGTCGAGAGACGGCGTGCCCGGCGCGGGCGCAGGGCTGCAGCGCGGGGCTGGTGCGAGTGAGTTGAGCGTGAGGCGCGTGCACTGCAGCACACATGGCCGCCATCGTGTGCACGTGCTCGCGCTCGCGTGCGTATTTACACAGCGCACTTTACGCAGCGCGTTTACACAGTAGAAATCGCGTTAACGGTTAGGCGTGCCCCATAGCCCTGTTCCAGCCGTTTCTTTCCCGCTAGCATTAGCCTCTGTTTGCACGAAGGGGGGGGGGGGTGCATATTCATACAGCCGCCGTTTCTTTTCAGTTCACATTAGCATCAGCATTGCGGGCACGCGGATTAGGGTTTAACCACCAGGAGGGGCGCGTGCATATTCATACCACCACCGTTCGTTTTGGCCGGCGCCAGCTTTGTGAGGGAAAAACGCGCCTGCAGGGGCGCGTGAGTACACGCCTCCGTGTTCGTGTTTGTGTGGTGGGGTACGTGTGCGTGGGGGAGATAACCCCGGGCGGTGGTGAGCCAGCCGAGTGGCGATGTCCCTCAGAGAGGGCGCTGGCGCGATCGACGGGGACGTGGCGAGAGACGGCCCAAGAGGAGAAGGGGGGAGTGGAGGGGGTGGACGGCGCACCCCCACAGCTCTATTGTCATTACACTTGTAACGCGGCACCGCACAGTGTTCACTCGCTCGCTCGCACATCGAGAGAACGACTCAAGAGACGCGAGGAGGAACTACGGACAAAGCCGGTAATGCAGCAGCCGCACAGTTAGCCAGTTGCATAAAATTTCCCAAGCTCTGCGGTCCTCTCCATACAGCATTAAGGCGTTATCGGGCAATCAATTAACGAGCGGTTATACACATGGGAGGATCGCAAAGCGCCTGGAGAAACCCCTAGCGTGCAAGGGTGAAACACTCGATCCCATACAGATGGAACGAGTGGAGTCCACATTTATTTTTGTTGTATCGCCTTCTGACGAGCCTCCTCGGTGTCTGTCTGGATTGCTGGCACGGGCTCGACAACGCCTTGCATAACGACTTGACACACTGACAACAGTTAAGGCCAGCATCGCGAAGAGATCTCACACGCTGTGTGCACACGCGCACGCACTTGCCTGGTCACCCATGGAGTCAGCAGCCTGGTGATGTCTCCCCTACACTCGCACACCTGGGAGCTGCTGATCCGAGCCCCGGGGGTGCTCGCAGACAGCACCCACACGCTGCCAGCTTGTGGGCGTCACAACAGCCCCCATCCGCATTGTTCACATTCCTCCTCACGCGTCACCATTGCACGGATATGTTTTTGTTCGCTGTGCGAAAATGTAAAGGCGCAGCCCTGCAACTGCTTGCTAACGTCACCGCTGGCAGGAAGTGCGGCTCTCTACTAGACTAGGGGGCGCCTTCCAGAGCCCCCCTCTGGTATTGTTGGCCTACTCTTCCACGCTGGCCGGACGTCACGGAAGAGGAATGCTGTTGTCAGCATGTCGGCCACTGAATTGCTGGTAGGACGGCACTCATTGTATCTATGGAAATGTATAAGTGCGGGTGATTGATTCGGAGCCGTGAGAAGGGCTTCTGTTTTATATAAACCGTGTATATGTGTGGCGCAAAGAGATCTGGATACATCGATGTGTACATAATATCCCCGACCGAATACACAAGTACCCCCCCCCCCCTCGACTCTCTACGTGGGATCGTCTCCACACTCAAATCAGCACTAGCCTCGCTCGTCTCCGCCACGGGGTGAGAGTGAATGGCGGAAGTTCCACATTCCTCTGGCACAACTTGAGTTCCTCGTAAGGACACCGACTTTTGATGCCCTCTTTCAAGTGCCACCTCTGTCGAGGACTGGTGCGGGATGGATCATGGGCCCAATTAACCCCTGACCACGATGTCAACTCGTGCTCAGAGGCCACGCCACCTCACTCACACCAATGCGTAAGCGAAGTGGGCTCACAGTAGGGGAGCTATGAATGAGAATAATGCCCAAGTGTCTCCTGCCCTTGCCCTCCGCATCCTTCCCTGGGGATGAATATGGTGGTGGTGATGGTTGGGTAATGGTATCTTATAAACGTCCTTATCTTAACGTAATTCACATAGTGCCTTAACCAAGTCGCTTTACAGATAATTAAGAACGGCATAACAACGAGTGTGTGAATGTAACGGTGGACATGAGGTGAATTAGATAAATGAGAGAGGAAGCAATGGGGGAGAATCTGTGATGCGTGAATTGGGTGAAAGCGAAATTGATGACAGTAAATGATGATGAACGTGTAGTGACATCGGGGATGTCACTGTATGGTGCCAGCCCAGGAGGGTCGTGGCGTGTGATGTCCCTACATCGCGGACAGCACAGGGGGGGTTGCAGTGTGATGCCGGCTTGAGCCCCTTAGGTGGGTGTAGTACCAGCCCTAGCGGGGCTTGGTGAGCGCTGGGATAGCGCGGGCACCACACTCCCATAAGGGGGAGCGGGAGAGTGTCAGCCCAGGGGCAGGTTTTCCCTGGGCCATGGCACTCTGGCTGACCCCGTAGACACGTGATCTGGAGTGTCCACAGAGAGTTTCCCAGGTGGGGGGGCTAGGGGGTGATTACGTGTCCAGGGAGACCTCTCGAGGGGGATAGAGAGGGAGCTAGAACGCTCGAGAAGGTGGGCGGGGCCGAGGGCGGAGCCGGCCCCGACCCGGGAGGATATAAGGTGGGTCCCTGAGAGAGACCAGAGTCGCTTCGTTCTACAAGCTGGAAGCTCTACGTCTACAAGCTGGAAGCTCTACGTCTACAAGCTGGAAGCTCTACGTCCTACGAGGCATCAACACGTGGTCGGGGAACCGAATGAGGGTCCGACCCTCGTAGCTGTAACTCCTACGTATAGTGTAGTTAGCTGGGTTGTCACCACCCCAGGCTGTATCTGGTAAAGGGGCAGTTACCCCTTTGGAAATACGTGTTGCATAATAAATGTGTTGCCTCTAAAGATTAACGTCTGCGACTCAGTTGGATTCACTATAAATGATTGAATGAATGGGGAATTAGTGATAGCCGTTTCATGAGAATATGAAGAGGAAATAGGAAAGGTGGTGGTTATGCTTTGAAGTCGGAGTTGCTCTACGTTGTACATGGAATGTAGTGGAGGTGAAGTTTAGGCTGAAATATGATTGACTCGTCTTCTCGGGGTGAGTGCGTGCAGGCGTGTTCCTTTGTACAGCTGTCACTACCTAATTACAGCAGCATATCGTTTGCATCTCGTTTTTAATTAATTGACATACAATGACTCTTTGGTGACCATACATTGAGAATTGATTGATGATGGGATTGCAAATGTGTAGGAGGTCATGACCCCAGCCCACAAGGACCTGGTTATAGGCTAATTGCGCTAGAATTCTGGCTTGCGGCCAGTTCGATGAACGGTGGCCTTACGCATGCATTATAGCAGCTTCTCATATCCATTTGAAGGGAGACATCGTCATTGTTTAACATATTTGATGTCATTTTATTTACGTTTACATTTGACCACATTCATCTTCCCAATACATCGGCATCGAGCCACACGAAGTCTGGAATTCCTTCATATAGAGCAGTTGTTCTCAACCTTCACTGCAGACTGCACCCCTTTGGTTCTCAGAAAGGACATCTCGCAGCCCCAGGGGGTGCGTGCACCCCAGGTTAAGAACCAAAACTCTATAAAGAGACCCTCAATATTCCGGGGATAATTAAGCGATGATGTCCCAATACATTTCATCCGTTTTCTAAGTAAATTATCTTATTACAACGAATGTCAAATTTATCCCCACGTTATAGCTTCAATCTTATGTACATTATGCTATATATACACACGATACAAGTATGAAGAGCAGTTCAAAATAAAGGTTGAAAAAAACCCCACCGAAAATTAAAAGGCGATTGTCGAAGGCACAGCAACAATTCTGCAGTGGAGGCTAAATTGAGGCCCAGGGTGGCACGTGGGGGATGTTGAGCCACCGTGGAGACGTAGCGTCGCCTCTTCTTAGCACGCTGTTAGAAATGCGACCTTTGCGAGGGCAGGTTGTTATGCATTTTTAAAATTATTTTAAAGATTTTAGAGGTACCTCTAAAAAAAACACACCGCACATTCGCCCCTTGTTATTTTCAGGGCACATTCTCAATTGCTGCATTCCTCCGTACTTGACAGACCAGGGCCCAATTCACGTTTTTTCGCGCAGTTAAAAGTCCTGGTTACATCTCAGGTTAAAAAAAAAAATTCGGGCATGGTACAAACATATTCCCACGCCTTTTTGGCTCTGCCCGATTCCTGCGCAACTTTACCATGAGATCACGGAACCTATTTAATGACTTGTGTGGGGAAAAACATCTCCCTGTCCCTAGAAGAGACGCTGCGGGGTCTGAAACCTGGCACGGGAACAAGAAGTCGACAATGCCCTGCTCCAGAACTCTGAACATCGTCGCCAGGGAAGATGATGCCGGTCAACCGGAAGGAACACGAGCTCTCTTAATGGCGACAGTGGCATGGTACAACTCTTCCGAGGGCATGGGCAACTTGAGGCATCAGCTTCGGGGAAAAGAGACGTTGTACGAGGCCAGGTGGTTCCCTTTTATACGGAGCTTGAAGTGAGGCGGTCGGATTAGTGGGGGGGGGGAGGGGGCGGGGGGCTGGAGATGGGGACCGAAAAAGAGGGGAATAGCAGCCCCTCAGTGGTGAAGTGGGAGCGCAACTCGGAATGGTGGAAGGTGGAAGGAAAGCATGGACGCCCATTAGCCGCCTGTTATGTTACTTCATTTTAGGGGTCTTCTTTGTTCTCCTTTCCCCCCACCATTTCCCCCATCTTCCCTACCTAAGGGTTTCCTCGTGCGGTTCGTTATACCTCCCCTTCCCCCGTCATCTCCTCCCAGACGTCTAGGCGTCTTCACTTGGTTGGGGCAGCAGCGGTGGGGGGCACCCCACCACTTACCCCCCCCACCTCTATAATGGTTCAGTTGCGTCGGGATCGTCTTCCGGCGCCGCGTGACAACAACAAACCAACTCCGTGCCATTGTCCGCCGAGTTGAGGCTTATCACGGGGAAAAATAATTAGGCCCACACAAACATTCAGCTCCAGATGTTGAGTTTGCACTCCTCGTACAAGTTTGCGGATCGTGCTGTATACATTGTGTATTTTAAAACCGATAATGCAGCCCAATTTGTAGCAAATACTGCGTTCAAAACTTAAACATCCACAAAGTACATTTGGCTATTACCTTATTGAAGTTGTATTTGTTTAACATATTGTGATGTATAGTTAATTACCGATATTTTTTGGATACATTATTCTTGGACTTTGAGTTTCCACTTCTTTGGCAACCCTGTGACCCCCCCCCAAGCATGAATAAATATTCTTGCATTTTTTTCTCCTTCAGATTCCGTGACCTGGTAATTACCCTTGCGAAGTGCGTGCGATATATTAAAACAACCCACAAATCTCACGGGCACATCATTCTCAACTCACGCGAGTCGTCGCTCGCTCACGAGCGGCATCGCACAGCAGCGTGACAATGCGAGACGTCGTTTTTCTGCTGGGCGCACGCTTCCCATCGAATTTCCTGCAGCCCACCCCCTGACCCGACCACATTGCTGACCGCAGTCGGGGTCAGCCGATGTCTCTTGACCGGCCGAGTGCACGAGGAGCCATTCATAGGGTTTGCATCGCGTATGCGTGCATGTATACTCTCTGTACTTGCGGGGAGCGGTGGTGTAGTGGTTAGCGCTACGCTGCGCTACGAACGCGGCGACCCGACTTCGATTCCTGCCCACGGCCAACACCGGTGACGATTATATGAACCGGTTCGAAGCCTCCCCTAGGTCGACTCAGCCTCAAATGAGTACCTGTGCGGTGTGTAGACATCGCCACTGGGGAGACAAAAGCGGTCGTGGGTGGTGCTGGCCATCCACCCCCTCGTGTGCCGTGCCGGCCTTCATAGGTGTTTGCTAACAGCACTTGCCCCAACTGTCTGTTAAGGCTATACGGGAGATCTTTGTCTTTGTTTGTGTTCACTGTACTACACTACAAAACATTTCTGTACTGATTTAGGTCCTCCTCACACTATTGGTTACGTGGGGGGTGGTTGTTTGACAATACTTCACCAGTGGTGGGGTAGTGAAGCAGAGGTTCTCTTCACCACTGGTGTTAAACCTGTGGCCAGGAATCGAACTCGGGTTGCCAGGTTCGCGGTGCATTGCGTTAACCTCTGCGCGGGCCACTCTGCCCTCGTTATATAGCTCGTGCGAGCGATTCGCTTACCGTCAATTACGTTCTACACGAAGATTGTTGCCGAAATTGTGAAACCAATTTCTACGTGACATGTTTACATCGCGTTAATGTAAGTTGCCAGTGATTGGGCAAAGACGATCGAGAATTTGTGCATCGTGGTTAAGGGACCCCATTATTTGAACCCCGCGACCTCAGCGGCGCTGGCTCACGGCGGAGTCATTCGTTTGCTTCTGTAGCCCAGCTTCTAAAAAGACTCCGGTCCATCGGCTCCAACGTGCGACAGCACCAACACGGTTTAACACGTGGTAGTCAGAGGAGGCTTTCACAACCAATATTATCCATATTAGAGGTTTTTTGGGGTTAGTTCGAGTAAATATAAATGTGTCGTTAAAGCCGCCACCACAACCAATCAGTAAGGAATGTCAGGTAAACAAAAAGTGCCAATTCGTTACTAATACAACACACATTGGTGTGTTGGAGAGTAAACCCACGACAACACTTACAATTCGAGTACGAACCAACACTTCCACAACCTCAAGAGTGGTGCCGGTCTTCCCCCCTGCTCTTAATAATTTATTGGTAGATAATTGTCGGCCATTTCACTCACGGCGACGCTCTGATGACCTCCTGCTCTATCTGGGCACACATCTGGCTGCTCGTAAAGGCTTGTGTCCATTTCGTACGTTCCACTGCCAGGGCCATCTTTTAAAGTGACCTCTTCGTAGACGTTGTCCTCCTCTTTTATGTCAATATGCACGTTCGGCTGAGCATGCTGACTCGGTCCCATCGTCTGTGGGTGATACTTGGCCTTGTCTGGAGGTCCCATGATGGATTGATGTCCCTTTTCTTGAGGTGTCACATTTGCCAGTTTCTCTTTCTTATCCATCGGAAGTGGCATTTTTGGTCGTGAAAAACCTGGCTGAGAGATGATCTGAGGACCCATCTCTGACTGTGAGGTGACCTGATGACCCATCCCTGGCTGTGAGGTTACTTGAGGACTTATCCCTGGCTGTGAGGTTACTTGAGGACCCATCCCTGGCTGTGAGGTTACTTGAGGACCCATCCATGGCTGCGAGATGACCTGAGGACCTATCCCTGGCTGTGAGGTGACCTGATAACCCATCCCTGGCTGTGAGGTTATTTGAGGACCCATCCATGGCTGCGAGGTGACCTGATAACCCATCCTTGGCTGTGAGGTGACCTGATAACCCATCCTTGGCTGACCAATGAATTGAGGACCCAATCTTGGCTGACCAGTGAACTGCGGAGCCATCATTGGGTGAGAAACAAACGTTGGCTGAGTGCCCATTTCAGGCCGCATAACAAACATATAAGGCTGAGCGCCCATCGCCGGTTGTGTCGTGTATTGAGGCACAAACATTCCGGGTGGCGCATCGACCATCATGGGTTGCTGATGATCAGCGCCAGCCATCGTGGGCTGGGAAGCCCCTGGGTATGCCGTCGGCGGCTGCCCGTAGAATTGTGGTCCTTGCTGTGGTTGAGCATGAAACGGGTGTCCCATCGGCGCGTTGGTGGTATAAGCGGGAGGGGGCATTTGGGCTGCATAGGCTCCAGATGGTTGTGGATGCCCCTCCAATCTCCCGTCTGTCATGGTCTTCACTGCCCTCACGAAGGCCGTGAAGGGATTGCCGTGGTGGTGCCGAGTTGTCGATGAGGGTGGCGGTCTCCCCTCCCCCTGTAGTCACACAGCACACGGCGGCGTCGTCGTTGAGCGTGTGTAAGTGTTTCGCAATAGTGTCAGTCCTCGACTTACGAGCGGGTTCGGTTCCTGAGTCCCGTTCGTACGTCGAACAATTCGTAAGTGGGAATACAGTGATGTGCTGTATTTAACTGCACGCACGGTCAGTATTTATAAAATGTGTTACGGTTTAACGGAAATGGGAAACATTATTAAACTCATAAATAAGAATATCATACAATTGCATGTAATACTGTAATAATTGTGTAATAAATAAAACATGAAATAAAGTAATATGAAACTCTTTGGTTATTTCGGTAAAGTCATGTAGATAGAAAAGGAAGGAGCTCCTACCTCAGCAGTTCTCCTGCTGTGTTTGTCTTACCTGATGATGGTTGCTTGTGTTGCGATAGAAACGTCGTGATCTATTAATTTTCTATCTACGTGACTTTGCCGAAAGAATAAAAGAGTATGGATTCTTGCAGTCACGAAAGCTTCAAATAAAAGTAATGAGTAGAAAACAAATTCAGTTTTATCTTCACTTACCTTGATTCCACAACTGCACGCACACTCACACGGGGACACGCACGCGCACAACAACAATAAAGATCCCCCGTGTAGCCTTCACAGGCTGTTGGGACAATTGCTATTAGCGAGCAGCGCCTCTGATGACGGCCGGTAGGGCACACGAGGAAGTGGGTGGCCAACACCACGCCCGGCTGCATTTGACTCCTCGGTGGCGATGCTACACACTGCACCAGGTACTCATTTGAGGCTGAGTCGACCTAGGGGAGGCCCAAGACCCATTCAGATATTCGCCACTAGTATCGAAGTCGGGTCGCCGCATTGGTAGCACAGCGCACTAACCATTGCACCACCACTCCCTACAAACACACACACGGGGGCACGCGCGTGCACGCACACACGCGCGTGCACGCACACACGCGCGCACTCTTTCACACACCTTCGATGAGCATGGATGGCTACGTACGGTGCGAAAGAAGTTCAACATACATACTCTTACTTCCTCACACACACATGTGCGCATGCACACACAAACACTCATGACACCCGCGATTCAGTTTGCAATTGCGAGTTCGCGTTTTAAGTCGATGTAAAAATATTTCATGGAAGCTCGTTCGCAGGTGCGGGTGTTCGTAGGTGCGGATGTTCGTAAGTCGATGACTGCCTGGGATGTGCAAAGTGACGCAACCTCTCTGGACACGTCAGACCAAGTCCATACGGGCAGCTGGCACTCTCATCGCGGTGTGCGTCTCGCCCATGAACATTTTACGCGGGGCAGAACCTCTTCTCTCTCGACAGAGCGGTGGCGAAACTTTTTGAAATTCTTTGTACAACCTGTTTGACAGGTGTCATGTGATGGCATTGATAGGACACCGTGCTAATGCAGACTGGAATGTGAACAGTGCGATGCTGAAATATGCACCCAATACTCCGCAACCCTAAAACCACGTGGAAGTGGAGTGTGCATCTCAAGGCCGTAATTATAATATATATTAAAATATGCTCAAAATGTCCCCCCAATATAATGCCATGAAATAGATGTTTGTTTATATGATTCTGGTTATGGTTGTACTTTATTAATCCCTAATCTCTGCCATGACATATAATGAAACGAGAAATGGTAAAAAAGAAAAAACAGAGCAATGTAATACAATACACTATTATACATTATTGTAAAAAGATAAATAAAAAGTCCATCCTATGTGTTAGTGAATTTTTTAAAATATTTCAGGCAGGAAATTTGTTTTCAAATTTAGATTAAAAAAAATCTGGAGGGGGGGGGAACCCCAGACCCCCTGGAAGATTTGGTCCCCCCTAATGTTGACTCCATGGCTACGGCCTTGGTGCATCTCATTGCTTCTGTAGTGTCTGGTGTTTAAAATAATTTTGGGCCCCGCGTTAATGTCTCAGCCCATTTAGAGGCCTGTAAATTGGCAGTTTGACTGCGAATTAATAAACAATGGATGTTCAATATTGGTCACCGTAGCATGTGACTTCACTTTCCTCGCGAGGGCCGTGAAGGGATTGCCGTGGTGGTGCTGAGTTGTCGATGATGGTGGCGGTCTCTCCTCCCCCTGTAATCACACAGAACACGACGTCGTCGTTGAGCGTGTGTAAATGTTATGCAATACGGGCAGTCCTCGACTTACAAGCGGGTTCCGTTCCTGAGTCCCGTTCGTACGTCGAACAATTCGTAAGTGGGAATGCAATGATGTGCTGTATTCAACTGCACGCACGGTCAGTTTTTGCAAATGTGTTACGGTTTAATGGAAATGGGAAGCATGATTAAACTCATAAGTCATTAATTCTAGATTTGAAGCTTTCGTGACTGCAAGGATTCATATTCTTATGTTTTTTTCGGAAAAGTCACGTAGGTAAAAATGTTAAATTAATAAAAGTAAAATAAAAATTTAATAATATAATATAATTAAAACAATGTTTTACTTTTATTAATTTTAATTTTTTACCTACGTGACTTTACCGAAAAAAAATCTAAGAATACTCATAAGTCATATCGTACATTTGCATGCAATACTGTAATAAGTGTAATAAATAACACGTAAAATAAAGTAACATGAGTAGAAAACAAATTCAGTTTCATTTTCACTTACCTTGATTCCACAATTGCACGCACACTCACACGGGGACACGCACAACAACAATAAAGATCCCCGTGTAGCCTTCACAGGCTGTTGGGGCAAGTGCTGTTAGCGAGCAGCGCCTCTGATGAAGGCCGGTAGGGCACACGAGGGGGTGGGTGGCCAACACCACGCCCGCCTGTCTTTGTCTGCCCAGTAGCGATGTTTACACACCGCACCATTTGAGGCTGACTCGACCTAGGGGAGGCCCAAGACCCATTCAGATATTCGCCACTGGTGCTGGTCGTGAGCGGGAAGCGAAGTCGGGTCGCCGCATTGGTAGCGCCGCGCGCTAACCATTGCACCACCACTCCCTACAAACACACACACGGGGGCACGCGCGTGCACGCACACACGCGCGCGCACTCTTTCACACACGTCCGATGAGCACGGATGGCTACGTACGGTGCGAAAGAAGTTCAAAAACATACTCTTACTTCCTCACACACACATGTGCGCATGCACACACAAACACTCATGACACCCGCGATTCAGTTTGCAATTGCGAGTTCGCGTTTTAAGTCTATGTAAAAAACATTTCGTGGAAGCTAGTTCGCAGGTGCGGGTGTTCGTAGGTGCGAATGTTCGTAAGTCGATGACTGCCTGGGATGTGCAAAGTGACGCAACCTCTCTGGACACGTGAGACCAAGTCCATACGGGCACCTGGCACTCTCATCGCGGTGTGCGTCTCGCCTTTGCACATTTCACGCGGGGCAGAACCTCTTCTCTCTCGACAGAGCGGTGGGGCAACTTTGTGAAATTTGTTGTACAACCTGTTTGACAGGTGTCATGTGATGGCATTGATAGGACACCGTGGTAATGCAGACTGGATTGTGAACAGTGCGATGCTGAAATATGCACCCAATACTCCGCAAACCTGTAGTGTCTGGTATTTAAAATAATTTTGGGCCCCGCGTTTATGTCTCAGTCCATTTAGAGGCCTGTAAATTGGCAGTTTGACTGCGAATGAATAAACAATGGATGTTCAATATTGGTTACTGTAGACTGACTCAAGTGTGAAATCAATTGTAGTAGCAGGCTGTTATAGTTCATTGAGATAAAAAATTTCCGTTATCAAAGCACCACAAGCATCCAAACAGATCCATTCGTACATGCTGCATCGTGCCAAATTATGACACCCATAACTGTGCCATTGCCGAACACTGAACAGAATTGCTGAGAGCACAGCCGACTTATGAACCCCGTACACGCATGTGGCCCAACGCAAAACGAGACTCGAGCCTGCCTCTCTAGGATGTAGCCATCACGCCTCCCCTGCTCCATCACGCGGGCGATGAAGAGGACGCGCTCATCCCTTGTCGACCCCGGGCCAGCGTTAGAAATTCCACATTCCCATGGTGCGAGCACCCTGCCTAGACTCTAAACTCGCACAGAAACCTGACAATGTTTGACTCGATGATGAAACCACCCGTCCACGTTCGCCTTACCCGCACAACATATCACCTGTGTAATAAAATAACAATGCAACGTCTTTACTTCTAATTAATGTTTGTGCTGTAATTGAACAAACAACCGCCGTTCGCCACTTCATGACGGTGACTTCACAACGGCGCTTGTGCCAGGCTAGGTGCACATCCACTGCCTCGTCATACGTGCACTTAAACGTGACTGCTTGTGTCCCTCGAATGGCTGAGAGCTTAACAGTTATTGCGGTGTGTGCCACAGGCACCCGTGGGTTCTTACCTGGTCCCCCATTGAAGACACCTTCTTGTCCTCCAACAGCAGGCGCTTGGTTGTTAACAAGATGCCGGGCCGATACTCAAACGACAAATGAGGCTAGAGACCCATCCGTCTGAATCGGCCCGGACAGATAAAAAAAAAATTTCCGCATAGTTCACGTGTCTCGATTTTACAGGTTTCCGTATACTTGGTCTTTGTGGCGAGTGGCGTGCGCTGCGTGTAAAAGATAACAGGTTATTCATATTTACCCACCACAGGTGTGTAATTATATCATGAGATAATTACGACAAACTGGGAAAAACATTGGCATGCAACATCGATTTATTATTTTAACGTTTGACAAATGACATTACATGAATCATACCTAATTACATAACTGTTCTGCCTCAGGTTTTCTAAAGTGAAACTTGAAGTGGTGTGGAGCTCAGCCATTTAATGATTTCGCAGAATCCCTCTTGTGCATCTGCCAATCTTTGTAACGTTGTTATTGTTCAGAGGTTCTTGTAAATTGCAATTCCTCCTGTAAAGGCCTCGTTCTTTTCACTTTACAACAATGGGCATTTTCAGAGTAGAGTTTGAGTTTAATTGTGATAAAAAAAACATATTTAGAAACAGTACAGTCGACCATAATCAAGTTTGCATGTAATAATATTGAGGCCCAATTTGCCATATGGAGTATGCACAGTAATTTGTGAGATGGAAAATTGAACAGATTCGTAGGAACATCTGACGCTATACACGGTTTTTATGTTCTGCAGTCGGTATACGTTTCATCATACTGGCTAGACGCAAAAAACTAGCACATTGATCAATTGATGCGATGTGAATTTACCTTGGAAAATAAAGCACATTTGGCAAGTGCGTAATATTGTAGCTTTCAAAAATAAGGTAATGCAAACATCTTGACTTCAGTGGCGATATTGATATATTTCGATCAAGTGAAGTGCGTGCATGATACATAGATAACATGACTGTAGCTGCTAGAGATGTACCTCGGGTTGTGTGGATTAAGTGCGGATTGATTGAAGTGCTGTTTGGTTATGCTACGACAGACAACATTAAATGCGATTTTAATGCGAGTTTGTTGTGTTTGAGGAGGTGCCTCTCACTTTACAAACCTCATGCTCATTCCCAAAACACATTTCCACGTTCATCAAATGCATCTCCACTCAATTACACACGTTGTGTTGGGCTTGATGTGACTGGCATTTGAGAAGCCCTGGTCTGTAGCAGGTGGAATAGGTAATCGGATTTTACACAAGCGTGATGCACCTTTAATGATCCACTGAACTATATCCTGTGTAAGAGTTTGTTAAAATTGGTGCATTTGAGGGAATCGACTGCTCTATGTTGTTCACACATATGCCTGAAATCAAAATAACACCTCTGGACATGACGGGCAAAGAGTATCATTGCTGGATGTGCAACTCTATTGGAAGTTGCATCTTTACTTGTGCAAGGAGTGTGAAATGACGGAAACGTGGCTTTGTTTAGCTGGTTGCAAAGATGGCAATGTGTTTATGTTAATATCAGAGAATATTGTGCACATCATCAGAGGGGCTAATCATTACGTTGCTCTGGTGCGAGGTGAATGTTACTGTAAACTAGCATCACATGGCTTGTGGGTATTCTTGAATGTCTTATGAAAATTAAATGTATCGTATCTGAATGATGGCATGTTTGCATTTGCTCAAATGTGTTTCTCTTAAGTAGCGAGACGTCATACTGACCATCAACAACAATGTGGAAAACCGGATTTTATTCGTGAAATTATTCCCATCTGAATTAACATTCCACGTTTAGGAACCTTGCTGTACTGTAGGATCAGGACCCCTAAGTCACTTGGTTTATTTTAGAATTAAGACAGCATTCAAGGCAGAATGAGTAACACCAAGCGGACACTTGTAAACAAATGGTTTTAAAGTATTTTGTGGGTACGGCTACACGGATTCTATTTCAAAATACAAAATTACTCCATAGTCTAACCCCGCTTAACCACTCTGAAAGTTGTCCACACGCATGGAACATGCGATGATATGAGTCCGGTGGGGGCTGTGGCCCATCACACAAACACTCCTCTGTTGCAATCAACAAACCTCTTATAACATCAACACGCTTGACCAATGTTCAAGTGTGGTTAATATGAGCATGCGATATGGGGCATTTGTAGGTTGATTAATTAAGGAAGCGTAGAATTGGACTGTTTAATAAATGTCCTCTTGCCATTAAATGATATTGCTTTTGAATTTTTACTAAACACCTAATTTTAATATTGTGTCTAAAACATCACACATTGTAAGGCATTTAAAACAGAACGCACATATTGTATGATAAAAGGTGTACTTATATTTTATATGCAGCAGTGCAACAGAAGTGAAAACAAATATTCCAGTTGTGTCAGACTTAAAATGTAGAAAACATCTGTGCTCGGACAATTTTATTGACGTGGAAAAGTATATGTGAACTTAATCATTGGAACAGACCTTCAGAGTCACCATTATAACTTGTGCATTACCATTCTGCCATTAAGTCTTAAGAGTGTATTTCGTCGTTCATATTATCGACCGATACAACCAACTCTGTTGAGTACAAGCATTTATTAGTACCCAAATTCGTGTCAGAGGAAGTATCGTTTACATACAATCCTGCCGAGCAAGTTTGAGCCAAATGATTGCTCGAAACGGCCAACGGGATTCCCTCAGTCATTTCATCTTTCTCAGGGCAAATTGTTTCATATTCATGAGTATCCCAGTCTTCATTGTAGTAGAAATGATCAAATGGAACTTCGTATGTTTCCGATATGCTTGAATCCATCTGAAGCTCAGAATGGTGTGGCTTTTTCCTGCCAAACAAAGTTCAAGTCAGGACTTCTTTCACCATCAAAATAAATTTCATGATTGAAATATCAATCCTCCGTATGGACACAGGGAGAGGTACTGTTGATACATTTTCATGTTGATCAAGTTGAGCCTACAGAGTAGGAATCTATCCGCAGATTCTGACAATCACTGTTACTGGATAAGGGGTCCAGAGATAACTGCAGGGAATTACCAAGGCACAGCTACTTCATTAAGGTGAAGATCAAATGCCCTATAATATAAATTGAAAATAAACTGGCTATTGCATGTATTGCTCAGTTCCAAATGTCATACATGAAAATTAACCACAAAATAAATAAGGTCATGTGAATTTAATCCGGTGGAAGAGATCATCTCAATAGACTCGATAATGAATACAGAAATTTCATTATCTGGAACAATTGTTTGCTGCTGATGACAATGATGATGATGGAGAATTGATGGTTATGGTAAAGATGATAATTAGGAAAAATATATCTATTATATGTTTAAGTTGTAATGATGAGATGTATTCGTGTTACTAATTCAAAAATGTGTATTGTTTTACAAATTATTCATTCTGACAATATTTGATGAGGAACACGCTTGTTGAGAATTGTAGTTCCTTTTCCCCCATCCTTTTTAGTTTTATTCACAAATTTAATAATGAAGTAGCCAATTAAGCAGCTTTGGGTATGCACGTGTCCACAGAGCAGCATCCTAGATCAATGAGTTGATGGAGACATAGCACACATCTACTGGTAGGAACCTCCTGGTTACACCAGCCCACAGGGGATTATTGTGTCCGTCCGTCCTGCATCCAAAAATGGGAGGGGTGGGGCTGGGTGGAGAGGGGAGGGTGAGGAGGGGCTGGGTGGGGAGGGTGGGGCTGGGTGGGGGGTGGGAGGGGTGGGGCTGGGTAGGGAGGGGCTGGTCACCCCGTGGTGCCCTTATATAACTCAACGTTTAACCTACTCACACCGGCTTGTGCCCGCCCTCACAGTCGGCCATATTTGCGGAATACACCACGCCGCCGTTGACCCTGGCCATTGACCGAGCAACCCAACGTTCCTACCAGCTCCCTCCGCAGGAATGTGTTAAAACATACCCAGAATCTCGCAGAGGGCCCCGTTGTGCGTTGCTGGACATTTGCACTCAAATTTGTCTTAATCGCGGTGAGTGTACTGGCAGTCTATAATGTGGACTGTAGCCTGGTTATTAAGTTTGGTGAGTGTACTGGCAGTCTATAATGTAGACTGTAGCTATGGTTATTAACCTCGGTGAATGTACTGGCAGTCTATAATGTGGACTGTAGCCTGGTTTACACCATTGGTACCTCATTTGCCAGTAAACAATATGATAATTGGGTTTTTACCCTTTTATCTGGCAACAAAACTAACACCTTTTTTTACGAGGAGTCATGTTTGCATAGACCACAATATCTGCTTCATCGCCCGATGAAGCTGATTGTAATTATCAGCGAAACGTCGTACTCAAAGCGAAATAGCTGTGTGTAATCCCAATTTAATCATTTGCAAGTAATACTGAAGTGTTGGGATGTTTGGCCAATGCAAATTAAATTGTGTAATTTCTTATGTATTTGTTTTGGACTTCTTTCGAGCCGTACGTAGCCAACCGTGCTCATCAGAGGTGCGGGGGAGAAACAACAAACTAGACACAAAAAGTAGTTTTAAAGAAATTAGTTTTCAATCTAGATTTAAAAGTGCATAGCTTCAGTGACTTCCTAATATCGGAAGGAAGAGCGTTCTCGACAGCCAGAGAAGCCATCCAAAAACGAGTGATGCATTGGCCGTCTTTGTTCGATGGCTAGCATTATGATTCGAGTTTAGGCAGAGTTCCAGAGCTTAGAATGGGCGAGTCATTTTCCTCCAGAGTGACTGTGCGCAGTTTCATGTTATTTTATTAATACTTCATTGTTGAAGGTCTCAGAAGGTGTGTAACCGCTTATCTATATTCGGGAGATCACCAATAGTGCCGATACCTGCGCCCTTCTAGGTTTGCCCCGGAATCTGTGGCTGCCTCTCCTAAGAGATGAGTGAAGCCAGACAGTAAAGGTGGAATAATGGCCGGTGTTGGCACGCTGTGGTGGCGGTGGGATTAGGGGAGCCTTCAGGGTGGGTGTCTGTAAGACCTTGAAGCAACCCGGTAATAGACAATGCCTTCCCCCCCATTCGATTCGGATGATAGAATCACAAACGAGTTATGAGAAAGACACAGTTATTAGTACTGACCTGGATCGTTTTCTTTTGTAGACGACGAAAACAATGACGGCAATGATCAAAACTCCTCCAACAGAGCAAACCACAGCGATGACGATGGTGATGGTATCATCTACGGAACATATACCAAGCACGTTTCAGCATCAAATCACTAGATAATCTTATTTTTTGAGCAAAAGTGCATAAATGTTTAAAACAAAAACGTCGTTACTCGGTGAAAACCACAAAACATGTTTACAAGAATCAACCACTGTGGTGCATCAACACTTTTGAAAGTAAGAAACTGAAATATTATATCATGAACAAATACAAGTTAGCAAATGTGCAAATCCTTTGGCTATGGTTGAGGAGTAGGACATGACACGTTGAGTGTGGGAAGTAATGTGTTTCAGAAATAAGACTTACCCTGTATCACTGTTTTTAGTATATAATCAGATTATTATTGCTGAACTTAACATTGACTTGAAAGTATGTTTGTAAAGGATATCAGTGGTGCCGGCTCAGGGCTCTAGTATTTCATGACAAAGCACTTCCTAAACATTTTATATGAGGTGAGTTTACTGACAAGTATTGGAAATATCAACTTAACGAGACTTATTAAACCTCATTACTGCATTGCCCATCACTTTGTCGAGAAAATAAAAATTGCATCAAGGGTAATGGTACATCTTCTTGGTTCTTTCGGTAAAATCACGTAGAAGGGAAATAATAAAATAATAAAAATTTTACATTATAAAATACAATTCTCACGACATTTCGGCCACAACGCAAGCAGCCGTCCTCAGGTGAAGAACAGGTCTGTCGGAAAGACAGCGTCTGAATGAACACCACGACGCTTGGCAGCGTATATTTAAGCTGGGTTAGAGAGGGAAGGGTGCTGCAAATTCCTTTGTCAAGGCGCCCTTTCCCCTCTAACCCAGCTTAAATATACGCTGCGAAGCTTGGTGGTGTTCATTCAGACGCTGTCTTTCCGAAAGACCCGTTCTTCACCTGAGGACGGCTGCTTGCGTTGTGGCCGAAACGTCGTGAGCATTGTATTTTATTATGTTTTATTATTTTATTATTTCCCTTCTACGTGACTTTACCGAAAGAACCATGAAGATGAATCCCTGCAGTCACGAAAGCTTTAAATCGAAATTTAAGGGTAATGGTATATGTAACATGGCGCACTCCACAATGGAAGAGCAGCATTAACTAGATATCTTCACCGTGTGGGTTACCTTTTTTCTCGCAGTGTTTTCCAGTGTAGGAGGAAGGACACTGGCACACAAGCACGCCATCCTCTACTGTGCACGTGCCTCCATTCTCACAAGGATTCGAAGCACACAGGTCCACTGTAAAACACATCATTGTTAAATACCTTGGAATCAACCACGGTGCTTTCCCGTCGTACAATATAATACATATTACATTGCAATGTATTGTTGCACTGACTGCACAGGCTTCCAGCTTCACAAAGGATTCAATTCACAATCCTATTGCTAATGCACAAAGCACTTAACTACCTCGCCCCAGCCTACATCAGAGACATGCTATACCCATGTCCCCTCAATGTTTCTATTCCATTCTCGCAAGTAGGAGCAATATTTTCAGGAGCTCAATGCCAATGTCGAGGTCTGCGAACCACAAGTGGGCTTCAGGAGAGTTCGTGTAGTTGCGCTGTTCCTCCACTGAAGGAGGGCAGACCACAGTGACCTACGATAAGATCCACAGTTTGGATTGCATGGCCATGGTTCCAATGTGGCGGCTTGTCTTTTATGTTCCCTGTTGAAGGTGGCGAGGAGGCCACGTTGAGGGTGGTAGATGGCAGCAACAAGTGTGCAACCATTTATTGTGTCACTCGCCATCAACACACTGTCATCAACGTGCGCTTCTTGTAAGGCGATGCCGTAAACTTTGTTTTCCTTCAGGTTGATGGCCAGGAAGTTACATTCAGGTCTTGAGAGTCCTTCAATATACAGTTGGTTTCACTTGAAGACGTCATCCGATTGGTTTCTGGCCCTTAGAAGAGCCTTTCTTGGCATTTATCTCTGTTCATTATATCTGGATTCGAATTAATGACGTCCATTTCGCCAAGATGACGGCATTAGTTGTGTTTAAGGTCTCTACAATCTGGGGATGTAGATCTTGTCAGCATTCCCCGACCGAGATGTTCTCCATGTAGCAGCCCCCAGACTGTGGAACTCTCTCCCACGAGATAACAGGTTCTCCGAGTCTTTGGACATTTCTAAAGCGTGTCTTCAATGTAATCTATACAATTCCACTTATTCAACTTTTCGTTAATTCAACAAATGGCTTTATCATTTATTTTTATTAATTTCCCATATCTCAGTGTTTAATTCCATGGGTTATTGTCATGCGGGGTGTCTGAAAGGTAATTGGGATAGGAAGTGCAACGTGGTCCTTTTCCCTAAGGTCACCATCAAAATAAATTTGCGCAAATGTGACTGACTGACGGGCAAAGCTTTACTGCTGAAAATTCCTATTATTGAAATATCAATCCTCCATATGGACACAGAGAGAGGTACTGTTGATAAATTTTCATGTTAATCAAGTTCAGCCGACAGAGTAGGAATCTATCCGCAGATTCTGACAATCACTGTTACTGGATAAGGGGTCCAGAGATAACTGCAGGGAATTACCAAGGCACGGCTACTTCATTAAGGTGAAGATAAAATGTCCTATAATATGAATTGAAAATAAACTGGCTATTGCGTGTATTGTTCAGGTCCAAATGTCATACATGAAAATTAACCACAAAATAAATAAGGTCATGTGAATTTAATCCGGTGGAAGAGATCATCTCAATAGACTCGATAATGAATACAAGAATTTAATTATCTGGAACAATTGTTTGCTGCTGATGACAATGATGATGGAGAATTGATGGTTATGGTAAAGATGATAATTATGAAATATATATATTATATGTTTAAGTTTTAATGATGAGATGTATTCATATTACCAATTCTAAAATGTTTATTGTTTTACAAATTATTCATAACATTTCTCACAATATTTGATGAGGAACACTCTTGTTGAGAATTTTAGTTCCTTCTCCCCCATCCATTTTAGTTTTATTCACAAATTGAATAATCAAGTAGCCAATTAAGCAGCTTTGGGCACAAAGCAACATCCTAGATGATTGAGTTGATGGAGACAAAGCACACATTTAAAAACATACCCAGAATCTCGCAGAGGGCCCCGTTGTGCGTTGCTGGACATTTGCACTCAAATTTGTCATTCGTTACCATGCAGGTTCCTCCATTCTGGCAGGGGTTTGACGCACATGGGTCCACTGCAAGAGAGGCATTGTGAATTTGCAATTCAACTCCAACGTTGACAATGCCAGAACACAAAGCCACCAATTTTTATTTCAAGGCAGTGTTGTTGATGAATGCTTTGAGGTTTTATTATTTGTGCTTGTGCACTATTGCCAACACATCACTAGCAACATTACCAGGTAGTTAGTCTCATTTTAACGTACGTCAGGTGGAGCTGCAGTTGGATGCTTACACAATCTCTATTCCGCACTGCTAGTGAGCAGCATACTCTTCAGGAGCCTACAGGCTCCACGTTGTTAATATTACATTGGTTTGTCCGTGTGAGTACAGTTCACATATCATCACGAAAACTACAAAGCTCCGAAACCAATCGCTATAAACCCACATAACTCACCATTACCAATGCCCAGATATGCATAGTTTCTGACAAGATGTACAGTAAAATACTTTCAAAAAGCAATGTTTGTGGAATATAACATTGTCCTGCTTACCAGTGCGATGACCACGTGTGTATTAAAAGGTGAGGGTGTGTGATCACCAAACGTGCATGTCTGTGTTTGCATGTGTAGTGACATAGAACGGTCACTACTGTGTCGGCCCGTACGAGGGCTGGGGGCCCCAAGGGGGTGCCTGGGGGGTCACGTGGTGGAGGGATCCGGACCTTCCCAGAGGTGGGGGAAGGGAGGCGTGGCCTGGACAGAGCCAGCCACGCCTGGGCGGAGCCGGCCACGCCAAAGCAGATATAAGCGTGGTGTGAACGCAGAGCGAGGCTTTTGTACTGTACTCCGAAGTGAAGACATCATCGGTCGTCAAGTCCCGAGTCGTCGTCCTGGGCCAGGCAGGCCGTTGCCTGCCTGGTCAGTCTGTGTCGCGTTCCAGAGTGTTAGTGAGTTGAGGGAGGTGGTCACCACCTCATGTACAGTGTTATATTACTTACCGTTTAATAAATAGTGTTGCCTCCAAGCTGCGTGTGTGTGCACCTAATTCGAACCTACTACATTTGGCGTCAGAAGTTGTGGAAATATAAATATTGCTAGGTGTTATCCTAGGGAAGTAAAATGGGAAGACGAAAAACAAATACAAAACTCATCTGGACGCCTTCGTACGACGGGGATGGTGTGACGACCATCCTTCGGACAGCCCCGGGGATGGCAGCCCCGGTGACAGAGAGAGAGAGATGGCGCTGCACGCGGAGCGGCGGGACTGGCATCGGGAACGGAGCGATGGAGCCGCGGGGAGAGACCCACAGACTCACCACACAGAGACCCATAGACTCACCACACAGAGACCCACAGACTCACCACACACAGAGACCCACAGACTCACCGCACAGAGACCCACAGACACCGTCGTCTCTGCGGGGGCTGGCGGGGGAGGCCCGGGCATGCGGGCCACGCGGTGGGGCCGCCAACTCGGCGGCTGATCGTGGCGCTGTTCCCTCCAACTCGAGGGCTGGTCGGGGCGCGGTTCCCGCCAAAACGCCGCTCCCGCCAACTCGAGGGCTGGTCGGGGCGCGGTTCCTGCCAAAATGCCGCTCCCGCCAACTCGAGGGCTGGTCGGGGCGCGGTTCCCGCCAAAACGCCGCTCCCGCCAACTCGAGGGCTGGTCGGGGCGCGGTTCCCGCCCTAAAACGCCGCTCCTGCTGCCGAAATGCCGCTCCCGCCGACATCAACGCCTGCAGAGGGGGAGTTCCAGTCTTCTGCTCGAGCGCGAGAGGGTGGATGGGTTCGCAAGAGCAGGCCGTATTCACCATGCAAGATTCTTCGGGGCGTCCCAGTGCTCCACCTTGCCGCTCTACGCTATTCATGGTTGCCAGGCGAGTCGTGACATGACAAGCACCCGGCCCCAAGGAAAATAATAATATCTTCACCCATCTTACGTGCGCCAGGTTGCGATCGCGGGTGTTTTTTTTTACTCGCTGGTTTGCGGAGCGTGTTCGTCCGGTTGTGTGCGTGATAAATTGACGCAGCTTCCATGCGGGTGTCTGCTTGTAACAGTGTTGTTAAATACGGCGTCGAGATCGGTATCTTCTGGGTGTAGTTAATGATTAATTCGTTGTTTGGTGTCCCGAGCTCCGTTGATATCCTGTAGGTTGCCGTGTTAATGACTCGTGTTGTTACGTCGTTTTTTTGCGAAATCGCCATTGTTATTGTGTATACTGTATGGAGTTTCGCTCGTGATTGTCACGCGTAACTGTCAGAAACTTTGATCGTCATTGTTGCCAATGTACAGACCGTATGGAGCTTTGCTGGAAATTGTTAACAGTGTATGGACTATTGGGTACTTGCTTGTGATTATTTACTATGTACGGATTGTCTGGAGTATTGATTGTGTGTGTTGCCATGTGGGGACTGGATGCAGCATTGCGCCAAATGATTGACTGTACGAACTTCGTATACTGCATATACTGTATTAATCGATTCGGCGATTCTTGGGGTTTGTGTCTAGTTTTTTTGCTCTCAAAATTCGAATGCCCTGAGTCCCATGGTTAGTGTTGAAGGGGATTTTGAAATGACAGGTTCGGTTTGTTTCAAACTCACTGGTTGGTTCCTGTCCGTTGTTGCACAGATGATGTCTTTTGTGCGGGAATGCCCCTTGTGTTCTACATGGACCGGGGGTGCGTTTCCATTAATTGCCGTCAAATTGCGTTGCTCTCTCCACTCGGTTGGTACAGCTGCATGCTGCAATGCGAGTCTCGGAGATGATGTGTACGGATACGGAATGTGAGGTGTATTGCTGTGACCATTGAATATTCGGGATCGTCACAAATTGTGCGTACCTGTTCGGCATTGGATCAGTTCTGTGGGGGATCATAATTCAAATTGTATGTGTTGTGATGGTGTTAAATTGCGATGGTGACATGCTGCCAGGTATTTGGAATTGTGGTGCTGGCTGTCACTTATCTTGGGGCGCAGATCCTGACCAGGATGGCCCAGTGAGAGTTGCGTGTCTAACACGAACATTGTGGTCCCGTCATGCTGTGTCTGACGGCTTGACCTGACAGCCCGGAGATCGAGACACTCCGTGGCTTGTCTAGCCTAGTGGGCTGTGCGCTCACATGGCTCAGAGAGTGTGGTCCCATCATGCTGTGTCTGACGGCTTGACCTGACAGCCCGGAGATCGAGACACTCCGTGGTTTGTCTAGCCTAGTGGGCTGTGCGCTCACATGGCTTAGAGAGTGTGGTCCCGTCATGCTGTGTCTGACAGCTTGACCTGACAGCCCGGAGATCGAGACACTCCGTGACTTGTCTAGCCTAGTGGGCTGTGCGCTCACATGGCTCAGAGAGTGTGGTCCCATCATGCTGTGTCTGATGGCTTGACCTGACTGCCCGGAGAGTGAGACACTCCGAGGCGCGTTGAAAAAGTGGGCTGGAGATTCGTAGTGTTCAGGTGGAGTTGTCCCGTTACGTTGGGACTGTATCCCTCAGTTGTTAGGGTGCATGTTGTGCAGTGAGTGAACGATGGGTCGTCTCAGCTCGGTCGGTACAGCTATATGCTGCGATGCGAGTCTTGGAGAGAGACTGGGTTAAAATCCCCCCGATATGGCCGACGCGTGCTACTGGTTGTGACGCCGCGTCGGAAAGGCGGTGGGGTTGTAACATGAAAATTCCCCCCCGATATGGTTGACGCGTGCTACTGGTTGTGACGCCACGTCGGAAAGGCGGTGGGGTGGTAACATGGAAATTCCCCCCCGATATGGCCGAAGCGCGCTACTGGTTGTGATGCCGCGTCGGAAAGGCGGTGGGGTGCTAACATGGAAATTCCCCCCCGATATGGCCGACGCATGGTACTGGTTGTGACGCCGCGTCGGAAAGGCGGTGGGGTGCTAACATGGAAATTCCCCCTATGATATGGCCGACGCGTGCTACTGGTTGTGACGCCGCGTCGGAAAGGCGGTGGGGTTGTAACATGGAAATTCCCCCCCCGATATGGCCGAAGCGCGCTACTGGTTGTGATGCCGCGTCGGAAAGGCGGTGGGGTGCTAACATGGAAATTCCCCCCCGATATGGCCGACGCGTGGTACTGGTTGTGACGCTGCGTCGGAAAGGCGGTGGGGTGGTAACATGGAAATTCCTCCCCCGATATGGCCGACGCATGCTACTGGTTGTGACGCCGCGTCGGAAAAGCGGTGGGGTTGTAACATGGAAATTCCCCCCCCGATATGGCCGACGCGTGGTACTGGTTGTGACGCCGCGTCGGAAAGGCGGTGGGGTGGTAACATGGAAATTCCCCCCCCGATATGGCCGACGTGCGCGGGTTTTAGGATGGAGACGCCATGTCGGAAAGGCGGGGAGGGTGCTATTGGGTGACTGTCATGTCCGAAGAGCGGAGGCGAGTGTTCGTTGAGTGATGCCTCAGGAGGGTTTGGTTCTCGTCACAGGAGGCAGTATCTACCTGGCACCTTGGAGTCGCCGGTTATGCCGACCGGCTACGGACTGGGGGGGGAGGGAGTGGAGCATGCGTCAGCTACTCCTGCTCCTCCTGTTCTTGACTCCTGGGGGGAGGGGCCGTGCCCTTTGGGCCGCTTCTGGTTCCCCAGGCCCGGCCACATGGACTCGTTGAAGACTGGCTGCTCTACATGCCTCTTAGACTCCTTGCTCATTGCCTATGCCGTCGTTCCAATGGCCACACTCACATGTCGGTGCATGAGTGATTCTCACGGGGAGGCTAGAGCGTAAGTGGGTTAGCCAGTTTTCATGTATATTTGTTGTTAATTCCCCATTTTCTATGCGGTTTCCTTCCTTTCACCCTCGTCGATTCTGTGTATATTACGTGATTGTATTTCTTATCGGTCGTCGGTTATTTATTGATGTTGCTGGTTCGGAGGCACACCTTTTCGATGTTTCACAGTTGTGTTACAGCCGGGGACGGCTGTGTGTTTATACAGGGGGGGGTGATGTAGTGACATAGAACGGTCACTACTGTGTCAGCCCGTACGAGGGCTGGGGGCCCCAAGGGGGTGCCTGGGGGGTCACGTGGTGGAGGGATCCGGACCTTCCCAGAGGTGGGGGAAGGGAGGCGTGGCCTGGACAGAGCCAGCCACGCCTGGGCGGAGCCGGCCACGCCTGGGCGGAGCCGGCCACGCCAAAGCAGATATAAGCGTGGTGTGAACGCAGAGCGAGGCTGTTGTACTGTACTCCGAAGTGAAGACATCATCGGTCGTCAAGTCCCGAGTCGTCGTCCTGGGCCAGGCAGGCCGTTGCCTGCCTGGTCCAGTCTATGTCGCGTTCCAGAGTGTTAGTGAGTTGAGGGAGGTGGTCACCACCTCATGTACAGTGTTATATTACTTACCGTTTAATAAATAGTGTTGCCTCCAAGCCGCGTGTGTGTGCACCTAATTCGAACCTACTACACATGTTTCCATGCGTCTATTTCTTTGTACATTAGATTACCCTTACAAAACATGGGCTCCCTGAATGGACTGGCATTTCAGTTTGTTACTGCAGCACGAGGTAAGAGTTGCTATTTTGTGGCTTTAGACTAGATCAGTACTCTTAGAAAAGACAAAGTTGGCAACAGCCTTAAAGAGACAGCCTGGTTTGTGTCTGGTACTCGCAGCACATGTCATCGATTTATCAACCAATTACTTATGCACGTGTAAAAGTTGCCAGATGTTTGTGAGGCCATTGTTTTATATTGAGATTTTAATAATTTACTGCAGCAGTCCCCAACCTTTTTGGCATTTCGTGGAAGACAATCTTTTCACGGACGGATGGGGACAGACGGGGACGGGGGGGTTCATCATTGGGTCTTTCCACCTTTTGTGGGCTTACCAAAACTGTGACTGAGACAAGTGCGCAGTGCGGGAAAGAGGCGCGGACGGAAATGGTCATTAAAATAATGGGGGTGGGCCACGCGCGGACTCACTGCTCACCTCCTGCTATGCAGCCCGGTTCCTAACAGGCCACGAACCGGTACCGGTCCGTGGCCCGGGAGTTGGGGACCCCTGATTTACTGTATTCATGACAATGAGATTTTTATATCTATCGAGAAATGTTGTTTGTGAGCAGAATTTGTACGTTGCAGTTAAACATGCAGAAGCCACACGGATCCACTCACGTGAAATTTCACAATTCGTTCCATTGTAGTTGGGAGGACAGGTGCACTCGTACTCAACGCCATTCATTAAGCAGGTGCCTCCATTCTGACAAGGGGATGAGGCACATGGATCGGCTGCAAAAGACAACATTGGGACTTACACAGCATGGCCTGGAATTACCGTGTCAAAAACAGGCCCGGATTACGTAGATTATGAAATATACATTTAAAATCAGCAATGCATTTCAATGTTAAAAAGGTAAATTTGCATCTGAAAAGGATTCCCTATCAAGTGTTGCTTACCAATTATTTAAAGCTATTAAGTACATTTCACGTGATGAGGGTCATGCTTTACCAGGGAAGTCATTTTCGACTTTATTCAAATTTGGCCTCATTGTATCACTCCCAAAGAGATTAGTGGTGAGTCAATCCCTGGTCTAGATTTCCTGCACCATCGATAAGCACAGTTGGCTACGTACGGTGCGGAAGAAGTTTAACGTACATATGTAGTGGCATAACGCGCGCAGGGTGGCAAACAGTGGATCCATTCACGTGCAGGGTTGCAAACAGCGGATGCATTCACGCGTGGGGTTTGCAAACAGTGGGTGCATTTCAGGGCGACCAAGTGCAAGCGTTAGGACATGGAACAGCCGCCAGAGAGGCACCAGCAATTATGGGGAGAAGCGGTGATTGGCCGGGTGCATTTGGGGACAGGCAGGTGCAAGCGTGGGAACACGGGGTAGGTGCCGGCGAGATGGGAGATGGAAACGATAAGAGAGACAAAGAGAGCAAGTGCACGTGGTGCCGCCGAGGCGCCGGCTTAATGGGGGCAACTGAGGACCCTTAATGAGGAGGGGGATATAAGGGGTGTGCAAAGCAACACAGTGAGTCGGTTGGAGCTGAAGAATCGAGGACAGGAAGCCTGGCACCTCGCCCTCCACACCTCGTCCTCCCCAGCGGTGTTGGCTGAACCCCCACTGGGGGCACGGACGAGGTAGGAGGTGTGAGAGAAGGCTAACAGGCTAGCAGAGTATTCATTAACAGGCTAGCGGAGTATTAAGTGACAGGCTAGCGGAGCAAGAGAGAGAGTTGGAACAAGAGTGCGTGGTGTTAAGTGTGAGGAGCATCCGTGTGGGATGCGACGAAATAAAGTAACACAGGAGAAAAGCTGAAAGTGTCAGCGTGAATACACCACTACACATATGTAATTGGTTCGATTGTAGCGCACACTCAACTTGGAGGCAACACTATTTATTAACGCATAACAACCAACTGGAACATGATACACAGGGTGGTGACCACCGTTACTCATCTCACTAACACTCGGGGAATACTACACAGCGTGACCAGGGCAGAGGACGAGCTGCCTGGTCACGGACGAAGGTCGGAGACTTCCAAGACCGCTGATGGCATCTTCATCCCGGGGTTGAACAGCCCAGCTCTCTGTTCACACCCCGCTTGTAACTCCCGCGGCGTGGCCGGCTCAGCCCCAGGCCACGCCCCACTTCTCGATCCTTTGAGAAGGTCCGGGCCCCCACCACGTGACCCCCAAGCTCCCCCCTGGGGCCCCTAACCCCCCTGTATCGGGTCACGTGTCCTGTTGGGTTCACGCAGAGTGTTTTGGCCTGACACGACCCCTGTGACACCCGCCTACAGCACCCATACCGAGCCAACACAGTAATGACGTCATATATGGCTACGCTCGTACAGTCCTAACACAGTAGTGACGTCGTATGTCACTACACATACAAACTCAGAGTAACAACTGTGAGTCAGGTGCTGTTCTCAAGTTACTGCAGGGTGGCTCTCTTCATTGATTATTGTTTAGAATAAAAACCCTAATCTTCCTACCAGCAGAACGCACTTAAAAAGTCAGAGATTGTTTACGTAAAATTTATCAAGCGAGCTATGGTTCGTGATTCTTACCGGCAAAACAGCCGATGGTGAAATTGCTGACGGTACACACTTCCTCTTCAATACAACTATATCTGTTGCATACCAACGTCTCTGTTTTCAGACATTTGCATGACTGTTCACAGGCGGATGTGTAGAACTGTTCCCCAACCTTCATTATGCACAAAGGGGCAAACACACACATACACGTTTTTCAACATTACACACGTGAAAATGTGCAAGATAATGGATTTGGTGTACAGACTTACAATTTTAGATCACAAATGAACGTTGTTAATCGACTTCAGCACATCACTCCACAAACTTGCATGAATACACGTAGGGTAGCAGAGAATATTAACATTCATGACAACAAATTAGGGCACAGCTGGTTCTTGTCAATAATTGTATCATTTAAGTCTCTCATACATATCACGCATTTATTCTAAACACACACCTCACAATGCAATGTGTTTCGTGCCCAGAACGCTCAACGTATGAAACATTTCTGCAAAATGAGTGAAACGTGAACCACCAGAAAACATGGAATACTTCCGAATAACAGCGTTCCTTGATGTCCACACGTCATTCAGGTTCAGACTGCGGATCCCATCACACACAGATGGAACTTGTCTAGCTTCACATTGGCCTGGTCAGTGCAGCAATCAGTGGGAGGCAGTCATAGCAAGATTCACCAAGGTGAATTTCACAGCTTAATATTTAAAAGAGCAGGAATGGGGACTTTACTGTATCTGAGTGTATAGTATATATAGAGTATACGCCACATGGTTTATCCATTCTTTGTTTGTATCATTACCTCGTGATAGGACTTCTCATAGAGGCAGCCGCACTGGGTGTAGGGGACGCAGTCGAAGCCGCTCATCACGAACCCGGGCAAGCACTGGCAGCCCTCCACGTCGGGGAGCTCGCAGTTCGAAGAAGCGGCCAAGTCTCCACAGGTGGACGGGCAGGCGGACATGCGCTCGACGTAGACGCTGTTTGGAGGGCACGCCGGTTCTGCGTATGCACACACACACACGCACGTACCAATGCATACATGGGGCAACATACGTAAAGGCCCCAGCCATGTGTATGACTTTATGATGTAATATTAATTTGTAGCCCTTCGTCAATGCACTGCCGGATGAAGGCCTCCCCATGATGTGTGGGTCATGCGTGTTGTTGACCATACTTCACCACCCTCCAAAATATACTACGCACTATTATGAGCAGCGCATTGTCTGTAATAAAATTACAAAGGGTCTATTTGTTTAAAGTACAACACAACTTTTTTGGCGATCAGCCAATAGGCCAATGTTTTCCAGAAATATTTCCATTTTAAGCAGACATCGGTGATTCATCTCACCACAGCCCGTGTGAATTCTCCAGTTGTTGGGAGTGATGCCCTCCTGTTGGCAGGCTGACGTGTAAACCTCCAGACTGCTGCAGAACAACTCCTTGTCTCCAATGTTTTCGCACAAGTCATACATGCAGTTCCTGAAAAACACATGATACATGCACTCATTATGCTTTGGTTCTTTCGGTAAAGTCACGTAGGTATAAAATATAAAATAAATTAAATCACGTTTTGGGCGCAACACAAGCGTCCGCCATCAGGTGGTTGTCCCACCTGATGATTTAATTTATTTTTTATTTTATACCTACGTGACTTTACCGAAAGAACCAAAGACTATCGATCCTTGCAGTCACGAAAACTTAAAATCTAGCATGCACCAATTACCATGAACAGGTCCCTGTGGGGTGGCTGGTAGGAACGAACAAATGAATGGCTATAATAAAATGAAATGGCAAAAAATGGCTGCCAATAATTTAATGTAAAAGCTTTAAATTTAAATGTTTCTATTTAAAAACATCAGGGAATGTAACATTGTTAAACATTAACTCCCTTTCACACACGCGGGGGTACGATACGAAGGGAGAGTTTGAGGCCTAGATCTAGGCTTTAGGCCTAGCTGTAGGCTTTAGGCCGCTGTGAGTTAATTTTTTATTTAAATGTTTTAATTAAAAACTATCTCAGGGAATTATAAGGGAATGTTACACTTGTTTAGCCAGGAAAGCCTCACTGAGTCTAAAGGTTTTTGTAGGGTCCTGCCAAGTGTTTGCAGTAGGGGGCGATGTTGCTACACCTAATCGGACATCGGACGGACGGACGATATAATCTATTGTAGGTTGGTTCACTTCGTTCCTACCAGTATTATTCTGCAAATACAGTTATGCACAAACTATCCTTATAGTACCTCCAACAAAAAATATCATTTGCGATTGTCGGTATGTAAACACGTAATTTTCAAACTTCATAAGAAAAATGTTTCATCCCTTTGTCATTTGTGGCCATGGTTAATATCAGTGGCGAGTGATACCTGAACCTGTCCTGGGCCACCCTTCACCAACCCACACCGACCAGCGCGGTGAAGTATGGTCAAGTAAAATCCATGATCAACAGGCCATGGGGAAGCCTTTTCCCAGTAGCGGATTCACAAAGGGCTGTATATGAATTAATGTAATTATATCAGCTAACTCAACTGAACCAGGTGTTTACAAGGCCCCATATTGTAAGTGCATTTTCCAACAAAAATTAAGACGATATTTAACTTCTCTTTCTCAGCTTGGAAGGGCAACTGACTGGCCATGATGTAACCCTGCTACATAGCCCTTTTGTACTCTCATTGATGAGGGTAGAGAGGTATCAATGCAGTCCCTTGAGTTGCAATATGGTGTCCATAGACGTATGATAACTACACAGCCGTTTGAACAGTGTGATTGAAATGTTGGACACATTTCTTATAGACTTGAGATGATTTACTGCCAGATATTGGACGAGTATTTTTGTTTATAATATAAGTTCTATAAGAGAAAGCGAAACGTTTAATTTTTAACGTGAATTTTTGAAAGACTTTATGGTAACACTGCCATGATTGATGTGCATTTTGTGCCGTCTTTGTAATTTTGAAAGTATTGGACACGTGGACGTGCAATAGTTTGTTGGCATGCTGCATCGAAGCAGCATGCTGCGTCCAAATAAACTAGCTTAGAAGACATTCAATAGACCTGGCGATTCCTCGGAGAGTGATGAAACTCGTACAGTAATTTCTTCATACTACCAAGGGTCTGTGGGTATAGCTTTAAAGTGTCTTTGAAGGATAATCTATTTAAGGAGCCGCTATTGGGTAATGGTGAGCACAATGGACTTGCAATCCAGAAGTTACCAGTTCAATACCATCTTCTGGCGTGGCAGTTCTCAAATCCCCCCCCACCGCCGCTGTCTAGCCAGCAGTGTTCAACAAAATCGATCGGCAGGTCACGTGTGGTGGGGTAAAGTGTGGGTACGCCCACCTCTTCCAACACATAGTTAACGTGGAAGAGTAGACCAAATACCCTCTAGAGTTCGCTGGAGTGGAGGCCCCTCCACCAGCAGTGGCGCGAGTGAGAATTTGCAGGGTTGTCACCACCTTTACATCTGTGGACACCCTGAATTTTAATTCTCATATACCACGTATTTAATGTAATACAATGCACCGCTCATCTCAGCTGTGGACGCACGTGTAATACGGGTCCCACGGGGCAGCGGTCCAGCACTGCACGAAAGGCCCAGCGGGATCATGGAACACTCCGCAGGAATTCTTGTTCTCCAGCTCTGCCCATTGCTCATCGCTGCAGCTGAGGTTGAGGTCATTCCGGGGTTCCTCAACGAGACGTTTCGACCTGTACTCACGATGCACAAGATTAAACGCCAATGCAAATTATCAGTGCACTCAAGCTGGGGTCATCGTAACGTGGAGGAACACCTTCTGCCGTGAATGCAGCGCCCGCTGTGATGTCACCGCCACACTGATTGCCGAGCCATGAAATTAGATTTAGTGATTTAATGGACATGTCATTATAAATCTGCTCATCTACAGAGGCCTAGATACACAGTGCAATTTTAATATATGCGAAATGCGAACCTAACGCCGCATTGTTAAAAGTTTGGGTGTATTATTAAAAATTATTAAGGATTATTGTTGTGTGTGGCACCCACAGCATTCCCGTGCGAACTTGGCAGCCACTATTAAGAGCTGTGCCCCACCCTGCCCGGCTACCTGCAGCAACGCAAGTCTCCCGGGTGGCTGCAACCAGCACTGTGCGGAGGGCTGTGTCTGTGACGACGGGTTTGTCCTCTCTGGAGACAAGTGTGTCCCCACATGGCAGTGCGGTTGCCTGGATAACAATGGCCACTACCATCCGGTGAGTTAAGCAAAAATGTGTACGTAAATCCCTATCCTAGGCTTTGTGTTTGATACAGGCCAACACAAATTTGAATCTTCCTTAATTAAAAATAGTCTAAAGCATTCATGTTTTTATTTATTTACTCGTCATCATAATAATAGCTAAAAGGTTAACTGAGATGTTTCTAAAGACATTGCATTTGTATCTCAGCTCGGGGAGAGCTGGTTTGAGTCCCACGACTGCAGCAAGCGCTGCATCTGTGTAAATCTTGGCGGCAATGTCAGCTGTGATGCCTAGGTCTGTAAGGACAATGAGATCTGCAGTTTGGAGGATGGCATCCTGGGCTGTCACACACAGGGTGAGTGCTCCCTGCGTGACTTTTCAGTCGACATATAATGCTCTGAAACATTGTTCTTCAGGTCCAGATGATCACACCCCAAAACTGTACACTAATTTATCCAGTGTAATGGTGTAAGGAGGATTAAACTAAATATGGATACTCTGGTTCTTTCGGTAAAGTCACGTAGGTAGAACAATGAAATATAATATATCACAACGTTTCGATCGCAACACAAGCAGTGGAACTGCTGAACCAGGAACACGTACACCAAGCCCTCAAGATGAATGGATATTCAGACCGCACAATCCGCAAAGCTGTGTCCCCAACCATGGGGAGACAACCATCTGAGGACCCAATCAAAACCATCACCTTGCCATACATAGCAGGTGTCACCAAAAATATTTCAAAAATCTTAAACAAACACAAGATCCAGGTCCGATTCAATACAGTACACAAAATCCGTGATTTGATCCCATCTGTGAAGCATGTCATTCCTGTCTACAACTAAGTTGTGTCTGCGGCAGCAGTTACATTGGGGAAATGAAACGACATGTCTCTGACCGTGTTCACGAACACAAGGCAGATTTGAAACACGGCAGAACCAATACTTCTGCCATGGCTGATCATTGTTATAACGCAGCGGGCTCGCACGATATTTTTGTTTCGAAACCAAGGTACCTGCAAACCTTCGGGCTACCATCAAAGATTTGTCCATGAAGCCATCCAGATTTCTAAACACAGAGACAATTTCAACCGAGAAGATGGGTATAAGCTGAGCACTCATTGGAAGTACGTTTTTAACCAAGCAAAGTCGTAACTTGCTGTGGTGCTTCCATTCTTCCCTGCCATTTGGCTGTAATCTCCGACTCTCTGAGTTGCATTGCCCTGTTAGGTGCCTCTGCATTAACGGACTGGTGTCTCACTAACAAGGCCACCTCTGCTCGCTTAGCCTCGATGTATCGATGGTTCTGGCTGTGTGATAGGCTGTGTCTCACTTGCGGTGGTTCTTTTGCGTGGACGCGCTTGCCTCTCACAGCGCAGTTGGCAGCTCCACAGCTTGTGTTACACATAGACATTAACTTGCTAATCCCCCTAATCTCTCTGCCTAATCTCTCCCATCAACATAGTGATAATCTCCCATTAACACTGCTGTTGTGCGCATATGCGGGGACGATACTCCTATGCGGCGACGGAAGCTCATTTCATGCTAATCTCTCTCTAATCTCTCTCTCCCTAATCTCCCCCATTAACACAACTAACGTGCTTGCGTCCGGGGATGGAATTCATTTCCAGCTCAGACCCCGCCTGCTTGCCCTTCGCCACATATATAACAGCTCTCTCACTGGTTCAGCAGTTACACTGCTGGATTATTCTTTATGCCTGAGGACGACCGCTTGTGTTGCGATCGAAACGTCGTGATATATTATTTTTGTTTTATATTAGATTTCTACCGATGGGACTTTACCAAAAGAACCAAAGAATATGGATTGCTGCAAGAAGTATAAATCTCACCTGAAAACGGGTGACTCGTACTGCTCAAAGAGGCTGCGTCGTTCATTGACTTCCCAGCTGTTGCCAAACACGTTCTCGGAAGTAACGAGCGATCCATCGGGAGTCTTGAATTCGTCACTCTTGTCCCCATTGTAATTCCCACACAGGCCACACACTTGGCCAGCATAAGAACTGGGAATGGTCACGTCTACATCACAAAAAAACCAACCTTCAACACTCGATTCTGTTGCACCACGTTCTACATATATATAGATCCTTAAAGGAAGCCACGCCCAAAAACAATAACAATGACAATTGTTTACCCCCCCCCCCCCACTGAAAAGAATCTTCACCTAGTTTTGATATTTAAAAAAAAGTATGAGGATCCTACACTGGGATGTTTCGCCAGTACCAATAATGAGTGATTCATAATCAGTTTATTTTGGGTTAGATAATCGTGCCAGTTGAAATGGCCAATTTGATTTCAGCTAAACCAATATTGACACGTTGGGTGGTGGGGGCTACAAAAAAATATATACCTCCACGATTTAACCCAAAACTAAATAATTATATATCGTGATACTGGTCATGGAAGCCTACGTATGAAATTAACCATTCATTCGTTTTTGGTCCATTGTGGGAGGAAACTACAGTACCTGGAGAAAATGCACATATTAAAGGGTATAGCACTCTACACTATGCACAGATTCAATCCATTCACTTAATCCAGTGAGTGGAAAACATCTATCTGTAGACTGATAGCATTTCTGTACTGCCTTTTACAACTATCTCACAGCCCTCACAACCATTCCCCTAATACACTGGGTATCCATGCTGGTTACCCATTCAAGTACTGACCAAGCTGAACTCTGCTCAGCTTCCAATTTCTGACGAGCTCAGCTGCATCTAGGGTGATTTGGTCGCGAGAAAAACAAATATTTCTTATTTCGTTAGCGACACACTCGGACCATGTGTTCTGGGCTATCCTCCACGAGTGCGGAGTCACAGAAGCACTTGAGACTTGAGTCACTTCACAGGTGTCACACACTTAATTAAAAAAGTCACTGCAGCTACGAGGTATGCATCTGCAAATATAAACGGTGTCATTTTGGCTTCATCTTCCTTTAATAAAGAGGTTTGCGAGCCATACATTATTTTGCATGTTTTAATTCCCAGCTGACGCCACGTATTAATGGCATTATTGGAAGTCACGAGCTGTAGAATTTGTTTGCAATATGTATTAACTGCATCACGTGATCAACGTAATCACTGACGAGCAGGAAGCGATGTACTTCTCCGGACTCTTTACCTGCGTGTGACTTGCGGTTGAATATGACAGTCAGGCCAGAGTCCGTCCTGAGCACCATCTTGCGGGAGGTGTGCACGATTTCAAGTCCCTCCATGGGATTTGATGGGGGCTTCGTTCTTACCCCATTCAGCTGCAGAGCAAGAACATAAGTGAGAATGTATAATGTGGTGGAGCGTTGGGAAACTGAACGGTGCTTTTGCACAGATGCTCATGGAGGCAGTGACATAGGCAGTAGTGGTGGAACCTATACTTAAGCAAGTGCAGTGTCCTCCCCTTAAATGTTTAGCCTGGTCAACTGCATATTCTAAACCATGGGGGAAATATATAATACGTAAGTAATTGCATAAAGGAAATATATATTTAAGTGTACAACAGCAATGAAAAGTACTCAAACAAGCATGGAGAAATGCACACTTGGAATTACACTGAGAAAGAGGTGCATGTGGATCAATGGTATAAATGCAAATCAGAGCCATTATTGACTAAAGGAAAGTAAGTGGGCTCAAGGCAGGACACTCCGACAGAGGGCCTTTTGGCCAAGGGATGGGAATGTGAACAAGATGGCAGCCAAAGGAGAGAATGTGCAAGAGGGAATGACCACTGTGGAGGTGAAGCAATGAGATCAGTGTGTGTGCAGGAGTGAGATGGACTGTGGCATCACAAGGCTGATGATGCCCAGCTCTGGTGTGATTCATAGAGCTCTGGTGTGATTCATATATCTGTGTCTTGGTGTGAAAACCCTCTCACAACGGGTAACACTCAAAGTCAGCAACCCACTCATTGTACTGCCATCTGCAGGCCACATGTTTGCTCGCGAATGGAGAGAACAACTTTGAGGCACGAGGAACCACAGACAAGTGGGACGGAAGCCAGGCGGTGGAGAACCGGTGCCAAATGAGCTCTGCGGTCCTCTATATATTAATTAATGAGTGTTTACACGTGGAAAGAAACTGGAGCACCTAGCGAAAACTCTCATCTATGAGAGGCAACGCTCTATCCCATAAAGAAAGAACAGATTGAGTCCACATTTTTTATGCACCGCATTCTCTCGGCGAGCTAGGGAATGGCACGTCAATGTCCACGGGAATGGGCGTTTCACAATATTTGTGCGATCCACCAACCCTCACCTCCAGTGATGGATTACAGGCATGCGCCACTACCACCTACCAGATCAATATGCATCTCTGCACAATCCACCAACTCTATCATGATCCATCAACCCTCGCTGGCGTCACATGTGTGTGACAACACACTCGGCACTCTATTTACATCACGTTCACATCTCCGTTTTCTTCTCCGTGTGATGTCATGATATCTCAGGGGTGTACGGGGAAACTCCTGCATACATCAGTAACTGACAATACGTTTCTAACAAAAAAATGTTTAATGGGAACAACGCCACACCTCGAAATCCTTTCTGTCGGTAAACTTGATCTGGAAGCCGTACACGTAAATGTACACTGCATCCAGTAAGGACACGCGGTGGTTGTGGTCGACACGCTTGTTTTTGCCGAGGATTCTGATGGGCAGGAGGTTTTTGTTGTCCCCACAGCTCTGCACCAGCGTGTATGTTTCACGACCCATGAAGTGGTACAGCCTCTTGTCAAAGGTCTGGTAATGTGGGTCCCCAGATATTGAACACGTGTTGTAACCTGGCACAAAGGGCAAAATTGTTTCCACATGGGTAACTTTTTTTATAGAATCAGAAATATTTATATATGCTGGAGGAATCCGATAAGCTATCAATATCTTTTACATATATGTCCAGTTGGGGGATGTAAGAATGTTACAATACATAAACATGATAGTATAAGTATAAGAAAGGTAAACAAATCATGCAAAAAATACACAGAGAAATCTCAGTGAGGGGAGGGGTAGGAGAGCGAGGGCAGCGAGGCAGTTAGTGTCAATACACAAAAATGTGTCCAATGCACGTTGAATGACTTGAGACACGTTTCTTGAGATGATTCTTTATTGTAAGACACGACCCCTTGAACAGGCAGACCCCAACTTCAGCAGCCCCCTAGCCTCTCGCCTTGTCCCCTTATATGCTGTGCATGGCCACACCCCTGCCCCATGGCCACGCCCCTTTCTGGAACCTTCTCGCTGGCCCCAGACCACGCCAAAAACAGGCTCCCGCCACGGACACCGCGATGCAGCTTGAATTTGGCGCCATTTTACCAACCAGTTCGTTGACTGGCGGAGAACGGGAGCACCACGTGAGGGAGGGTCTCCAATCGCTGCCTCCCACGTCATTGATATGCGACGGCGCTGCGCGGAAACATCAGCAGCCGGGAGCGGGGCAGGCATTCCAGCAGTGACTACCCATGTTGACGGCCTTCCGAGCAGAGGGAGGTGACTGGGGAGCCTTTCAACGGAGGTTCCTCACTCACCAAGAGATGTCGGGGTGGACCGATGCCGAGGCACTGCGCGCGCTCCCAGCGACTTTGGACGATGACACTCTGGCCACCTTCAGGTCGACTCCAAGGTCTGGCCGCTCCACACCATGCTGCGCTTCGGCTGATGGCCAGGGTCTACGGACCGCCGTCTGCCTGTCGCCACCACATCTACGCTCGCCGTAAGGGGGAGACGGAAACTCCTCTTGCCTACCGCACTGCACTTCTGGCTCTCGCTGACGCCGCTTTTCCTCGCATGGACGAAGAAGGCAAAGACGCAATGGTCACGGAGCAGCTTTTGGCATTGGCGCAGGACTTGGGTGTTCCCATCAACGCGGCAGATGAGGTTGATATATGCTCGTTGCGAGTTGCTACGAGCATCCACGCGCACGAAGTTCTTAAATGGAAACGGCCTGTCGTTGCCTGCGCCTCAGCCTCAGCTTCTGCCTCAGCCTCGGCGCCCAGTGAACCCCAAGGCGCTCTATCACAGGAGGAGGTCTTCGCCACGACACAGTCGGGGGACTGGAGGTTGGGAGGTCGGTCGCCCCAGCGCACGCCACGCAAGCTGGAGCAACCGAAATCAGCGACGGCCCTCGTCACATGTTACAACTGCGGCCTCCGAGGCCACGTTGCTTCTGGGTGCCGGGCTTCACGTCAGCGCGCTACAGGACCACGGCTGGACGACGCCCAAGGTCCCAAGTCCTCCCAACAGTCCCCGGCAAGTCGCGGCACCACACATGCTCGGCCCACTCACACTTTTCACACGAGTCACTGCGCCGTGCCTGATGGGCCACGGGATTCGGGTGCCTGTTCAGTGCGGGGAGGGGGGCTCGTACGGCTCGTACGGGAGCTCAGACCAGCCCAATGGTCTGAGCTGGCCCATAGGGTGGTGGCTGCGTCGGCCGGTTCGTCCGTGGCTACTGGGTCGATCGAGGGTGTTGAGGTTCGGGTTTTGGTCGACACGGGGGCGTCGGCAACGATCATTTCCGACCTTATTTACAATATTCTTCCCGTTCAATGTCGACCCTTACTCCCAGTAGACGTTCCATGTTATGCGGCAAATGGAGGTTCCTTGGGTATTGTGGGTCAGATTCGGGCGGGTATTTGCATTTGGGATATTAAATTGTCGGGACCAGTCTTGGTCTCATTGTCTCTTGCAGTCCCACGTTTATTGGGAACGGATTTTCTAGCTAAAATGCCGATCAAGATCCTCATTGATCAGGGTTGCATCGAGCTTCCCTCCGGCCACCGCATAGAATTTTTGTCCTCCCCTAGCAATCTACGCACGGCCTGTGCGACGGTGCAGGCGATGGTCACCCAGACGGTACGCGTACCGCCGGGGTCACAGATGTTAGTGCCCCTACGCTTGCGGAAATCTCTTGGTGTGGGTACAACGGAGCATGGTGTACTGTTAGGCCCGTCTAACGCAGCTGTCAGGGGTTTGGATTTGGCGGTGGCTCAGACGATGGTGCGGGGGGACAGAGACCCCTTCGTTGTGGTTTTAAATGTGGGGTCACGAGCAGCTGTGATTCCACAGGGTACCGTGCTCGCTCATGCAGCACCGGCACCCGTGGGAGAGCCGCTGATAGCGCATGTTGATACTGCTCCGGCTCCGCATCTGAAATCGGGGGGTGATCTAGGGTGGTTGGATTCACTGTGTTCTGGATCCAGTGACCTGTCTAGTTCACAGCTGGCGGCATTACGCGCCCTGTTGGTCGAATTTTCGGACGTTTTCAGCAAGCACAAATATGATATTGGTTGCACTGACCTATTACGTCACCACATTGACACGGGTGACGCTGCCCCCATTCGGCAAAATCCCTTCCGGCTGAGCCCAGCCGAGAAGCAACATGTGAAATCAGATGTTAATGACATGTTGTCTGCCGACATCATTTCGCCCTCATCCAGTCCACGTGGGGCTCCCATCGTGCTTGTGAAAAAGCACGATGGGTCCCTGAGGTTTTGCGTTGATTTCCGTCGCCTTAATAAGATCTCTGTGGCTGATGCATATCCGCTCCCCAGGATGGACGAATCCTTAGATGCTTTAGCAGGGGCACGGTATTTTTCCACATTGGACCTGCTATCGGGATTTTGGCAACTCCCCCTTGACGAGGTGTCGAAACCCAAGACTGCGTTTCGAACACCTGTGGGCCTATTTCAGTTCAATCGGTTGCCCATGGGACTCCATTCAGCTCCCGCAACGTTCCAGAGGTTAATGGAATTGGTTTTGTCCGGCCTGCAATGGGATACCTGTTTAATTTACCTGGATGACGTCATCGTCTTCAGTAGAACGTTCGAGGAGCACCTCCAACGTTTGAGGGCAGTGTTCCTCAGGATGCGATCCGCCAAATTGAAGTTTAAGCCACAAAAGTGCCAGTTACTCCCGGAATCAGTGCGGTACTTAGAGAACATCGTCGGCCGTTTGGGTATCTCCACTGACCCCACTAAGACACACTGTGTCAGTTCTTGGCCAACGCCCACTTCGGTCAGCAAGGTCTGTAGTTTTATTGGGTTTGCCTCATATTACCGGCGATTCGTCGAACAGTTTGCCACCATAGCCAAACCCTGCACGCTTTGACGGCAAAAGGTGTGAAATTTCGCTGGGGGCCGGAGGAAGAGGCCTCTTTTCGCTCCCTTCGTGACGCCTTGGTGAGTGCTCTGCCCTTATGTTACCCTGATTTCACCGAGCCGTTTTTGCTTGACACGGACGCCAGTAACACAGGCATTGGCGGAGTACTCTCACAAGTGATCGGGGGTGTCGAACGCGTTGTCGCCTACGGTAGCAGAGTATTGTCGCCGGTGGAACAAAGGTACTGCGTGACCCGTCGCGAGTTACTGGCTATTGTGTTTTTTATCCAACAGTTTCGACCGTATCTCTACGGCCGACACTTCACTGTCCGTACGAACCACGCGGCGCTTCAATTGGCGCTTTGCGTTGACCAGCCATCGGGCCAGTTGTCCCGATGGTTAGAGGTCCTCCAGGACTATCAATTCACAACTACTTACCGTAAGGATGTTCGCCATACCAACGCGGATGCCCTGTCGCGGTTGTCACCAAGTTCTGAATGTGCGTGTCTTTTGGGATCGGGACACTGCAAACCCCAGACTGTCGTCCCTCCGGCAGCTCTGGCCGCTGCGGCTGATGCACCGCGACCCGAGATTCCCTTCTCTCCGACGGGTGGGGATTTTTTGCTCAAATTGTCCCTCGTTGAGTGGGGCCGGCTCCAAATGGGCGACGCGTCCCTGCTCGCGCTGCATCACAAGGCCAATGGTTCCGATAAGGGTACAGTTGGCGTCGACTCATGGGTATTGAAACAGGGCCTCCTTATGAATTGGAATGGTACGTCCCTTCGCCATAGGCTTGTTGTGCCATCTGCTGTGCGAGGTAGGGTTGTTCTGGCCGCTCATGAACGACTGTTACATTTGGGATTTCACAAAACCCTTGCTCTGCTCCAGCGTGATTACTATTCGCCGGGTATGGCAAGGGATGTGTCCACCATTCTTAAAGGGTGTGTGCAGTGCGCCCAACGGAAACTGCCTCCCATTGCGGCTAACCCACCATTGCAATCTATTCAGGTCTCGTGCAGCAATGAACTTGTTGCGCTTTATATTTTGGGGCCTTTCCCAGTGACACCTAGGGGTAACAAGTACCTGCTGGTTGGCGTGGAATATTTCACTCAATGGCCCATGGCCTGGCCACTTGCCAACCAATCGGCAGCAGCCATTGCCGAGGCCTTTGTCCAGGGCTATGTCTTGGACAAAGGTGCACCGGAGCGGTTGCTGACCGACCAGGTGAAACATTTTTTGGGCGTTTTATTACGGGAGGTGTGCGACCTTTTGGGCACTAAAAAGGTGCGTACCTCCCCGTACCACCCACAGACTGATGGGATGGTGGAGCGGCTCCACAGGACGATTACGTCCATGTTGTGCCATCAGGTGTGCGAAGCTCAAGTGGATTGGGACTTACAGATTCCAGGTGTCCTCGCTGCCTACAGGATGGCTCCCCACGCGGCAACAGGGTTTTCTCCCTTCTATCTTATGTATGGCCGGGACGCTGATCCGCCCGTGGATGCCCAGTTGGGGATTTCCGAACCCCGTGCTAAGTCAAAATTGGCTGATCACATCAAATTTAACATTTCTAAATTGGCCGAGGCACGGGAAGCAGCGGCACTAAATTCGAGATCTCGCCAGATTGGCGAACGAGCGGTTGCGTGCACAGCGGACACACACGCACGAGTGGAAACCGGGCGATAAGGCCATGGCAAGGACCGGTCAAGGTTGTGCAGGTTGCGCGCCCCCAATGTGTTCAGATTAAGTGGGGGAAGCGTTGTTGGTATGTTTACCCCTCCCGACTGAAACCTTTTTGGCACCACATACCTTCCCTTCATGTCCAAATGGCCGAGCATGTGATGTGTCCGTTGACTCGGGGAATGGGATACCGCCACCTGATCCTCACATGCCTCTGACTGTCCCGCTCCCAGGTGCCGCGGAATTGACGGCCTCCGAACGCCAGCAGCCGGATCCCCGAAGCACGTGCGGAACCGGGGAACCCGGTTCGAGCCTTCCAGGGCTACCTGGGCCGCCTGTCGGACAAGCATGCCCTGTCCCGTATGACAGACCGGCCAAGCGGACTCGCGCTAAATTGCGCCACTTCTCGTGATGTGCGGCCGGATCCACCAGGATGCCCGTGCCAGGGCAGCCCCCTTTGACTGTCCGGATGTCCCGCTTCTCCTGGACGTGTGAGGTCGCGGGCACGGGTCACGGGATGGTGTAATGTCGTTTTTTATTTTATTTTCTCATCGACATTGTACATATGTTCATGGTGTTGAGTGTTGGAAGGTTGGGTTATCTATTGTGGCATTCGATTGTTGTTGTTAATTGTTGTGTTATTGTTGTTGCTACGGGGCACACACACGGTTCTGCTTTTTGGTGTATTCTTTATTGAAAAGGGGGGTTTTTGCAGCCGGGCCGGCTGCGAGCTATACGGGGGGGGGGGGGGGGGCGGGGGGGGGGGGTGATGTAGAGGTATTACGTACCGGGGTGTAGCAAGCCGTTACGTTGGGGTGTCTACATAAACGTCCGTACGTGGGGTGTCTACATCAACGTCCGCATACAGCCCCGCCCCTCGGGGGGGCAGTTGGGTATATAAGGCGGTGCGCGAGAGAGCTCGAGGAGTCATTGGAGCAGAAGAGCCAGTGAAGACTGAAGACCAGCTAGCTAGCCCTGGGACTACCCTGACTCGCTGCTCTTATAAGAGCCGAGCAGGGCAAGCCAGGGGCGACCTCAGAGCAGTGAGGTCTGTGTCCTTGTGAGGGCCAGGCTCGTGTGGCTGAGGGTCGGACCTGAGCCGAAGCTGGGCCAGGTCAGTTAGCCTCTACTAGGATGGTCTGGGTTAGAGGGGTGTAGGAGCTAACGGGGAAACGTTAGCCGAGGGACACTGCCTCGGATAGAACCGGGTGAAGGGGTCGTTACCCCTTCAAGCATTAGGGTGCGCTACGTACTGTATAGTAGCAATTGTTAATAAATACGTGTTGCCTCCGTCAACGTCTCCTGCACTACTTATGCCGTTACATATACAAGGCACTGTGCTCTCATGGATTGAGTCCTTCATTACAGGTCGGACACAAAGGGTCAATGTTGCCAGTAACCTATCACACAGGTCATCGGTGGCGTGCGGTGTACCATAGGGAAGTGCACTTCCTACTTTACACCGCTGTCATCGGCATCGCCCGCCATCATAGTATCGGCGTGCAATCATATGCTGATGACACGCAATTTTACTTCCATACAAAAGCTGACACACGTTCCACGTCTCATATTGTGTCTCAAACACATACAAAAACTGGTTGACACTATCTGAAGCTTAACTCGATTAAGACTAAATTAATCGTGCTTGGGACTCACCATCAGCTTTCCAGAGTCAAATGTGAACCTATCCACATAGACGGCTGCGACATCCCAGTGTCGGATAAGGCAACATGCCTTGATGTCCTTGTCGATAGCGAACTGACATTTGCCACTCACATCAGGCGCCTGACTGGACAGTGCTTCTATAATAAAAGACTCCGTCAGGCACTGCTGGTCTCCGCTTGTCTTTTATTCAGGTTCTTCTCCGCACCCCGCTGGTCTCTTCCTCGGACCAGCGTTGTCTCGCGCACGCCCCGCGTACGCTCCCTCTCGCGTGCCACGCACACTCCTCCGTTAGCTCCACTACTCCCGCACTCCGCACACCGCTGGCCGACGGCGTGCTGAGGTCCTTCGGCCATGTGGCCGATGGCACGGATCTCTCTCTCACCACCCAACGTGGCTCAGACTCTTAACTTCCCCGACTGCTCCAATCTCTTCCGGGCTCCCACTTATATCCATTCCCCCCACGTGACCCTGACTCCTCCCCTTACGGATCGTCAGATCCGGCCTTCCCATACTACCCCTCTGGCTCCGCCCCCATTCACATCGCCTCCCATTGGAGCCGAGGTGAACGGTGGCCCCTCCCACACGCCCCGCAGACCAGGCTCCGCCCCCCAATACCCCGGGCCATGTGTTTGGACCAGAGCCCAGCAACAACCTCATTTACGCTCGCATTACATGACCCCCCCCCTGATGAAAAAGCCAGGCATCCCGGCTGCAATAGGACAAAATAATGCGAGCGACAGCATCACAATCAGGAATCACCAGACACAACGGAGAGTATAACAACAACACAATTAACGAAAGGGAAGGGATTTGCAACGAGTGCGGGTCTCCGGCCCATCCTTCACGAGAGGCGGCGCCCTCAATGGTCGCAGTCCCGGCATCGTCGCTGGCGCGACCACGGTGACTAAATCCAGCAGAACGCCCGCGGGGAATCAAGCTAGTCTGCCACGTGTCGCCAGCCGTCCTTGGGGCCCGTCGACGCAGACGGCCCAGCCGCCACGACGACATCTTGTACTCCTGTCATGTCGCTCGCCGCCACTTGGCCCACGCCCTCCATGGTCGGGACCGCCACCGCCGGAGGAAGGTCCTCTTCGTCTTCTGAAGATGGTGCAGGCATATTCTTTTCCTTGAGATGTTTTGACATCTCGTTCCACTTCTGACACCAGTTTAATAAAAGACTCCGTCAGGCACTAATGGTCTCTGCTTGTCTTTTATTCAGGTTCTTCTCCGCACCCCGCTGGTCTCCTCCTCAAACCAGCGTCATCTCACGCACGTCCCACGCACGCTCCCTCTCGCGTGCCACGCACGCTCCTCCGTTAGCTCCTCTACTCCCGTACTCCGCAGACCACTGGCCGACGGCGTGCTGAGGTCCTTCGGCCTCGTGGCCGATGGCGCGGATCTCTCTCTCACCACCCAACGTGGCTCAGACTCTTAACTTCCCCGACTGCCCCGATCTCTTCCGGGCTCCCACTTATATCCATTCCCCCCACATGACCCTGACTCCTCCCCTTCCGGATCGTCAGATCCGGCCTTCCCATACTACCCCACTGGCTGCGCCCCCATTCACCTCGCCTCCCATTGGAGCCGAGGTGAACGGTGGCCCCTCCCACATGCCCCGCAGACCAGGCTCCGCCCCCCAATACCCCGGGCCGTGTGATTGGACCAGAGCCCAGCAACAACCCCATTTACACTCGCATTACACTTCTACCAGCTTCAATACCTCCACACAGTCTGTCGTGCTCTAACTATGGAGACTCTGAGGATGCCTGTCCACGCATTCATCATCAGCCGTGTGGACTACTGCAACAGCATCTTTGGCTTTGCCAGCTCTGTTCACCTGCGGCCAATCTAGTCGGTTTTAAATGCTGCAGCTCGTCTGATAGTTAAGAAACAGAAATATGATCCTATCATGAGTTTCATACGTGTGGCGCGGCACTGCGTATGAATTATGCCTACTCGTCTTCAAGAGTCTCCATTAATCTGCTCCATCCTATCTCACCAATCAGTGTGAACCAGCTTCAACAGACTCAATTCGACTCCAATTACGATCCGCGGCTCGCAGCGACCTGCTGTACCCGCGTGTAAACCTCGAGCAATATAGCCAACACAGATTTAAGGTCTCTGGCCAGCTCATGTTCAACATCCATCCCTGAGTCTGAGCCAGTTCCACAACAGACTTAAAACAGTGTTGCTTCAGAGAACCTACTTCAACGTGTGATCAATGCGCATTCGACATGGACTGGACTCATAAGAGTGCCCAATATCAGATGTTCTTACTTACTCAGCCTCATGCATTATGTAAAACCCACCAGGTTCCTGAAAAAAATTGCATTTCCGGGAGGCAGCAGAGATAACAGCACATGAAGGCACAAATTATGACGTTTGCGATTTGCACACCCAGTGCCATGCACACAAGTACATTGCTCAACACTTACTAACAGGCTGGCAAGATTCCTTCCCATTCTTCAGTTGACAACTTTCGTGTTCCACACAGTTGTACGCCTCACAGCTCGCATTGCCAGGCACCGAGCAAACGCACTTTCGTTTGCAGTTGTCACTAAGCCAGGCCTCTTCAAACTGAAAGATGCAAGGAAGCAATGCCACGTAAGTTGAAACTCCTTAAATACGAATTAATCACATTTATACCACGACTGCTATGAAAAAAGCGACTTAAATACACCTCGTGATAATAATGCACATCCTTTACATCTTGCATGCCACACTCAAGCACCAGTTTAGTCACACCCCACACAGCAGGTGCAGACTGAAGTGGTGATGAAAATCGGGTATGCAGTTTTGTAGCGAATGAGACAATAGCCCTGTGACCAAAGCTGCCCAGGCAGTTCAGTGGGATTGTCGTATTTTATAATTCCAAAGTAATGGCATCAAATGTCTTATATTGTGTTGCAGGTGGCGTCACGAACATTGACACCACTCATACAGAATCAGGAAATGAGATGAGCACATTGCTGTTGGCCAATGTATAACCGGAGTGTCCCCATGAAGAATCGAATTTCCATTGGGAATTCTCATTACATCATCACATGTTGAGAAAACTCCCTTGTAGGATGACGTCATGAAGTCACTTCAATAGACCTTCTCTCTTACACTAGATTACATTTATATATTGTACATATAATGTTGACAGAATGAAAATCAAGTTGTCATATTTAAGTCCTCGAAGCTGGAACAAAATACATGATGTTAAAGCCTAACTTTACACCACGAGTTTTTTTGTACAGTCAATGGTTACTGGCCTGAGATCGTGAACTCACCGCAATACTTGAGAACCAATCCAGTGATAGGTGGCTACTCCCAGAATATCATCGGCGTGCACTCAGCTCTCCAACGCAGACATTATCTCCCTGATCCACCCAGCACCGTGCGTATAAATTCCATCATGATATTCCACAAATCATCACCTGCAAGTGTTAACCGCAAAGAGCGAGAGGAGCGTGTAGGAGCGCAGTGCACATGGACCATGCAGACCGAGCAGCCTCGCTACCCACCGAGTGGTAGTTGTTTTCATCGTCCCGGCAGCCGCAGGCTTCCAGCGACACGCAGAGGTCGTCGCTAAGCACGAAGCCCTGGTCGCAGACGCAGCCCTCGGCGCACCGAGCCGCGCTCTGGCAGCCGGCCTCGGCGTAGATGTCCGAGCAGGTGGCCGGGCAGGGCGAGGCGCACGGCGTGTAGTGGGTGTTCAGCGGGCATGACAGTGCTAATGGAGAGACACGTACGGATTTTATCATACGGGTGTCATGGTTATGTTCACTGTGGCATTGGCATTGTATGTCATATGGAAATTTGAAAGAATCCCAGGTTCATCAACATCTCGGGTATAATTGATTCAAATGCTTCTGTTATGTGCAGTTTATATTCTTGCGTATGGCAGCAATATGTTCACAAGCTTAATGGAAATGTCGATGTCTGCTAGCCAATATGACAGGGCTTCAGGAGAGAGTTTGTGTCGTTTTGCTGTTCCTACATTGAAGGAGTGACTATAGAGTTGTCTAAATGGTCCATAATCCACACGTACACCACATGTGCTCTTAGATTTCGCAAAAAAAATCTTGGTTTAGATACACAAGCATATAAGGAATGTTGCTTATATTTCAACCGTGGAGGTAAAGCTGATGCTGTCTAAAATATTTTTTCTCACAATGGATATCTGTAAATATAAAAAAATGCCCTCATACAGAAAACTCACGGCAGAAGGTTTCATTGCGCCACAGAATGTTCATGCCCTTTGCCCGGCAGGCCTCCGCATAGGCCTGGAAGTTATCGCACAGCGTGCTCTCCATTCCATAGAACTGACACATATCGTAGATGCACGTCTTCAGGAAAGGCTCAGGATCTATCTCGGCATGGCACTTGGCAAAGGCTCCTGAGATAGAGATAACGACTTCACATGTATTTTGATATGCCTCTTCATTGATTGGATCACAGCTGGGAATGTGTGGCTCGTCTGGTTTGCAACTGTGAAAAAATAAATCACACGCATGGTTTTGTTATCGATATAAACACATGCATGATTTAGACAAAAATAATGTGATACGACGAATGCCACATTGATGTACATTTATAGGGGTTGCTGTAAACTCCTCCACTATATGAAATATTGATAAATATTTCAGGTACCTGTTTTCATTTTAAATTAAAGCGGTGGTCCAGTGATTAGCACACCGCGTTATGAAACCACACGACCCAATTTTGATTCTCGACCATGGATATGACAGTGTCAAATGACATCTGAACTACACACTTCACCAACCCACAATGTAAAGCTTGGTGAAGTATGGTCATAAAAACCCGGCTTGAGGAGCCTTTCCATTAGCAGTGGATTGACACGGTGTTATATACATCACTGTAATGTGCTATTACCACATGGAACATATTATGCTGCGTGGCTTGTACGACACCAAACCATCCACATTGGCTGCCTCACCCAGCATCATCGTCTCCCTCGGCCTTCCAGCTGTCTCCGAGCTGGGCGGCGCTGGTGGCAAGCTCCCCGTTGGGCATCAGGTAGTCGTCTGTGCCGTTCTGGTTGTAATTGCCGCATAGGCCGCACAGCTGTTGCACGGTCAAACAAAAACCAATGTAAGATATTTTTGACATGATCAAGACGTGTCATGGGTTAATGGGTGTATAAAGAGGAGATATACTTTAGATTCATTATTTAATCCTGGTAATTATTGACTGCAATGATAACCAGTGCATTTAAATATATAGAATATTTTTGAGATAACATGGAGCATGTGCATTTATATTGCAAAATGGCGTCAATGATGCATCGTGGGTCTCTGTGCATTATCGTTCGTGCGTAAGTATTCCTCCTAGCATCCAATAATTTATCACATTAAACTAATTAATAAAACTTCCAATAGTTACTTTTCTGGTTTTAACGTTCGACCAATGAATGTGTAATGAGTCTACCAGACGAAGATAAAGGTGACACACGCTTCTTTATTTTAGGCGTGAGCTCAGGCCACGTATGTCCACTCCACTCCAAATCCCTCCAGGAAGTGCCCCGATCGCCCCGCCTCATTCGGTGATGTCACCACTCTCTCCCTAAGCGTCACCCTCTCTTTCGCCTCACCTTCTCTTTCCTTTCCTTCCCTTCATGACGTCATGTTAACTGTAACCTGGGATCCCGTGAGTACAGTATTTCTACCCCCGGATCACGTAAGCATTAGCACTACATCACCCCCTCCCCCCTGAAAAAAAAGTCGTTTTCGACTCAACACAACCCGTGCGAATCCAAGGGATTCAGGGTAATTACGATGGTAGGGGAGTAGGGAGAGATGAAGGGGGAGGGGAAATAAACTTATGTCGGTCAATAAACAAGCAATTTAGAATTCAACTGGAGTCCTGCCACTTTGTGTGGTGTGTATGTATATAGAACAAAATTAAGGACAGTAATAAACCGAGGAACCGATAGATGAGGCGGTACACATGAAATTCAACCGGAACTTCCAACTGTAACAAGCGAACAACAGATGACAGTCTCCAGTGCGAAAGAACAACAATGTAATTTTCCTCCGTGTTTCCATTGTCTTGCATGCAGTGGTTGTTCATCACTGTGAGAGAATGGCCCGAGCCCGTGCCCGAGTAACCGGGCTGCGTAGCCATGGCTCGGTCAGACGCTGCCGCATCTTCTTGGTCACAGGCAGTCCTTTTTGAGGTTGGTTCGTCGCGGCAAGTAGCTTCCCCGACCTCGGCAGTGATGATAAAGGTGAGTGAAGGGGTGAAGGTGTATGTGTTCATGGTAACCTGTTTTTTTGGTGAGTGTATCAAGTGCTCCTCCGAGTCTTGTGGAATATCCATGGTAGGCTTCGACCGGTCAAGCTTTATACAGGCAGGATATACATGCCATCACCGACGTCCCAATTGGTCACGTACACATTGAGGCTCAAGTATCTCTACCACTTCCACAAGGCCCTGCCACAGATGGTGCAGTTTGGGTGAGGTCCCTAAGGGTACCTGTGGGTAGTGTAGCCAAGCACTATCTCCTACTTCGAAAGGCTGAGGCGTCACTCACCTTTGCCTAGCCCTTTCATTCACAGAACGGGAAAAAGCTGCGACAGTTTGTGCCGCTTCCCTCGCTATCTTCCACTGCTGCATGACCTGTCGTACCGCTAAAGGCCATTTCGCGGCCCCAGCTAGAAGTTAAAAAAGCTGGCACTCAATGGGAGGGTCCGTCTCCCTACCATACATCAAATAGAACGGAGAGTATCCCGTTGACGCATGCAGGGCCAACCGATGTCACCAGGACCCCACCTATGTTTAAGTCCCAGTATGTCTGAGTGTCATTGACCACCTGACACAGCATGGATGTGAAGGTGCGATTTGGGCATTCTATCATCCCATCAGTTTGCGGGTGGTATGGGGAAATGCATACTTTCTTAATGCCTAGGATGTCGCACACTTCCTGTATCAGTTTTAAGGATTCTTTTTTACCCTGGTCTGTTAGAAGATTTTCAGGGGCCCCTTTATCCATAACATGTCCATGCACAAAAGCTTCTGCTATTGACTGACCAGTTTGATCCGCTAGGGGCCATGCTACCGGCGATCATATTAAATACTCGACCCCTACTAGCAGATATTTATGACCTCTGTCAGTGTGAGGTAGAGGTCCCAATATATCCAAGGCCACCAATTCATTAACTCGCGAAACCTCGATTGATTGTAGGGGCACTTTGATCGGGTGTGCTGGCGTCTTTCGCTGTGTACATTTTACACATGAGGCCGTCCATGCGCAGATATCTGTCATCATGCTCGGCCAAAAATAATGAGTCTTAACGGTAGAGAGTGTTTTCAGCTCCCCCAAATGCAGGAGGTCAGCATGACGACACATTAGGACTGTGTGTCGATCACCCAATGCATCAATAGCCCTTCGTAATCTACAAATATCTAATCTCGATCGGCCAGGGAAGGCTCTGGCTTGTCTTTCCGTATGTTCACATGTGTTGTGAGGCACACCGTGTCAGTAGAGAGTGGTTTACACCTGGGTGACCCCTTAGCATATTCACAAGTACCTGCCTCTGGCAGACGCGATAAAGCATCCACATTGGTGTGGCACAACCCCTTCCTATGGACCACCTCATAGGACAATTCTTGCAGTCTTTCAATCCATCTGGTCATCTGACCAAAGGGTTGGTTGATACGCAACGAGTATTTCAGTGCTGCATGGTCAGTCCGCACCTCAAATTTCCGTCCATATAGGCATGGGCGAAATTGTTGCACAAAATGCACAACGACCAGGAGTTCCCGCCTCGTTACGCAGTAGTGATGTTCGGTCAATGACAATACCTGGCTGCCATATTCTATCACTACCTCTCTGTCCGATTGCACCTGAGATAGGATAGCCCCAATGCCCACATCGCTTGCATCCGTATATAGCGTGAAGGGCAATGAATAATTTGGGTATGCCAATGGTGGCTCCACCGTGACGAGCGTCCGCAGATTTTTCAAAGCCCTGTCCTCTTCTGTACCCTATTGGAACCTCTGCCCCTTAGCTGTGTATGTGTGTAAGGGTTTTTTTAATGGCCGCAAAATCCTGAACAAATCGACGGTAATAGGAAACAAAGCCTATAGATCTTCTGGCATCTGCCACGGATCCGGGGGTTGGCCATTCTCTAATACACCATGTCTTCTTGGGATCAGTTGCCACCCCCATTGCGCTATGTACCCCAGGTATCTGACGGAAGGCTGTGTGAAATGGCATTTAGAAGGCTTGAGTTTCAAATGTGCTCCGCTGATACGTGAAAAATACAGCCTCAGCCGGTGTAAGTGTTCTTGCAAAGATCATCTGAACATAATTACGTTGTCCAAATATATCAGGCAAATGTCCCATTGGAGACCTGTTAGTACTAGTTCCATGAGAATGTGGCTGGCGCCGTTTGTAATCCCATGGGGAGACAGTTAACATGAAAATAACGCCTGCAGTGTTCCAAAGGCAGTCTTGTTTATTGAATCCTCATCTAGCGGTAGCTGCCAAAACTCAGATTATAGGTCCAATGTAGAAAAGTATTTGGTGCCCGCTAAGGCGTGCAAGGAATCATCAATCAGCGGGAGCAGATAAGCATCCACCATTGTGATCTGATTCAGTCGACGAAAGTTGATGCAAAGCTGCAATGAACCGGTGGTTTCTTTACCAGGACGACAGGGGCCCCTCATGGGCTCGTGCATAGCAAATAATATCGGCTTTTAACATCTCGTGGATCGCGAATTTTGTATGTGAGCTTTCTCGACCGGCCCCATGCGATATTAATTTTGGCAGATGGGTGGCGCTTTGTTATATCTCTATACGGTGTATTTTTTGGGTCTTTCGGTAAAGTCACGTAGATAGGTTCAAAGAAATTTTTTTTAAATAACAAAAAAATGACGACGTTTCGATCGCAGCAAAAGCATTCGTCATCAGGAAGAGTGGAAGAGTGGGACATCTTTCTGACAACGAACGCTTGTGTTGCAATCAAAACATCGTAGTTTTTTGTTATTTTTTTGTTATTTTCTTTGAACCTATCTATGTGACTTTACCGAAAGACCTAAAGAATAAATATGAATTCCTGCAGTCACGAAAGCTTTAAGTCAAGATCTATGTGGCGTGTCATTAATTTAGATTGCCCTAAATCATATGGTCCCTTAGTAAATAAATCCTCAAAATCCTGTAACAATTTCCAAAGGGCCTGACGTTGTGGCTCGGATAAGTTAGTATCCTGTGCTGTCATAGCTTCCAGCCAGGGCGTAGCCTCCTCGCACGCAGAATCAGTTTCATCCTCCATTATTCCCACCTGCACTTCATCGCCCCCTGCTGGCATGGGTCGCACATGCACCAAAACCATTCCCCCATATAAGTGACAGGTGTGTTTTCCGTGTTTAAAACTTGGATAACTAGTTTCTGGTGGAGACACAGGATAGTATCCGCACTTGCCAGGGCATGTCGGTCCATGATAATCATCGCCAGTGATAGTAATATAGGTTGAGTCGTCACCAGCGGCGTGCGATATCGAAGGGGAATCAGGATTTGTGATGCTGGGGTAGCGTCAGCATTTTGTTGACGACTGCCTGCACCTGAGCCAACATAGGGTGCCATTATCTGGGCATAAAAAATATAGCCGTTCCCCTGACGGCATTTCGATTCACCCCTGGTCCATAACAATTTTGATAGGCAGTTGATTTAAATAGTCTGTCCCCAGCAAACAGGGAACCGTTAATGTGCTGGAGATGAGCACAGGTCCCGATATGACCAGTCCTCCCACACAGATTTTGATTTATAACTGTCCCAAGAATCTCATGCTTCCCGCATTTGCTGCTACGTAGAATAATTGTACATGTTGCAATCGCTGGGCCTTATGGGGAAGCACATACAAAATGTGCAAGGATATAATAGTCGCTGATGCTTCTGTATCGAACAGCATCCAAACCCCAATTCCCCCCACTGAGCCTACCACCACTGACGTTCCAGCTGCAGTCGCTACTACCCTCTGTGCCAACTTGCGCCATTGTGGTGAAAAATCATGTATATACGATGGTGGTTGTGATCGTCGGGAAGTAGTGGGTGTATCAAATGATAGGTGTGTATGAGAGGTCTGTGATGGGAACTGCCGAGGTGTTTGGGGTGCCGTGACTCACCTGCTGGTTGTATGTAGAGGTGAACAACAGCTGTTGGCGCGAAGGCGGCCCCGGTGGAGCAGCATTGGTACGGCACCCGCGGGTGTTGTGGCCTATATGGCCACATCGGTGACAGGTCACCAGGTTCCGGGTCCTGCTAGGTGCTTGGAGTCCCCGGGGCATCCAGCGATGGGTCCTCTAGGTAGGGCACTGAAATGTCCCCCTTCCAGCTGCGAACATCTCTCCCCCGGGCACACTGACGTCCACCTCTGCCTCGGCGTTGTCTTCCTTGTTCCATATTCCCCGAACCCCCTCCAGTCCTTAATGATATGATGATTCCCCTGTTTGTGCGACCATACGTTGTGATCTCATCACCTCCTCATGGGCTCTTCGTGATCCACAATTAGGTCTACTTGTCCTCATCTGTGACTGGAAAAACTATTGTTAAAGCCTATGCCAGCGCTAACATACGGTCGACCACCATAAAGTCCAGGGCCCCGCGTTCAGGCCTGGCAAAGCAGCTTGAGCTAGGTCCATGCGAGCACTCCTGTAGGCCAAGGCTGACTCCCCTTCTTCCCGCCGACGGTTCTGAAATCGTCTCTTTGCGCTGGATGGCGGGTCAAAAATCTCTGCCATCTCACGATAAGCAGCGTGCAGGGTTTCCTTTTTCTCCGCCGGGATGGAGGAATATATAATTAGAGCATCCGTCGCTAAGGGCCGTGGGGAGCACCTTCAGTGCCTCAGGCTCCATCCACTCTATATATGTATATGCCACCTTGAATCTGTGAACAATTGTCCCCCAGTCTCCTCCTATAGCCACAAACCTTTCTACGTGGCCTAACCTACGTGGTCGATCAGCGCCCTCTCCTCATCGCCGCTCCAATCCTCCAGGTGAATTAATTTCTGCGACCTGGGCTGTGGCTGCTGCGCGCGCTTCAAGTCATTGTCTTAGCGCTTCCCCGTGTGGCTCCAAGGCTCCGCCGCTAAGGCTCGGAGCGTCCATTACCGCTGCGCCTGGTTGTTTCGTACCAATTCCAAACCAATGGCGGCTATTGGTGTTGTTCCCGCCAAATATAATTCTACTCCCTCCAAAGGTTTGCCCTTCTCCATCCCTTTGTATTTCTGGCAATTTCGAAGACTCCGATCAGCTCGCCAGGCTGGGGAGAGTGGATCCCATCGGTCGTGGTGCCGTGCCCTCACCCATCAACAACACTGGCTTCTCCATCCCTGGCGCAGATGTCTCCAGTACTTCATCGTGGGCGGCAACTATCTCAGCCATCGATGTTGCTCGTGGCGTCCCCGCCATGGGATTTCCCGCTCGAACCGAAAGAAAATAAGAAAAAAGAGCCAGCGCAGTCGCTGGGCTAGTAGCCATCTTGTCTTCCCGCAGCTATTGCAGGAGTAGCGTTACTGCCTCCGTGAATTGATGGACTCGGTCCGCCCAGGGCTTGCTTCTCTCGCGGGGTCCAGGGTTCTCAGAGGAGTTACTCTTCGCTTTTCGCCATCTTCTTATGGTTCGGCGGGCTGTCCTGACCCTGTCTGTAGACTGTGCTGTCTCTGGATCACAGCTGTCTGGGGCATTGGGAGTGGAGGCGCGTTCTTCTCCCTCTTCGCTGGGGTCTTGGTCGGGGTCCTTTACGTTACCGCGTCGAGGCATCTTCGGGATCCCACCGCTGCCACCAGTTGTACCGAGTCCACCAAATGAAGATAAGGATGACATACACTTCTTTATTTTATATTGCCAGCTCACACCGCGCACATCCACTCCACTCCGAATCCCTCCAGGAAGCACCTCGATTGCCCCACCTCATCCAGTGACGTCCCCACTCTCTCCCTGGGCGTTCCCTATCTCTCTCGCCCCGCCTTCTCTTTCCTTTCCTTCATATTATCATTTTAACTGTAACCTGGGATCCCGTGAGTATTTCTACCCCCGGATCACGCAAGTATTTGCACTACAAATGCATGCGTGCGGGCATAATAAATCTATGGTATTAGCGACAGGAAAAAACATCTAAACGGATTTTAAGTGACAGTGTAAAGATATATAACAATATACCTGTCTGTATAGGACATTGTTAACCAGGAATCCATTTAAACACATGCTGCTGTCTCCTGAGAGGGTATCCACCATGAAGATGGAGCAATGAAATAAGTTATTGTGCAGGTACTTTGTGGGGATTTTCTAATTATGGATCATGAAAGATGGCATCAGCTTGGGAAAGCCTTCATCCATCAGTGAACCGATCGCGGCTGATGATGATGATGCTGCCACCTCGTTTTAGGATGGAACGTTCATGCTCTTCCTTCAATCCTCACACAGCTTTGCTCAGTAATCCATTTTCTCTTCCAACTCCATGATTAAATGTAGGAACATTATCACCTTTCAGGTCCACTACCTTTGTCGTGGTTATCTCTGCAACTGCCATTATGTGTTACGGACCCTGGCTTTAGGAGTAGTGAATGTTATTTAAACCATTCCTTCGAGTGTGGCTCTGATATTTGCTGTTGCAATGTAGGTGCTGAGTCTCCGAACCAAACTGACCTTGTTAAAGTAAGTACTTGGAGTGTTGATCTCAAGGTGATGTTTTCCATCAAATTTGACTGTGACGCCAAAATCAGTCTCCAGGAGAACGTAGCTTCCGCTTATGCCGATCTTAACCCCTGGGACCAAACCTTCGATGGGGGTCTTAACTCGCTTATCGTCAACCTGTTAAGAAAGAAAAATCAACCACGATGCATTGTGTGTTTTACAACAGCTCTCATTTTTACCGCATAATTACTTTGCACTACTAACTACATATCACAAAACACATTGTACGTTAATTGTACATTAATCATCTCTGCTCATTGCCTAAATAATAATGGGTTCATTATTAATATAAAGTTTTCTGATGTCACAACTAAGACATTCCTGCTTACAAAGAAAACAAACTTTTAACTAAATTCACATGATAAACTTCCATTAACATATACTTCTTAAATCAATGTAAATGGTATGCTTATTTTATATCTACTGTTTAGCAAATGTTGCAGGGAATGCTAATAAGATACTTTTTTAATAGCTCTTTGTCAATCTACTACCCACACCACATCAGTGATTGCTTCACCACACCGGTTAGTGGGGTGGGCTGCTTGGCACCAGTTCAGATATCACTCGCCACTGATGTTAGCCACGGCCAGCAATCGAACTGTGAGATGGGCACTCTGCCGCACCCAATCTGCCCATAAATAATCTTCTCTTTCTCAACTGCGACTGTACGGTCTCACGGTGCCCAATCCGTGCGTACCAGCACGCGGTGGCTCTTCTGCAGGGTGACGCGGTGGCCCGCGATGTCGACGATCACGTGCTTGAGGTAGGAGCCGGACGCCTGTCCGCGCTCCTCGTTCTTGGCGGTGATGGTGAAGGGTGTCACGTTGGTGTCATTGCACACGTCCGCCAGCGTGTACGTGCATGTGCCCATGTAGCTGATCATTATCAGGTCAAAGGTGAAGTAGTGGGGATCTCCGGCAACGTGGCACGTGGCGTAACCTGGGGCACAGAAACACAACCAGGCCCTTCTCACAGCAAGTAGCGGGTGCTACTGTTCCCTCCCTCACTCGTAAGTATTCCGCAATCAAAAGGCAGGTGCAATCGACTGAAACCCACAGACAATTATTTATGAAATTTAACTGGAGATATGTCCGGTCACCGATGATCACATACAGACGTATTAATAAAAATGCTTATGAAACTTACAAATTTCTTATAACCCTTAAGGGAAGCTTAAAGCAGATTTTTCTAAAGCAAAAACAACTGTGATACCATATGGTATTTCAAAGACAAAAGTAGTGTAATTGATACAGGAAGAGGCCATGGCTGATGAAGCCAATTCGTGTTAAGCTAGATTCGCTGGAATGTAAAGGTAAAAGAAGAGAGCACGTTGGTTCGGATGAATGTCCCTGTCGGTGTATTGAGCCATGACCACTTAACCCGAGGTTTAAGTCCCAGTTACCCATTTGAGATTAACTAAACTCCTGGTTCGACGCATATGGTAAGACGATTGATGGTTTCAGCTTGGGCACTGATGAGATTGGATAAAAAAAATATTGTTTATTCAATTTAAATAAAAAAGTGGATATGTTTCCCCATATTCAAACACATATTTGGTGATATCCATCTCCAATGGTTCAAAAGTAAAGTGAGCGGCTCTCCATCGGAATGTTCCAAGTTCAAATCCTGGTTTTGGGTCAATTTAGCCCATCACCCCTCTGGGTTTGCTAAAATGGTTGCCACTTTGTGGGGAAGTCGATTGTGGTAAAACTAACTAACTGAGCTTTGGACTAATATTCAGAGGTGGCATGGGCACACGTGATTGGCCATCAAAGTGGCTTATATCATTATATGTGGGAATGTAAAGTAGAAGTCAATTAAACCAAACACACGTTGCTTCGTATAGAGGGAAGCACCAGAGGACCCGCAAAAAACTCCACGCGACCGTGGGCAGAGAGAATATGCAAAGTTCAACGCCATGATCTCCTGCATACCAGGTGAGGGAGACAACATCTCACCACCGTGGCGCTTCTATGGATAGACTCGCACCCTCCACAGGAACGTGGAATTTAGATCACTGGTGCAGGGCTCTAAACAGGAGATGAGCACTGCCTCAATGCTCATATCAGCAGGGAATTATTTTTTATCTGCATTGGTGGTTACAAATCAGATGGAAATTCTACATTCCTGTGCTATGGATACATCTCTCCACAAGGCAACTTCAGATTTTAATTATGTAGTAATACTTTTTTTAATTCTGAAGGGATGATGGGCTGGGTTGCATTATAACTATGATTATAACTCATTGTCTTCCAAAGGTGACCATAGCGCTCTGCCACAGTGTCTGCGTTTGATTGTTCAATATTTGTGTCATAGACAAAACACATACCCTTGCTGTGGCAGCCCAGAATGCCATCCTCCACCGTGCAGACCTCTTGCCATCCACATTGCCAGGCATCGCAACTCACGTATCCGGGCGTCACGCATGTGCAGCGCCGGTCGCAGGTCTCCGATTCAAACCAGTTCTTCCCGAGCTGCCACCACACGATCGTGAAGGCAGTGAAAAAGTCTTGAGAACGCCATATGAATCGAATAATTTTCATCATATTCCATTGTCATTGGTTGTTGAATTTTTTGTAATCAGATAACCACAAATAGTGGAATCTGTATTTTAGAAAAATGTTTATAAAATGCGACCAGATAAACAATGAAGAAAGGCACAATATTTTAACAAGTAGGCTTCTGTGATTAATAATATGATTCAAAATTAATGTTGGGTTAGATCACGTACGAAAAATGTGTTGTAAACCCTCCTCCACCCGACATAGCTAGTTAGTAAAGTTGATTAAGGTGGTTGTTACTTATAGTGAAACGTCAGGCAACCCAATTGTTAAATGTGATGTGGATTTATTTTCAACACACTGGTGTGCTGAAGCAGTGAAACTGGCATGTTTGTTCACGTGACAATTTTTATAATTGGCTGTGTCGGGTGGAGGAGGGTTTACAACACACTATTTATGCAAACTGATACAAAATTAAACAAAAAAAGGCACAGTGCACCCATTAATGTCGACTGGGAAGATACGGTGAGTTTACACGAGGGTGAAAGAATGAGTAGAACTCACCGGGTGGTAGTTTCCGTTGTTATCCAGGCAACCGCACTGCTCCGCGGGGACGCACTTGTCCCCAGAGAGGACAAAGCCGTCGTCACAGACACAGCCCTCCCCACAGTGATGGTTGCAGCCACCCGGGAGACTTGCGTTGCTGCAGGTAGCCGGGCAGGGCGGTGCACAGCTCTCATAGTGGCTGCCAGGTTTGCAAGTGAGTGCTGTTGGTGCCACATGCACACACGATGCTTTCTACTAAATAACAAAACCTCTACAAATCATCTGCAATATTAACATATTCATTTTGGTTGCATTTAAATGTGCATGTTTTACTTTATTTCATTGTAATGCCATAATGAAATATCCACAGATCTTTAAGGAATGCGCAGATGAAATTAATGAGAGTTTTGAATTTCATCGCAACTTTGAAAGAAGCTGACATTTGAACCCATCGTGCTACCTTGCCCCTCTACTATTTATCATAGGGAGGTAAAGATGCTGGATGTACTTCATGATTACGTATGGTGGGCACCTTAAACCCAATTCCATGACGACTGAGACACCTCTCGGGCCAGAGGCATGACACCTTCAGAACGGGAGAGCTCAATGCCTCACATCCCTTCTGTGTGTCTGCTCAGTGTGACACCACAACCATGACAAATTGATCGGCTGTCTCGAGACTGCACGCCTCAAGGGAATGTGGCGGCCGTGGAACCAATTATATTCTATACAAATGTTTTGGTTAATGTATCTCTATTTTTGTTGCTTTAAATGATGGAATACATCTGGCATGGCGCAAAGAGAACGCAAACTGCTCTTGTCTATGAATTCTCATCTACTGTTTGCACTACGAACATCAAAATACGTATGAATGTAGGTAACGTTGCTAAGTTGAGAATGGTGATGCGGCCCAACAGAAATTATTTGCCAACTGAATAATAGCGGTAGAATAAGCTGTGCCACATGTGTGAAAACTCACCTCTGGGAGTGGCAACCCAGTTCTACCACTTTGGCTTTTTATTTTTTTAACATGGACACGACATATAGGGTATCCATTAATTCTTACTCAACAATCCTGTTCTGATAGGAACAAAGCACAGGATTATAACATGTGGCGGTGACATCACAGCGGGTGCTGCACTCACGGCAGAAGGTGTTGTTCCTCCACGTGACGATTACACCAGCTTGGGCGCACTGGTCGGCGTAGGCCTGCAGGGCCTGGCACAGCGACAGGGGTTTGCCGCCCATGGCACACAGGTCGAACACGCAGTTGTCGAAGAAGACTTGTGGAGGCAGCACCGTGTGGCACTCTTTGAAAGCTCCTGGTCACAATGATGTCAGGAAAGGTGTGTCAGGTGAATGCAGCTTTGTTATTTTAATCTTTGCAGGCATCTGCATAGCCCCACTTGCATAAGGAGGGATTTGGGCATTTGTATGATTTAATTTTGGAATACAGAAATTAAAGAATACCAACCTCCCCTTTTAATGCAGAAAAATATTTGTGTTAACCTCCAGTTCTTCACAGTCTAATAATAATTACAAATCAACGAGACTGATTAACATTTCCACGGGCACTGGACACATCTAGCTATCCATACCATCACACTAGACAGTTTACCTTTGATGACAACGTATTCAGTCCTAACACTATGATGAAAAATAAAGGCTTCAACATTTTCAGCAATAATACAGGTGTTAAGATGTTCAAACACCAAATAGCCACCTATTGCGAAGTATAAAGTCTGCATTAACCATACATGCCTGTGTCCAAACATGCAAAGTGATTGGCCAATTATTGAATGTAGAGTTATTGCTGCCGAAACCTTGCTGTTGTCAAAGTAGATCTGCTTCCTCATGCCATGCATCAAAGCTGCTGTACTACTTGTATGGTCGATGATGTTCTATAAATACACAATACTTAAGTCCCATTCACTTAACTATCTTATAAACGAGGCCTTGAAAGCAATGTAAAATAATTGCACTATTTGGAGAGTAATACTGCACGCGTGTGTTTGGAGTAGTGGCAAAGTGGTTTGTGCACTGCACTATGCACCCATCGACTCGAGTTCGATTCCCGGCAATGGCTAAACATAGGTGGAGAGTGACATGTCAATTGGCTCTGGCCACCCGCTGCTCAAACGTTCACCAGTCCACGCTGACCAGCATGGTGAAATACGATTAAAAAAAAACATGACTGACATAACGAGGGGAGGCTTTCATTCAATAGTGAATTAACAAGCACCAGTAGGTTATGTTGTGTAATACTGCATAATGTGAATAATTAAAATGGTTGCACAATAATGTGCATTAAAGTACCCAGATGCTGAGAATTGACATTACCATTGGGGTCGGTGATTAAGCCACAGAATCCCTCCTTTTCAAACTCCACTTGTGTCGCTGGATCACACTCGGGTCTTCCCCCTTCATCATCTTTGCATCTGCCAAAACAAACACCAAGGAATACCGGCATATCACTGCCCTTTGAAAAACAATACTTCAATATTAAGTTATGGTACCAGTAATAATAATCTACTTGTGATAATGTTATTTAAAAATTTCACAATTGTTTTTTAAATGAGCAAAAGCGTGCTGATATCATGGCAGGAACCCCCCCCCCTCCACAATTCACAGCCCTTTGTCAATCCACTGCTGGATGAAGACATCTCCACACCGTATTGGTAATCGTGGTCGTTTGAGGACCATGCTTCACCACACAAATCATCGTGGATTGGTGAAAGGGGACCCAAGGCCGGTTTAGACATCAGCTGCGACTGGTGTTAGCCATGGCCAGGAATCACACTCAGGTCGCTGGGCTCAGAGTATGGGCAAATAATACTTTCCAAAAACACACACGAGCTGCTTATGAGTAAAAATGTGTTTTCTGAATGTGCTGAGATGTATGATTTTTCAAGGGATTGATGGGTAAAATCCGTTGTAAGGTAAAGAGGTTATATATATATTTTTATTAAAATGGTAACTGAAAAATCCCTTGAGATGGAACATCCGCTTGCAAGAGTTCCCAGGGTATGCTTAATTAAAAGACAAACAGTAAGCTCGACTTAAAGCTTTCGTGTCTGCAGGAAATCATATTCTTGGGTCTTTCGGTAAAGTCATGTAGATAGGTTCAAAGAAAATAACAAAAATAACAAAAAACTACGAGATTTCGATCGCAATACAAGCAATCGTCTAAGACGAAGGTATTTTACTTTGCAAGCCCACTGGCTATCAACAAAGATTAGTTCATGAAGCCATCCATATATATATAGACACAGACACAATTTCAACCGAGAAGATGGGTACAAACTGAGCAATCATTGGAAGGACGTTATTAACCAGTCTAAATCATAACTGGCTGTGATGTTTCCATCCTACCTTCCGATGTTAGTAGTTATTTTCGACTCTCTGGTTTTACATTAACAGGCTAAATGTCTCACACTCACACAGCCAATGTCGCTCGTGTCCTCGATGTGGCAGTGGCTCTGCAATCTTACATTGACATGCTAAACTCTCACAATACAATGGCCACCTCCACGCCTTCGTCGTCGTGGAGGTAACTCTCCGAACTTACATTGACATGCAAATTTCTCACTTTAACATCACTAGCCCCGCCCACTTCGTTTATGACCCTTTGGCTACACCCATTTCAAAATCTTTAAAACAGCCTACCTCAGCAGCTTTCCCGCTTTTTCTCCTGATGACGATTGCTTGTGTTGCGATCGAAACGTCGTAGTTTTTTGTTATTTTCTTTTAACCTATCTACGTGACTTTACCGAAAGACCCAAGAATATGAAACCGTAAGCTATCAGACAAAATCAAGACCGAAATAACCATCAACAAAGAATTGGGCCCACATGAGGGCATTATGCTCAGCTACAGCAAGAGATGAGTGCGAGGGTGACTGCTACTCACTCATCCGAGCTGTTCACCGACTTCCAGCTGTTTCCCAGTTCTGCCGAGGAGGCGGCCACTGAGCCGTCTGGTTTCAGATTGTCATCTGAGCCATCGCCATTAAAGTTTCCTGCAAGGTTACAACATGAAAGTAACGCTAGTGTGCAAAGACATCTCAGTGCACGACTAAATTGAGCACTAATATAAAGGAAGGCTTCAAAATGAAAAACTATAAATGACAATTCACACTGGGTAAACCACTGCATTTGTTGCCATGGTGACCCAGTGTGAATTGGGCGACCAAACCGTGACTCGGGGTCAGCATTGTAATAAGTGCAGTGTGACGTTTAGTCACAATCGTGCTTCAGAAGTATTTGCAGATGCCCACTTATATAATATCCACTTGGTCCATGTGCATGCAATACAATGGAACTAAAGCATAATTAAATGTATTAATGCATAGACTTATTTAAAATACAAGTTTTATTTTGCATATCAGTAGGTTTTCACTGGGTTTTATACATTGTTGGCTGGGATGTAGATGTGCTCATATAACCCTTCCACAGATATGAACATTATTTAATTTACATGTATTTACATTCATATTTTGAAAAATACAGCAAATATAATTTAATATGTATTTGCCCATCTCTGCCTACCCCCATATCGATTCCCCAACCGCCGAGTCACGGGTTGGTCATCTATATGTACTTTAGATTACTCGTGAACCAAAATCTGACTGGCTGGTGATTTGCTATTAATTTGTGTGTTTGGCTACCATTTCTTTTGAGAGTCACATTTAGGTCTCAACTCTACATCCACAAAATCCATGGTTGAGAGGCCATGTTGGTAAGCTCATGACCTTATGTGCATCTGCTTTGCATGTATGTATGTGTAATAAACAACTTCCACGACAGTTGTTGACTGGTGTCTTTTCTTTATTTGTAGAATCTCTGCATGACTTTATATCCCTCTCGGTGAAGCAAGCTCCGCCCTCAGCCAATACCCCCTCGTGAAACCCTCTCGATGGTTCCCGTGTATTCTCTGTAGCTCCGCCCGTTACCTTTCGCCCAGATGGAATCCCTGCTTCAGATTGGGATACTGGTTACCCAGCGGTGGCCATGCAGATATCTCTTGTTACCCCCCAGGTGGCGCGCTCTCATTACATATGTTGAACTTCTTTCTTACCATATATAGCCAACCGTGCTAATCAGAGGAGCGGGGGAAGGACATCAAACTAAACACAAAAAGCTGTTCAAAAGAAATGAGTTTGCAATCTAGATTTAGAAGTGCATAGCTCTAGTAGCTTCCTCATATCAGAAGAGCATTCCAGACGGCCACAGAAGCACATTAAAAGCCTGTTGTCGGCACTCACCACAGATGCCGCACAGTATCCCAGCATACGCATTCGGCACGACTATCTCCACATGGTGGTTTCCGTCAAACCGAACAACCAAATTGAAATTGGTCTCGAGCACAACGTAGGATCCACTCAGGTACACGTGCACCCCCGACAGCAGCAGCGGAGTGGTCATACGCCGTCCTTCCACCTGTAAATCAGCGCACAGCTCCAGTGAGGGTCCCAGTCGTGCATCTAATACATTCTCACACCTTCTCGTGTACCGTACATGTGCTGCACACAGTGCACACGCCGGACTAGGCCAAGGGAAACTTGTACCCACTACTCTTGGTCCACCACTGGAATCCTGCCCCACTTTCCACTCGCTCCATCCTCTCCGCTCCCACTCTTGGCTTCATTAAATCACCAAAACGTTTTGTTTAGGATATAAAAACACATTTTGAAAAACAAATACCTATTGTTAAATTATGAGAATTTCTGTCATAGATTTGAAACACTTGTGTTATTTCCACATGCACATGTTTAACAATTTTAGTGAGCAAAACCTAGAATATATATTACACATACAACATATATATTTGCTACAGTATATCCTATTATTGTAGAGAGTGGTGGAGTGGACGCACTAGTTTACACATAACACTATGAATTATAATACACAATTACAAGTATGATGGTTTAAATACAAATAAGATTATCATTGTAAACATAATAACCATCACAGCAAAAATAAGCCATTATCAGATGAGACTCGGGGAGAAGTGGGAGGGGTTCACATACTGCGCTATGAATCCAGTGACCTGAGTTTGATTCTCAGCCGTGGCTAACAACATCACAGGCGCTTTCAGAAAGCAAGCCTCGTTACATGGAACACCCGACCAGGCGAACTCAAGAACACCTCGAGTTCAAACACTGCAAGTGAGACCATAGCATTCACTTGATGAACACAGTTTGATAAGACGACAATGCGCATTAGAGATGCTTTTAGCTTGATTTCGCGATTCTTCATGACTACATTACATGACATCTGAACCAGCCAGAGCTTCTCCGTCACCCACCTACATTGACCAGCGTCGTGAACAGTGATCACACAACCCCCACGAATGGCACAGGAGGGCCGTGTCCAGCAGAGGATTGCCAAATGTCTGTAAGCTATAACTATTGTATGTGCTCGGCTTCTCCACTAAATTAGGGGTTTTCCATTCCTCCCTAACAACATTTATCTTTCAGAAAGCATTTTATATTTTAACTTAACCACTTCTTAATTGTAATTGATGTATTTTATGATATTTTACGATTGTGAAAGACGCTATATGAGCTATAATTATTATTGATGAAAGTTGCTCTCTCAGTGGGCACTCATCAGGTTAGCAAGGTTCCGGTATACTGTGCAGCACAATTGGGAGACAAGTTTACCTTTTTCAGCCAAAGGAGAAATGAAAACTTTTGTGTTTTTTCCCCTTTAGCTTCTGCCTGAGTGTGGAAACCCATAGACATGACCATGAAGGTACGGTGTAACGCTCACCAGCACCCGGCGTCCTTTGGCCAAGGTAAACCTGTGGCCGTAGACATCCACGTGGACCTCCTTGACATAAGAAACGGCCGTGTTGTTGCCCCAGAACTCATTTGTTGTCTCCACGTTGAAGTGGGGCAGGGTGGAGCTCTGGTTACACAGGATGGCTGCCGTGTAGGTGCACTCGCCCATGAAGTGGTGCGTCGTCTTGTCGAACGTGATGTAGTGAGGGTCTCCAGTGATCACACAGTCACCTGGTTCTGAAAATAGAGAAATAAAATGTATCTTTTTTCACAAAAGTGGCATATGATGCATAGTGGTGCACGATTCGTTAGATACAGAATTTGATGTTTAACAATTTAATTGAACATCTTATCAGATCTTCATGGGCTGGTCATATTATATCTGGTACAAGTCGCCACAAATTCTATAAGAATAAAGTAATTGAGTTATAAGAGCATTGTATAAAATCAAGACAACCACCCAAAAATTGTAGTAAATGGTAGACACTCCTCGGCAACCCATAGATTGAGTTATAATAAAAATTCTGTTGTAAACTTCAACTGGCATATGTTATCTGATCCATGTGTTTCTATTTCTGTCTCCGAGTGTAATATTAAGTATGCACCACTCCATGCTTATTTATTGACTTTTTAGTTGTCAGTTTCCATTTTGCTGTCATTGATAGTGTAATATGCACTGTTTGGTATTTTTCCTCTCCATCTCGTATGCCTCTTTACGTCATCATGAACCAATCAAACTGCAATAACTTCCTGATATATATAAACATATATTCCGATGTGATATTTTGGTTGTGTCCCACCAAAGTTATCGCATTTTGAAATTTAAAAAATGTTTATTCAGTAATGTATACCTTGTTACTAAACTGGGGATATCATTTTATCCTATTCGGACAATAAAATTGGATTTGACCATCTGATCAGTTGTAAAATTTGATTCAGATCAAATCAGGTCTGACACAAACCGCAACTTACTCCAATTATTTTCCAAGTGACGTGGAGAGGGGTAGTTATGACGTTACGTCACGCTAAACCTCCAGTGCAGTGACGTCAGAGAAGTGACGTCATGCACGGGGGGCGGGACGGTGATGTCATGTCCCCCTGGGGTACTTAAGTGGGGACCCGTGACGAAAGCAAGATCCTCGTCAGAGCCGGGAACGTGAGAGGGTGGAAGCTGGGACCCAGGGTAGGGTGATCCAACACGAGGCGAGAGTGGCTGTTTCACCCGGCTGGCCGATTTTGGTTGAGCCCTCGGCCGGTGCAATGGGAAGAGCCCAGATAGCCGGGGGGTGTTAGGATTCCCAGTACCCTTCCCTTGGGGAGAAATATACTAGCCCCTCCAATGTTAGGCGTAAGCCCTTAATAAGTTCATAGGCGGAGCCCCTAATAAACCTTGGCATCAGCCCTTACGGAGATCTGCGTCCGTGTCATCATTCGCACCTCAACCTCAACAGACATGCATACTGAAAAAAATATTTTCCACATACATAAAGCCATCAACCTATCCATTTCTATATAAGGGCACTCTCTCAGTAACTGGCATATGCCAAAGCGGGTACTGTGTGTGCAGTGTTTACTTGGAGGAACTGCTGTCGTATTGGTCGTGGTCGTGCTTGCTGGCGGACGAGTTGGTCCTGGCGTAGATTGTAATGGGAGGAATGTTTGGTTTACGAAATGTCGCATTTACAGAATTAACGAATTATGGACACTTTTCATTAGTGAACCTTTTCGAATATTTGACACAACGGAATCGAATTCTGCGTTAACGAAATTTCGAACGGCATGTGCCATGAGCTCAAACAAGAAGTACCAGCGAGGTTGCATCATCCATCCGCGACAGTGTCACGGCTATCCCTGCAGTCCAACAGTAACGCTTCCACATCATATTTCTGTTCATTCCAACAATCATATCTTTTCGTGAGTTCCCTGAAAATATTCATTCTTTTAAATGTATTAATATTCAATCATTTTATATTTATGTTCTTTATTATTGTTTGGATTGTGAAGGGTGATATAGGTGTATTTTTTAGGTTAGGAGGAGAGTTGCAATGATTGTCCAAAACACATCCCTAACTTTTTTATTTATTAAATGGATGGGAAAAGTGATTCTGATTTTCGAAATTTTGTTTTATGCCTGTTTTTGAAGAACGCATCCCTATCGTAAATCCATGGATACCTGTGTAGTAGAGTTAACTACTCGATGTTCACAAACTGGGAGAGCAAATCGTTAACAAGGTTTTCCTGCTCAAACTAACGGTCAGGGTCTCACAAGCTGTGATAGCTGACCTTAAAACAAGGTTTTCCCGCGCGACCAAACGGTCAGGGTCAGATAGGGTGAATTGGGATCCAAAAGCAGATTGGGAACGACCAATCACAGGGTTCCACAAGGTGGCCGGGGATTGGACAACCCGGCCACGGACAAGTATAAAGCCAGAGCGCTCAGAGCTCTGGGAGAGTTCGGCTACACGAAGACCCAAGACGGCGGAAGAAGCCTAGGACCCTGGACCAAGCCCTCCAGCCCTTATAAGGGCTAGGGTTCAGTGTAACCAGTGGTCGGGGAGACATCCCCTAGGTCCAGTCAGAGGACACTGAAGAGCGGGATATTAAGTAGCCTGTAGGGTGCGGAGACTTGTACCTTCTGAGTGTAACGGGTGAGGGGACCGTATACCCCTCAGTGCATAGGGACTGTGTTCATAAGACAAATAAAGGTGTGTGCTACAAAAGACGTTGAAGAGTCCGTCTGTACAACACAACATTTGGTATCAGAAGATGGAAACAATACGAACGAACCGCACGCGAAGTCCCGACGATGCAAGCTCCGACTCACCCGTGGGTGCTGAGGGCAGCGCTGAAGACGCTGGCGTGTCTCCAGCCGTCCCATCACCAGCAGTGCAGCCGACCGCCGCGAACGACGGCATCCAGGCTGCTCACGCCTCTCGCCCAGCTACTGCATGCTGCAGCAGCCATCCTGGAGGAAATTACCCTGGGGGCTGCGGGCGGAGAGGAGCGACCGACGGCGAACGTTTCCGCCATCGCAAACCCGGAAGAGGTCGACTTTCCCGCCGATGGGTCACGTGGTTCCGCCAGAGGCGGAAGCCATATGCATGCTGGGACCTCCGGGGGCCAATCACGGCACACCGCGTCATCCGACCATGACGCAGCCTCTGCAGGATGCTCCAGCAACACCGCGTCATCACGGCTGCGACGCCGTACAGTTCATGTTGTCAACCAAGCCATCGCCGCGTTTGGAACCGAGTCCGACCTTGATGAAGACGACGACACAGCTGCTCTACAGCAACAACTGCCTGTCTTTCGCGAATTCTCGTCCACAGGGGGCGACTGGGCGGCATTTCAGCGTCGCTACCTCAGCCACCAGGAGATGGTGGGCTGGTCGGATGCACAAGCCATTCGTGCACTACCAGCCACCTTGGACGACGACTCTCTCGCTGCACTCATCTCCATTCCCAAGCGACAAAGAGCGACACTACAAGCAGCACTTCAGCGGCTGTCCGATGTCTACGGACCTCCTTCCGCCACACACCACCAGTTCTACGAGAGACGGTGCAAGCCAAGGGAGTCGCCATTGGCGTTCCGCACCGCGCTACTCGCCATGGCAAGAACGGCTTACCCCCGCATGGACGATGAAGCTATCGACGCACTCGTCCTACAGAAGCTGTTGGAGATGGCGAGGGGACTGGGCCTTGTCATCCAGGCCGTGGATGATGAGGATATGTGCTCACTGCGAGCTGCCCAGAGCATTCATGCTCACTTGATGCTCGACCAGGACGAGACCATCACCGCATCGGCTAAGACAGTGGGGCCTGCCAGCAGGGACAACGCTCGCTCTCCAGATCGAGTCTTCTCGATGTTCAGCACGACGCTCCAGCGATTACCGGATTGCATCGGACGCCGCGACGACCGGGAGCGGGGACGGTCCTTCCCCCGCGGCGACGTGACGTGCTTCAACTGTGGCCGCCGAGGCCACGTTTCTTCCGACTGCCGTGCACCTCGCCGCCGCTTCTCCGGTTCCCAAGACCGGGACTACAGAGCTTCCAGAGCGGCGCAGCATAACCAGGCGAGTCGCGCCACCCCTCACGCTCGGTCCTCATACACACCACAACACACCATTGACTTCGCTCGGAATACGGCGTATGACGCGCGGCGTTCGGGCGACTTTTCGTGACCACTACGACCCGGGCAGTGGTCAGAGCTGGCCCATAGAGTGGTTGCAGCGACGGCGGGTTCCTCGGTGGTTGTTGGTTCGATCGAGGGGGTAGAAGTGTGCGTGCTTGTCGATACCAGGTGCATCGGCCACTATCATCTCCGAGTTAATTTACAACATACTGCCTGTGCGATGTCGATCATTGGAAAAAGTTTCCGTTCCGTTTTTTGCTGCAAATGGAAGTTCGCTAGGGATTCTCGGGCAAATTCGGGCGCAAATTGCCATTGGTGATAATAAATTGGCCGGCCCTGTTTTTGTGTCTTCTTCCCTTGCGGTGCCGTGCCTTCTGGGAACCGATTTTCTTGCCAAAATGCCTATTAAAATCCTTATCGATCAGGGATGTATTGAACTTCTGTCGGGCCGGCGGATGGCATTTTTACCCGCAACCACGCATTCACGGATGGAAAATGCCTCCGTACAGGCTTTTGCGGCTTGCGCCGTACGCATTCCGCCAGGGGCACAAATGCTCATTCCCTTGCGGTTAAAGAAACCGCTCACTCCCACCGCCTCAGTAAATGGCATTTTATTGGGACCCTCCAACACAGCAGTTAAGAGCCTATCGTTGGTGGCCGCACAGACTCTTGTAGCGGGCGACAGGGAGCCATTTATGCAAGTTTTGAATATCGGTCTGTCCGACACCATCATTCCGCAGGGGACAGTGCTCGCTCATGCGACGGTGGCGCCCCTGGGGACCGGGGTTGTTGGACATGTAGCGAACAGTCAACAGCCTCGCCCTCATAACGTTGACGAGGGATGGATTGATGCTCTCTGTGCGGATGCCGGCGATTTATCCGTTTTACAGCAGAGTAAATTGCGAGCTCTTTTGCGGGAATTCTCGGATGTGTTCAGCAAATCACAATTTGATATTGGCTGCACCAAGGTGCTGCGTCACCACATTGACACTGGTGATGCTGCCTCTATCCGCCAAAACCCGTTTCGGCTCAGCCCTGCGGAGAAACAGCATGTTAAATGGGCAGTTGACGATATACTGGCGGCTGATATCATTTCTCCTTCCAACAGCCCCAGGAGTGCTCCGATAGTGCTGGTCAAAAAGCACGATGGCAGATTTTCGGCGCCTATATAAAATTTCTGTGGCTGACGCATATCCTCTTCCACGTATGGATGAGTCATTGGATGCTCTGGCAGGGGCGCGTTATTTTTCCACTTTGGACCTTTTGTCAGGGTTTTGGCAACTCCCCCTCGACAAAGCGTCAAAGCCAAAGACTGCTTTTCGGACACCACAGGGCCTTTTCGAGTTTAATAGATTGCCCATGGAGCTCCACTCGGCCCCAGCGACGTTTCAGAGGCTCATGGAGCTGGTCCTCGCTGGGCTCCAGTGGGACTCATGCCTTATCTATCTTGATAACGTTATCGTCTTTGGCCGCACGTTCAACGAACACATTGAACGGTTGCGCGCTGTTTTCGAAAAGATGCGAGCTGCGGACCTCAAATTCAAACCGCAGAAGTGCCACCTTCTGCGTGAGTCTGTGCGCTATACAGGCCACATAGTCAGCAGCTCGGGTATTTCCACAGACCCTGAAAAGACTAAATGTGTCAGCCAATGGCCTACCCCCACCTCTGCTGGGGATGTTCGCAGTTTTATCGGGTTCGTGTCGTATTACCGACACTTTGTGGCTGGTTTCGCTACAATCGCCAAGCCACTACACGCTCTAACAGCAAAAGGGCTGAAATTTCATTGGGGAGACGCAGAATAGGCCGCATTTGACTCCTTACGGAACGCTCTGGTAGCAGCACCGCCCCTGGCTTACCCCGATTTCGCAAAGCCGTTTATTCTGGACACCGATGCCAGTAACACCGGGATCGGCGGGGTGCTGTCCCAAATAGTTGATGGCGTTGAGAGGATGGTTGCCTATGGAAGCAGGGTTTTGTCCCCTGCAGAGCAACGTTATTGCATAACCCAACGCGAGCTGCTGGCCATTGTTTACTTTATACAACAATTCAGGCCATACCTGTACGGTCAACGGTTTACCGTGCGCTCCGATCACTCTGCGTTACAATACGCTTTGCGCATTGACCAACCGTCTGGCCAGCTCTCCCGATGGCTTGAAGTCCTCCAGGACTACAATTTTATGGTGATTTACCGTAAGGGTACACAGCACGATAATGCGGACGTGCTATCTCGCCTCCCGTCAGAAGAAAGCGCCTGTTTTACGGGTTCTGGCCGGTGCAAATCGCAAATAGTACGCCCGGTTGCACCTCTTGAAACGGTTTCTGCTGCCCTTCCTTCCGATCCCGCGCCGGGTGCGGACCACGAAAATCCACCAGCAAGTGACGACTTGCTGGGGATAACGTTGGACGAATGGAGTCGGCACCAAATGAACGATGCGTCATTGTTGCCTCTGCGTCTTCGCGCATGTGATTCGTCCTCACGTTCAAGTAAATCGAACTCTTTTGCCATGCACCGCGGTCTGCTCATGCATTGGGATGCTGATTCTTGCCAGTACAAAATTGTAGTGCCATCGGCTTTGCGGTGTACAGCTGTGTGCGCGGCACACGAGCGATTGTCACACCTGGGTGTGCACAAAACCATTGGGTTGCTAAGATTACAATTTTACTGGCCGGGCATGCTTCGCGACGTAACTGATATTTTAACGGGCTGCACACAATGTGCGCAACGTAAACCTCCAGTGAAGCCGGCATGCCCACCGCTGCAGCCCATCACGGTATCCCGTGTGAACGAGCTGGTTGCTCTCGACATTTTGGGGCCTTTCCCTACAACGCCTCGTGGTAACAAGTACCTTCTGGTTGGGGTGGAGTATTTTACACGGTGGCCTATGGCCTGGGCCCTCCCCAACCAGTCGGCAGCAGCCGTGGTGGTCGCCTTTGTTCAAGGCTATGTGCTGGATAAGGGCGCTCCAGAACGGTTGCTGACCGATCAGGGAAGAAATTTTTCAAGTACCCTACTGAGTGAGGTATGCCGCCTGTTGGGCACTAAGAAGGTGCGCACTTCACCGTATCACCCCCAAACAAAACAGATGGCATGGTGGAGCGGTTGCATAGAACCCTCACCTCTATGCTATGCCATCAGGTTGACGAATCCCACGTAGACTGGGACCTGCAGATCCTAGGGGTCCTCGCTGCTTACCGCATGGCGCCATACGCAGCGACAGGGTTCTCCCCATTTTTCCTAATGTATGGCAGGGAGGCCATTCCCCCCGCTGATGTACGGCTTGGGATAGAACAGCTTCCACGGTCATCGAAGCTCACTGACCATTTGCGGTTCAACCTACAAAAGCTGTCTGAGGCTCGTGATGTGGCGATCGAAAATTCCGCCTCCCGCCAGCGGGCTAATTCAAGGTTGCAAGCCCCTCGCACGTCCGTGCATCAGTGGGCTCCAGGTGATATGGCGTGGCTTCATTGCCCCCAGGTGCCGGTGTCCACATCGGCTAAATTCCTTAAACCATGGCGGGGTCCGGTTGAGGTGGTCGAGATAATGCGCCCACAATGTGTTAAAATCCGTTGGGGATGACGTCGCTGGTTCATGCACCCCTCTCGTCTGAAGCCATTTGTTGCTCCGCGTGGCTCTGCGTCACACTCAAAACAAGAGGGCCGAGCGTGTGATATCCCCGACGAGCCGGATTTCGCCCCGTTAGTACCTAACCACAGCGCAGACGTGTCATTCCTCCCGCAGATGATGCGGGACTGAGGGAGCCGGGCGAGCCACGAGTCTCTGCAAAAAGGCCTCTGGGCCCACCCAACATGTTTGCCAGGATGCCCGACCCACCTGACATGTTTGCCAGGATGTCTGACCCGTCTACACCAAGAGTCTCTGCAAAGAGACCTTCTGACCCACCCAACATGTTTGCCAGGATGCCTGACCCGCCCAACATGTTTGCCAGGCTGCCCGACCCGTCTGCTCCAAGGGTCTCCGCAGAGAGGCCTCCTGCCCCTGCTGACATTTTTGCCAGGATGCCTGGTCAGCCTGCAGCCTGGAAAAGGGCACCCATCCCCTACGACGGGCCCGCGAAATACACACGGGCTAGATCGCGTCGCTTTTCTTGATTGCCCATCATTTTTTTTGCGGTAGCTGAATGCTGCATGCGTTGTGCGTCACGAATGTCGTTATTTGTGATTGATTCTGACCATGTACATATGTTGCGTTGTTGATGGGGGGGGGGGGGTATTTATAGTGGGTGTTCCTGTTCTTGTTGGTTTTGGCACACACTTTGGTTCATTGATTGGGATTTTTCTGCTTGTAACAGCCGGGATGGCTGAGGCTTCCGAAGGGGAGGGTGATGTAGTAGAGTTAACTACTCGATGTTCACAAACTGGGAGAGCAAATCGTTAACAAGGTTTTCCCGCTCAAACTAACGGTCAGGGTCTCACAAGCTGTGAGAGCTGACCTTAAAACAAGGTTTTCCCGCGCGACCAAACGGTCAGGGTCAGATAGGGTGAATTGGGATCCAAAAGCAGATTGGGAACGACCAATCACAGGGTTCCACAAGGTGGCCGGGGATTGGACAACCCGGCCACGGACAAGTATAAAGCCAGAGCGCTCAGAGCTCTGAGAGAGTTCGGCTACACGAAGACCCAAGACGGCGGAAGAAGCCTAGGACCCTGGACCAAGCCCTCCAGCCCTTATAAGGGCTAGGGTTCAGTGTAACCAGTGGTCGGGGAGACATCCCCTAGGTCCAGTCAGAGGACACTGAAGAGCGGGATATTAAGTAGCCTGTAGGGTGCGGAGACTTGTACCTTCTGAGTGTAACGGGTGAGGGGACCGTATACCCCTCAGTGCATAGGGACTGTGTTCATAAGACAAATAAAGGTGTGTGCTCCAAAAGACGTTGAAGAGTCCGTCTGTACAACACTACACCTATATTATAAAGGGTACTTAGATGTTAACCTGTGCTTTTTTTGCTTAGCTAATCATGAAATAACACAAGTGGTCGTAGCAAAATCTGGAAATTCCCATGTCAAATGACATGACAGATGCGCAAAGCAGTTTGGGTATTCTAAGATAGCAGTTCACGGTGTGTCATGGTTGTCATGTGCTATGGGACAGGATTTTGTAATTAAGTTTATGGTGATGGAAAATATCAAACCAGCTGAAATTTACAGGTTAGCTGTGTGATGTGTTTTTCTAAAGTTGAAGTGTAAATGGGTGGTGCAAAAGGTTTAAAAGTCATAACAATTGATGATATGAAAACATGCACCATGAAATGGCTATGTACATTTCTTAACGAATATGCGTCTGGAAATAAGGAGTTATAACACCAATTTAACAAATGTGTGTGTTTATCAGGGGAATAATTTTATAAATATGGTCTCATTGCATGCTACCATTAATATGTTTAATGTGTTATAGAAATGGTTAAATAAGTTAAAACACAGCATATGGAATTGCAATTTATATAAAAATGACTGATTCTTTAGCCTGATATCCATTTTATAATTCCTAATGAAGCAACATTTTATATATAGGATAGTATTTCCATAGGCTCTAATTTATGATACTTTCATCATTACTGTGACAGTTAAGAGCACTGTAATCGCAGGTTGATGTGTGTTGTGCGTATTTAATTGGTGTTGACACTGCTGATGGTGATTTTATTGATGTGGTAAATGCAGTTGCTCGTACATCTGTAGCCACAGAGGATTCAAAAGGTGGGACCTCGGTGCCTTCATTGCATAGAGAACGTTACCGGCAAGAATTGAATTATTTGTAAAGGATTATATTTATGTTTATAATAATCGTGAACCTTTAAAAATTATAATTTACCATCAGGCATTGTTAGAAATAAACACAAAATTACAATTACGGTGCTGTGATCTCAATGTCATCTGTTTTTGGTACATTTACCTGTTGTTGACCCTTCTGAAGGATTTGGTGTTGATGTTGATTCTAATGATGGAGCCTCGGTGCCTATATATAGCAAACAGCACAGCAGGGAAATGTATGGGTTTTTGGTGTTTCAGTCGTCATTGTGAAAAATACATCCATCAGCATTAAAATTGTAATGAGTCTCGGGAAATTATTGATTCTGTGTTTTATTATCTTTGAAAGCGGTTTATGCGTGTGGTTTTAAGTGCAAGAGTGTACACAATAGAATTGTATTTATTATTGCAGCGAAATCAATTATGCTTCGTTGTAAAATGTCTTGATGTAGTGCTGTAGTATTTTCATGCTTATATTGGATGCATTTACCTGGTGTTGACGCTGCTGATGGTGATTTTGTTGTCGATGTCGGAAATACAGTTGGTGGTGAATCTGTGTCCTGTGGAGGAGCTGGTGTTGATTCGAAAGGAGGGACTTCGGTACCTTCATTACAAAGAGAATGTTACACGCAAGTAAGAAGTGAATTATTTGTGCAGGATTGCATTGCATTGATGTTTGGTGGTAAATCATGTATTCATCTTCTTGGTTCATTTGGTAAAGTCACGTAGAAGGGAAGTAATAAAATAATAAAAATGAACACAATAAAATAATTCTGACGACGTTTCGGCCACAACGCAAGCAGCCGTCCTCAGGTGAAAAACAGGTCCGTCAGACTCTGTCGCCTCGAAATTTAAATCATGTATTGTTACGGTGCTGTGATCTCAATGTCATATGTATTGTGCTGTGCTCTCAATGTCATATTTGCATTGTGTGCTTTTACCTGGTGTGGATTGTGCTGGAGGATTTGGTGCTGATGATGATTCTAATGATGGGGCATCGGTGCCTTTATTTTGTAAGAAATGTAATAGACAGGTCATCAATTAGCTCTTAAGGATTTTTTTTATTAAGATTTCATAAGAAAAGTATATTAGTGCTGCTAAACCAATATTCATAGTAACATTTTGAATGTTGTCAGATAGTAAACAATCTATTAAGTGCTATATTTGGGAGATTTACTTGGTGGTGATGATATTGCTGATGGTGACTTTGTTGTTGGTATTGGAATTTAAGTTGCTAGTTAATATGTTGATTGTGGAGGAGCTGGTGCTGATGGAGTTGGTGCTGGTGTTGACTCAGATGATACCACATAGCGAATTACTTGAGGAAAATATTTCATGCAAATGTCTATTTGGTATTAATACGGAGTTTTAATAATGCTGACATTTTTATGGTAAATTGTCAAATGTCACATTTTTAGCTTGAATTTGTCAAAGTGAAAGGCTTAAAATATATCCAAGCTGCCATTTAGAATCCACTGCTGGGGATGTATCAATGCACTTCGTGAGGAGCCGGGTCTGGCGGAACATTGACACATTCCCTGCGGGTCCTCCAGTGGTGCGAGCCACCTCCCCTGTGGGGGGGAAGGCCCGGCATCACGGACCCGCTCAAAGACTCGTACGCGATCCTCTTGCACACACGCTCCCGCGTTGTCAGTTGTTGGTCGCGCCCGCTAAGTCGCGGCGGTTATTGGTTCATCCTGGCCGCCATTGTGCTCGCGTGCATTGTTAAACGATGAAGGTGGGAGGTGTGATGGTTATGGGGGATCCCGTGTGTTCCGCGTTTTTTATTATTGTTGGTATGGTGTTGTTTTGTGATTCCCTTGTACACTCGCTCCCACGCTTTCGGTTGCTTGTCGTGCTCGCTAAATCGCAGCGGTCATTGGTTTAACCTTGCTGCCATTGTGCTCGCGTCCATCTTTACACGATGAAGGTGGGAGGTCTGATGCTCATGGTGGATCCCGTGGTTCACGCTGTTCTTTTATATTGATGTTAAGATGGTGTGGTTATGGTTTCGTTGGTTTCAACCCTTCTCCCTGTTGGTTTGTACATTTGTATATAGTGTAAGTTTTGTACAGGTGGGTTGGGGTATTTATTTCTGTTCTTGTTATTGTTGAGGCACACTGTGTTTTTTTTGCTCGTTGCATTTCATTTATTGTTCATTGTGAGGGGGGAGTTGACAGCCGTGATGGCTGGATGCTATAAAAGCGGGGGGGGGGATGATGTAGTGACATTGGGGATGTCACTGTATGGTGCCGGCCTGGAAGGGTCATGTCGTTCGATGTTCCTACATCATGGACAGCACCGTGTGGGTGGCTGTGTGTAATACCAGCTCTAGCGGTGCTTGGCGAGCACTGGGATAGTACGGGCACCACACACAGTATGTGATGGGGGCTCCCCCAGGTGGGAGGGGGAGGGGGTGAGTGTCAGCCCAGGGGCAGGGTTGCCCCGAGCCATGGCACTCTATTTTTTCCCCGTAGATGCGTGATCCGAAATGTCCACACAGGGGGCACCGGGTGGAGGGACTGGTGGGTGATCACGTGTCTGGAGAGAGATCTTGAGAAGGTTCGAGAGGGAACGAGAATGTTCAGGAAGGCGGGCGGGGCTGAGGGCGGAGCGGCCCCAACCAGAGAAGGATATAAGGCAGGTCCCTGAGAGGGACCGGGGTCACTGCATTCTACAAGCTGGAAGATAAACATCTACAAGCGGGAAGCCCTACGTCTCAAGTTAAAGCTCTCTGTCCTAGAAGGCAACCGGAGACCGGTGTGAGGGATCGACCCTCCGTAGCAGTAACTCGCTGTAGTCTGGTAAAGGGGCAGTTACCCCTTTGTGTTACGGTGTTACGGTGTTACAAATAAAAGTGTTGCCTCTAAAAGTAACAACGTCTGCGACTCAGTTGGACCCACTACACAATTAATAATTATTCGGACACATATACAGTTAACGCTCATTATGACTGGGCAGGTTAACCATGATTGTGAAACAATATTTAAGTTTAAAGTGTGGCCTGTTTGAATTCCGAGATACCCCTGCTTCATGATTAATTATTGCATAAGTTATAGCAATAATTCAACATGTCAGCAAAAATACTTCTTAATTTATGAAACAATAAAGATAGACAACATAATAGTAGGTTTTTACCCTTTTAACTGGTACAAAACTGACACCTTTGGTACAAAACTGACACCAGTTTTGTACCAGTTAAAAGGGTAAAAACCTACTATTATATTTTGCCACTGGTAAAAGAGATCTCATAGTATAGACAACATATTCTACATACATTCTGTTCAGCAACCTTCCAATGGCTTGCTATGTTACGGTGCTACAGAAGTCATTGTTATTTATTCATCCCTATTCTATCTAAGTAAGAAATATGTTTTTGTAGAATTTATATGTTTTGAATTATCCATATTTAGTTTTATCCAGGCAACCCCTCCACACCATTACACTGGATAAATTAGTGTACAGTTTTGGAGTGTCATCATCTGGACCTGGAGTACAATGTTTCAGAGCATTATATGTCGACTGAAAAGTCAGGCAGGGAGCACTCACCCTGTGTGTGACAGTCCAGGATGCCATCCTCAACACTGCAGATCTCATCGTCCTTACAGACCCAGGGGTCACAGCTCACATCGCCGCCAGGATTGACACAGATGCAGCGCTTGCTGCAGTCGTGCGACTCAAACCAGCTCTCCCCGAGCTGAGATACAAATGCAATGTCTTTAGAAACATCTCAGTTAACCTTTTAGCTATTATTATGATGACGAGTAAATAAATAAATAAACTCATGAATACTTTTGACTGTGATTCAAACTTGTGTTGGCCTGTATCAAACACAAAGCCTAGGATAGGTATTTACGTACACATCTTTGCTTAGCTCACCGGATGGTAGTGGCCATTGTTATCCAGGCAACCGCACTGCCATGTGGGGACACACTTGTCTCCAGAGAGGACAAAGCCGTCGTCACAGACACAGCCCTCCGCACAGTGCTGGTTGCAGCCACCCGGGAGACTTGCGTTGCTGCAGGTGGCCGGGCACGGTGGGGCACAGCTCTCATAGTGGCTGCCAGGTTCACACGGGAATGCTGTGGGTGCCACACACAACAATAATCTTTAATAATCTTTGATTTCAAATGGTGCTTAAATACTTCAGAAACTCAAAACACCTTGAGCCACATATTATCTCAAACATTCAAAGGCGGTTTTACACGTAGGCTTTCGTGACCAATATCATCCATAATACAGTTTTTTTGGGTTAGATCGTGTAAATATTCAAAGGCAGCTGGATATTGGCAGCTGACTCTGGGCAGCACAAGGTGACTGAGCACCAGCTTGTCATCAGAATGAGTCTGCCAGTAAGAGCAATGTTGTTATTTGTAATCCAGATCGAGTAATTGGCAGATTATTTTACACATTTAGCAAATTTCAACAACACCATCACACCAAAGCCCACTTTGATTAAAATCTCAGGAAATCTGTAGCGTCCAATGTAAAGCAGATGGTGAGTATTCATGGATAATACACCCGCACTATTAACAATGCGTCTGTCATGCAATGGAGAACCCTAGTTAGGTTTGAATTTCACTTATATTAAAATTGCGTGGTGTATCTCGACCTCTATTGATTCGCAGATTTACGATCACACGTCCATCAAATCACAATCAAATGTCATGGCTGGGCAATCAGTGTGGCGGTGACATCATAGCAGGCGGTGCGCTCACGGCAGAAGGTGTTGTTCCTCCACGTGACTATGACCCCAGCTTGGGCGCACTGGTCGGCGTAGGCCTGCAGGGCCTGGCACAACGAGCCGTGGTCCCCGTCCGTGGCACACAGGTCGAACACGCAGTTGTCGAAGAAGACTTGTGGAGGCAGCACCGCGTGGCACTCTTTGAAAGCTCCTGATCAAAGCGAGAAATACGATGTCAGTGTTAGCGGCATCGGCACATCACTCCTCTTGATGCAGCAGCGGTGAAATGGTTTGTGCACTGTGCTCCCATTAATAGCAAAACAACTTTGAACGCTAATTATCTGTAGAAACAATTTCATCATGGCTCGTGCAAGAGTTTTGAAAAAATACGTGTAATAAGAATGTCGTAGCATCTATATTTTTTTAAGTGATAATAATAATAAAACATTATTCCAACTAGAATTGAATGCCCATCACACAGGTAAACTTGTTGTGGGTATAGCTCCATGGAGTAGAAATGCCACAATGTCTGCAATATAATGAAGTCCATTATCATGCACAGTTACGAGTTAACAGCTGAACTTAATGGAGAGCAATACCCACCCTCAGGGTCAGTGATTATTCCACAGAACGTATCCGATTCATAAAAGTTCTTGTCATTCTCATCACATGGAGGTATTTCCCCGGTATCATCTTGGCAACTGTCAACAAACACACGCGCAGGTTACCATCACCGAGTTTGAAAGAGAAAACATCACTGGAAACATAATCACAGTCGTCATTAATCATCATCATCGTGAAGATAACTCAATGTAGCCCAAACAGCTGACACAAATACAACATCAGTGGCACAACAGTCAGATCTAATGTCAGCATGGGGCTCATGTTTGGCACTTCTTATTTATCTCGAGCTCGAATCGCTGTCAATACCAATGCCTTCCACGTGTATTATCTAGAGGCTTTTGCAATGGCACTGTTGTAATTAGCAGAAGTGCATGGAAATAATTGAGAAGAACGGATCCTCACTCATCATCAGAACTGTTGAACACTCTCCAGCTGTTTCCCAACTCGCTTGATGAGGCCGCTGCTGACCCATCCGGCTTCAGATTGTCATCTGAGCCATCTTCATTAAAGTTCCCTGTAAAACAACACAACTCGTTCCGTTAGTAGTTGCAATTCAGATGGTTTACGTGAAAAACGGCACTTTTTCGATGAAAGGCCTATTTAACTTTTCCATTTTGGTAAGAATTCGTGGCTGATAATGCTCAATTGTCCTCACTGCAGCTCCTCTTTGGCTGAATTCTTTGCATATTTTGTCAACTGAAATCTCATTGAGATTTTATGAATTCTACAGCCTCAAGTCAGTTGCTTATTGTGTCACTTCTCTCAGCAGATCAACTCACCGCAGATGCCGCACAGTTCCCCCGTGTATTCTCCAGGCACGACTATCTCCACATGGTGGTTCCCATCAAACCGAACAACCAGATTGAAATCGGTCTCGAGCACAACGTAGGATCCACTCAGATGGATGTACACCCCCGAAATAAAGAACGGAGGAGTCACACGCAGCCCATCCACCTGCACAACAGAGGTGACACAATTGACACAGTCGAGATGATATTCTACGGCAATTACATTTAAATGCGTGATGTGAGGACATAGGACACGGCGTCACCGCATCATCTGCAAGCGTCTCGTTCATTGTGTGTGTGACGTCACAGCCTTGGGTTTTACAGCGCAGCAACAAACTGGCACCTGCTGAGCGGGACCAGCTAGCTTGGAGGGTCTCGGTCCTGCAATGTAAAAACAAGAGGCACTGTGCAAGCGCAGGCCTCACCAGCACCCGGCGCCCTTGGCCCAAGGTGATTCTGTGGCCGTAGACCTCCACGTGGACCTCCTTGACGTAAGACACGGCCGTGCTGCCGCCCCGGTGCTCGTTGGTCGTCTCCACGTTGAAGTGGGGCAGGGTGGAGCTCTGGTTGCACGGGATGGACGCGGTGTAGGTGCACGTGCCCATGAAGTCGTGGGCGACCCCGTCAAATGTCCAGTAATGAGGGTCTCCGCAAATGCTGCAGTGTCCTGGTTCTGAAAGTTACGAACATCATTGCATAATACAAGTGATGGTGGTAAATGTTACCAGCACGTACATATATGCTGGTAATTGGCAGCAGGCTTTGCTGGCTTTCCATCAGCTTTAACATCGCACTTTTCCCAGAAGTATATGAACATGTAATTTATTAAAATATGACACCTATTTAGATTCAGCACCTTTAAAACCTCTAGATAGGACTTCCATGAGAAAAATATTGTTAAACATTTGAGCACACTCCAAATTTTGGGATCTGAAAGAATATGTATACATTTTATATTTAAACTGATGTCAATTATACTCTTGTAGAGGTGTTACGGAGGGCAAACAAACACACTGGGCGTGGTTATGGCCGTACGCCGAGAGGTGCTTACATCCACGTCCTCACCGTTTAGCCTGGGGGGGCTAACACGGCGCTGGGATCCCCCACGGCCCCACCCCTCAGGGGGGGAGTTGCTATATAAGGCGGTGAGCCGGAGGGCTCGGGGTTCAGTGTTCAGCCTTAACCAGAGAAGCAAGAAGACCTGCTACATAGGCCCTGGGACTCTCCTGGATCGCTGTCCTTCTCAGGACCGACCAGGGCAAGCCAGTGGCGTGGCCCCAAGAGCCCAGAGCCGATGCGCTTGTAAGAGCCGGTCTGGGGACTCAGGGTGCCGTAATCCCAGCTTAACCAGAGCTGGGTTAGCTAGCCTCCCCTAGCCCTGTAGTGGAAGACCTAGGAGTAAGGCGAGCTGTGACATAGAGTGTTGATCTCCCTGTTAGACGGGTGAAGGGGCCGATACCCCTTCGAGTGTTGTACATCTCGGCCTGTTATGTACTTTGTGCTTAATAAATAAGTGTGCCTCCAACTTCGTCGTCCAAGTCTCCTGGAACCTACTACACTCTGTACCATAGAACACTTAAAACTTTTTTCAAAGATTTTATGCCTAAGTTTAAAAAATATGAAAGTTTTCCATTTTTGCGTCTAATTATGTGGGACCAAAAGTTTTCCGATTTAAATTGGACTTTTTTATCACTGGATATATCAAACAGATATTTTTACAATTAAATACTGCTATTACTCATAATACTTAGTTCATGACATCTGTTATGATACTACTGTAGTATGATGGCCGGGATGGTATGACCGTGCACATCACGTCTCAGTCATGTCTCTCGGGTGACATGGCACTGTGCAACATCAATAAAGCCACAATAGTATGTATGTGCGTATGTTGAACTTCTTTCACACTGTACGTCGCTATTTGTGTTGATCGGAGTTGCGGAAATGTAAGGTTGCATGGATAAATATGAAATATAACATAACATGCCCTTCAGCAATGCACTGCTGGATGAAGGCCTCCCTCAGGTCATGTTAGTAATGTGGGATTAACTATACTTCACCACGCTAGTCAGTGCCGATTGGTGAAGGGTGTGGAGGGGGGTTGTAGGGGCAGGACCAGTTCAAGCATTACTCGCCACTGATATTAGCCATGGCCAGGAATCAAACCGAGGTGACCCCTGTTCATAGTGAAATGCGCTGATCAGTCCCACCACAATACTGTAATATACAGCAGTGATGAAACATTGTAGAAATATAAATATAGCGACTTGACACTGGAAACCAGTACAGCACAAAGCCTCAACCCGATGAGGCGTTTAGTTTATCCCTGACGAAACGCGCACTCCACTGCAAATTCTCACTTGGAAGTGGTGGTGTAGGTGGTGGCGTTGGTGCCGGCGTTGTTGGAGCTTCGGTTCATGAAATAAAGACAATGGGACGTTACTTATCAACCGACGCACCCAACATTCATTCATGAGAGCACTCTTTTATCTGCTGTGTTTTGTACAGTGTTTCATGAATATTAATGCTGCAATGATGAAACAATAATAGTCCAATCTTGATTTGAAGTTTTCGTGACTGCAGGAATCCATACTCTTTTGTTCTTTCGGTAAAGTCACGTAGGTAGAAAAAAAAAAAATAATAAATCACGACGTTTCTATCACAACGTGAGCAATCGTCATCAGGTAGAAAGATACAGCAGTATAACGGCTGAACAAGAAAGGGCTGTTGCAACCAGAGGTTGTATACAGGCTTGAGGTGGGTGTCACCCAAGGGCAAGTAGGCGGGGTCCGAGATGGAAAGGAGTCCCGTCGCCGCACGCACGCACAACAGCTGCGTTAAAGGGAGAGATTGGCATGTTAATGTAAACGAGCACAATGGGGAATGAGCCCCGTAGTCGCACACGAGCACCGTCGCTGCACGTACAACAGCGGCGTTAATAGGAGAGACATACAGCCTATTGAACAGCGAGAACTGCAGTTTCTTCGAGGAAAAAGGGGGGCCGCGGTGGCTATCTTAGTGAAGATAGCATGTCGGTGTCAGAGGACCGGGCATAGCGCCACCTCGTGGGCAACACAAGCTGAGGCGTTGGCTGCTGCACATTGAGAGGCCAGCGTATCAACGCCAGAGAACCACCGTAACGGTGGCCGTGCCAGTGAGACAAACAGGCTATTGAACAGCGAAAGCCGTTACATCGAGGCAAAAGAGAACAGCAGTGGCTATGTTAGTGAGACCTTCGTCTGTTAATGTAAAGACATTTAACAAGGTCATGTAATTCAGAGAGTCGGAAATAACTGCTAAACAACGGCAGGAAGGATGGAAACATCACAGCAAGCTATGACTTACCTGGTTAATAACATCCTTCCAATGATTGCTCAGTTTGTACCCATCTTCTCGGTTGAAATTGTCTGTGTTTATATATCTGGATGGCTTCATGGACAAATCTTTGATGGTAGCCCGAAGGTTTGCAAAGTACCTTGGTCTCTGAAAAAACAATATCGTGTGAACCGACCGCATTAAAACAGTGATCTGCTACGGCAAAGGTATTGGTTCTGCCGTGTTTCAAATCTGCCTTGTGTTCACGGACACAGTCTGAGACGTCGTTTCGTCTCCCTGATGTATATGCTACCGCAGACACAACTTAGTCTGTAGACACCAAGGTATTGCATTTCAGGAATCACATCCTTCACAGAAGGGATCAAATCACGGATTTTGTGTACTGTGTTGAATCGAACCTGGATCTTGTGTTTGTTCAAGAGAGAATAATACTGCTCCGATTTGAAGTTGATAATTTAGACAAGACTCTCTTACAATCACACTTAGCATTAACAAATAAAATGTCCACATCGGATTGGGACCTTGTAGATAACATGACTACTTCTTCATCCTCTACAATGTCAACTAAATGTAAAGTTAACCTGATTGCTAAATTCAACATCCTGTCAAAAATAATCCAGATCCACACAAGTTAGATATCAACAAGATTGTTATCAATCAGAGTAATAGCCCAATTTCCGACAGACGTGGCAAGATCTGAAATCGCTGCTATCCTCAAAGACGCTAATAAAAAAAAACATCAGTAACATCAGCAAGGACGAGCGGTTTGAACTCGCTCAATTAAAAATTAGAAGTGATATTGTCATCCTCTGAGCCGACAAGGGCAATGCTACTGTCCTCATGGATAAAACCACATATAATAACAAAATTCAGGACCTTCTTAATGATGGCAGTTATACCAAAATCAACAGAGATCCTACCAACCGCCTGGCTACAAAAAACAACAATATCATCACCAATTCCACTTCCCAAATCGAACCGACCAAACAGCTCTCTCTAAAACCTTCGCATGCGAGTGTACCCAAATTTTATGGCTTTGCAAAAATCTGTAAAGAAGGTACTCTACTCCGTCCTATTGTATCCACCATTAACTCACCCACCGACAAACTGGCCCGATTTCTGTCTGAGACCCTGCTTCCATTCATGGGCAAGACCACCTCAGTTGTACTTAACTCAACTCACTTGGTTGCTCTTATCAAGGACATCTTACTGCCTCGAGATGAGTTGCCTGTCAGTTTCGATGTAGTCTCTCTGTTCAACAAGGTACCTGAGCCTGACACCATTGTAATCATTGAAGACTTGATCCAACAAGGACTGAATCCAAATGTACCAAGTTTGGTAAGGCACTGCCATCCACCCTACGTCCTTCCTTGTGAAAAAGATACGTAGATGACACGTTTGTCATCTGGCCACATGGCCAGACAGCACTGGACCGATTTTTGAACCACATCAATTCCATACACCTATCCATCAAATTCACCTTGGAAGTAGAAAACGATGGCAAGCTACCATTCCTGGATATTTTGATCGAGAAGACACCCTGATGGCTCGTTGGGACATTTTGTCTACAGGAAAGCCACCCACACGGATTCCTATCTAAAGCCTGATTTTCACCACCATCCAGCCCAGAAAAACTCCCTCATCAAAACACTACACCATAGGGCACGTTGCATCTCCGACCAGCAACAACTATCCTGCGAAGGATGTGATTCCTGACATGCAATACCCTGGTGTCTACAGACTCAGTTGTGTCTGTAGTAGCAGTTACATCGGGAAAAGGAAACTACATGTCTCGGACCGTGTTCGCGAACACAAGGCAGATTTGAAACACGGCAAAACAAATACCTCTGCCGTGGCTGATCACTGTTTTAGCGCAGTCGGTTCACACGATATTGTTTTTTTCCGAGACCAAGGTACTCTGCAAACCTTCGGGCTACCATCAAAGATTTGTCCATGAAGCAATCCAGATATATAAACACAGACACAATTTCAACCGAGAAGATGGGTACAAACTGAGCAATCATTGGAAGGATGTTATTAACCAGGTAAGTCATAACTTGATGTGATGTTTCCAATCTTCCTGCCGTTGTTTAGCAGTTATTTCCGACTCTCTGAATTCTCACTGGCACGGCCACCGTTACGGTAGTTCTCTGGCGTTGATACGCTGGCCTCTCAATGTGCAGCAGCCAACGCCTCAGCTTGTGTTGCCCACGAGGTGGCGCTTTGCCCGGTCTTCTGACACCGACATGCTATCTTCACTCTACTATTAACGCCGCTGTTGTACGTGCGGCGACGGTGCTCGTGTGCGACGGTGAAGCTCATTTTCCCATTGTGCTCGTTTGCATTAGCATGCCAATCCTCCTTTGGCGCGGCTGTTGTGCGTATGCACGGCGACAGGACTCCTTAACCATCTCTGACCCCGCCTACTTGCCCTTGGGTGACACCCACCTCAAACCTGTATATAATCTCTGGTTGCAACAGCCATTTCTTGTTCAGCAGTTCTGCTGCTGCGTCTTTCTGCGTGATGACGAGTGCTTGTGTTGCGATCGAAACGTAGTGATTTATTATTATTTTTTTCTACCTACGTGACTTTACCGAAAGAACCAAAGAGTAATAAGAGGTCCACTTTCAATGCGCTCAAATTTCACGACCGTGTATTCAACGTTCGAGTGCGACTCGGGAAGCTCGGAGCCTCGCTCGGAGTTCCCCAGAAAGCTCAAGAAGCTCGCCAAAAATGTGTCTTCAGGTGCTTCTAGAAGGTTGAAGGAGACTAGATGCTGCTTCGTATGTGAAGGGGGTAGAGTTACAGATGGAGGGAACTGCTGCAGAGTGAGAAGTGATGCTCAGTTTGACAGGAGGCCATGCAAAGAGCACGGTGATAGAGGGCCGCCACCTTTTGCTTGAACCGTGCAGATACGGGGGGCGAGCGCGGTGATTTTTAGCAAAGTAGAGAAATCTGTGCCACCACTCTCCATGCCGAGGGCAGGGCACGGCAGATCGTTTCGTAGTATTTGTAATTTGTTGATGCTCTTGGCGGATGCCCAAGTGAGTAGAGGGCAATGCAGCAATTGTGATGGGAACCTATGATACAGCAGGCGAGGGTGTTTTCTGCGCCAATTGAGGGCATGGGGCGGATGTGCCGAAGAGCTGTGAGATGGCAATTGCATGCTTTGGTTATGTCGTGCACAGTATGTAGTTGTAGTAAACTGCCGAGGCCACTTTAAAGCAAGGCCATTTGGAGAGCACATCATAAGAACCTTTTGCCAATCGTGAGCCTGCAGTGCCATGGTAGAACTAATGCCACTGTGTGAGCAAACACATCTCCAATACAGGACATAAGCATGCTCATACACGGAGATATTGGCAGTTTATAATCGTATGAGTAGCCTCTGAAAAAAATTCAATTTAACTTCACACACAACCACTCAGGATATGGCTGTAATCGGAATAATGAAGGGTTTTCTGAGTAAAGTGACATCTTTTGCATCGTGATTAATCTATGTCTGTTGAACTTTCCACCGTATGTAGCCAACCGTGCTAATCGGAGGTGCGTGGGAAATGCAGGTGAAACATTATCTCTCGCGTTTGTAGAGGTGGTCCGTGTGTGCATCGATGACCGAAAGAGTGCAGAAACAAATACAAGGCACACATTTAGATAGGAAATCCTTTTTCTACATTACCAACAGTGACGTATCAAAAGATGAGGCATCACAAATACAGCTACAAATATGTATCTAGAGACATGCAACCAATGTGTGTCCTGTGCTGTAATCCTGGAATTTAAACTAGAATGCACATGCCAATTAGGCCGGTTTTATATGAATACTTCCACTACGACAACCTCATATTTACCTGTAGGCTCACAGACTGAGACGCAGACGCTGTCCACAGCAATATCGCTCTCAGGTGTCTCCCCACGCACTCCTTCGATGGCAAACTGCACAAAAATACAAAGCAATGTCACGTCTGACGTGAGCATTTTAATGATCGTGTTGTTTGTTGGAGTGGACCATCAAGAGACCAGTGCCGAGCGATTCCCACTGTGACTGGTCCCTATCGCGATGAGGCTCTTTGATGGAATACGATGCCCAATGGGATCACCAATTGAATTGCGAATTAATGGTATTATCTAGGCATCTAACAATTGCCTAAAGTAACTATACGAATATTTACAATTTATCGTCGCGCTTTGATTACAATAATGAATGACTCTCTATATATATACATTAGCATATAGGTTATATAAATAAACAGTTGATTCTCACATGCATGGTTTAATGTGTGCATCGTTGCGTTAATAATATTTTCTGTGGGGAATATCCAGAGCATGGAATCTGGTGGCGATTCTCTGAACAACTGCTCGGCTGTCAAAGAATCCCCATTCAACTCCACGGCGATGTCCTGTCTCCATTGGAATAGCACAAGAATCACCCCTTCATTTAAAGTAGACGCAGGAATCAGCAATTTAATTAATGGGGGTTCTCTAACTGTGCAGCCCAGGAAGTGTCCATAAAATTAAAATTAATGATTGGAACTCGCAGGAATACAACTCCATATTTAATGCATGAGCGAAGGTAATATAATTTTTAAATATATGAAGTGGGTTAATACCCATGGACTAAAACAATCTAAGTTGCATCATGATTTGTTTAATCAACTGATACGGTTGAAAATATTGGCACTTAGTTGCGATGTATGACACGAGATCTCTTGAAATGCAGACAACTCTTTAATAATGCAACGTTAGTTTCAAAAGTGTTCAGTTTCATGAAATGTAAACATAAAGAAATAATAAAACGTGCGTGCATCATTTGTATGTATGCATGTTGAACTACATAGACAACCGTGCTAATTGGAGGTGCAGGTGAAGGACAACAAACTAAACACAAAAAACAAAAAACATTTACACGGTTTCTGAATGTTTAAACACTTTAAATTAATTGCACAATTTTTAAATGAATCAGGGGTTTGCACAACGTTTGATTTCATTCAGCTGTATTCAACCCAAAGTGTTCAACACCAGCCCAAGCTTGATTTGAATAAAGGGTGGTGCAGTGTTCAAATAAATAGCCGTGCACACAGTGGGGAATCGCAAACAATTAAAAGTGCATTCTAATTGAGTCGTAATCTTTATACCTTGTCAATTGGTATTACAAATCTGCACCTCACCAAATACAACTGCATATCTTTCAAATCTAACCCATATACACATATATATTCGGCAGTGATTCAAATACAGTAGACACATATACAGAACTACACTGCATATAAGGGATTCTCTTACTTGAACATTTCCGGACTCAGGGAACATGACTTGAGCTAAAATCCACTGTTCGCCCTGGTTTCCCTGAACAGTCCACACGGGTTGTCCATTGATAGCTGCGGTCAGTGTAAGTGACACAGAAGGTTTGTTACACGGCTGGGAGCGGAGCATAGGGGTGTGCAACTGACACACAAATACACAAAGTTACATGGAGATAAAATCAGTCACCATTAAAACCATCATCTCCATTAAAACCACCATCTCCACTAAAACATCATCCCAATTAAAACCATCATCTCTATTAAAACCATCATCCCCATTAAAGCCATCATTCCCATTCAAACAATCCCCATTAAAAATATAGTCCCCATTAAAACCATCCACATTAAAACCATCATCTGCATTAAAACCATCATCCCAATTAAAACCATCATCCTCATTGAAGCCATCATCCCCATAAAAACCATAATGCCCATTAAACCATCATCCCCATTAAAGCCATCATCTGCACTAAAACCATCATCCCCATTAAACCATCATCTCTATTAAAACCATCATCCATATTAAAACCATCCCCTTTAAAACCATCATCTGCATTAAAACCATCATCCCCATTCAAACCATCATCCCCATTAAGCCATCATCCCCATTAAAGCCATCATCTGCATTAAAACCATCATCCCCATTAAACCATCATCTCTATTAAAACTATCATGCCCATTAAAACCATCCCCATTAAAGCCATCATCTGCATTAAAGCCATCATCCCCATTCAAACCATCATCTCTATTAAAACTATCATGCCCATTAAAACCATCCCCATTAAAACCATCATCCCCATTCAAACCATCATCCCCATTAAAGCCATAATTATCATTAAAATCATCATCCCCATTAAAACTATAGTCCCCATTAAACCATTTTCATTAATATAATGGGACCTTCCTTTGCCAGTACTAAAATATGAGAATAGGTTTTCCCCTTTTATCTGGCAACAAAACAAGTATTAAATTGTTAAAACACCAAACTGAAACCTTTTAACAAGGAATCATGTTTGCATTAACCACAATAATTGTGGTCAAAATGCAAACAAAAAAAAAGAAAAAAAACATACTCTGATAAAATATGCATTGTCTTTGAAAACTAATTCTAGATTTGAAGCTTTCGTGACTGCAAGGATTCATACTCTTAGGTGTTTTCGGTAAAGTCACGTAGGTAAAAAATTAAATTAAAAGTTAATAAAAGAAAAAAGGTACTTTTCTACTTTACCGAGTGTTGACATCCCCAGCGTTTAACAGTACTGCTTTTTTGTATTTGGATTCTCAACCAACATCGGTTTAGGTCGAGGTACACCAATTGTTTTCTTGTACATGACGACTTTGACCAATTTCTCTTGTAGCCCCGCCCACCACCCCCACGTTCCATTCCATGGAACGTGGGGGTGGTTACCACATTCCCTCATTAAAATGCAAATCAATTTATAACATTTTTGACATGCGTTTTTCTGGATTTTTTGTTGTTATTCTGTCTCTCACTGTTCAAATAAACCTACCATTAAAATTATAGACTGATCATTTCTTAGTCAGTGGGCAAACGTACAAAATCAGCAGGGGATCAAATAATGTTTTCCCTCACTGTACACTGAAGTGTTCAAGACAGTGATGTGATATCGTCTGTGCATACACATGTACTTGCAGTAGTGCGTACAGCGACATTTAATATTTGCGATACGAATGATAATTGTATCTAAAGACTTATACATTATGTAAGTTACTACCGTTTCATCTGGACACAACGCCTACTAAATCTTGGCTTTAAAGCAACCCTTAGTTGGCAATATGACCTTTCATCCAAATTGAAATGAAAACAAAGTGGATATCTTCAATTACATCATGACAGGTTAACTACTGGCAAAGCCTGACAACTGTATTGGAGATAAAAGCCTCTGTACCTTTATTTATGTAAACGTTGATGGCCATGTTCTCTGCTGACCCATACAGGAAGTAGTGGAAGCTCAGGACGAGGCACCCAGAGGAGGGGATAGCCAGACTCTCCAGCAGCAGCGCCGCTCCAGGGCCGTTGAACTCGGCGTCCAGCAGCAGGTAATTCCCAACTACACACAGCAGAGTTAACACAGTGGTCCACACACACACACACACTGTGTTGTATTCACTAACACAGTGATCCACACACACACTGCTGTATTCACTAACACAGTGATCCACACACACACTGCTGTATTCACTCACACAGTGATCCACACACACTCTGCTGTATTTACTCACACAGTGATCCACACACACTGTTGTATTCACTAACACAGTGATACACACACACAGTCTGTTGTATTCACTAACACAGTGATCCACACACACACTGTTGTATTCACTAACACAGTGGTCCACACACACACTGCTGTATTCACTAACACAGTGATCCACACACACAGTCTGTTGTATTCACTCACACAGTGATCCACACACACTACTGTATTCACTAACACAGTGATACACACACACAGTCTGTTGTATTCACTAACACAGTGATACACACACACACTGCTGTATTCACTAACACAGTGATCCACACACACTCTGCTGTATTCACTCACACAGTGATCCACACACACTCTGTTGTATTCACTAACAGTGATACACACACACACTGTTGTATTCACTAACACAGTGATACACACACACAGTCTGTTGTATTCACTAACACAGTGATCCACACACACACTGCTGTATTCATTAACACAGTGATCCACACACACTCTGCTGTATTCACTAACACAGTGATCCACACACACACTGTTGTATTCACTAACGCAGTGATCCACACACACTACTGTATTCACTAACACAGTGATCCACATACACTGTTGTATTCACTAACACAGTGACCCACACACTGTGTTGTATTCACTAACACAGTGATCCACACACTCTGCTGTATTCACTAACACAGTGATCCACACTCACATTATACTGGATATGGGTTTCAAGGCCAGGAGCTCCAGTGGAGCCTGCGAGTGATGCGAGGCTGTAAGATACTCACAGCCAGGCCGTGAGAAGTCATCGTCAGGGCCAGTGTTCTCAGTGTTTGTGGGACCGTTCCAATGCTCCCAGCCAATGTCCCCTCCACTGTTCTCCCAGCCACAGAAGTCCCCTATCTCATCAAAATCACATCCGCTCACACACTCTGTGGGGTGAAAACATGGATACATGCATTTTAATACGTGGGTAAATTACTGCACATTTAAATTACACACAAGATACAAGCAGAATATATTTTCTGCATTTCCTGGTGAGTCGTAAGTTAGTAAATTATCAATGCAAGGCTATAGTGCAGAATAGCTATGCCACTGGAATTTAAAATCATTCAGTCACAGCTCTGTTGGGCCAGAACATTGTTGCAGTGCCACTTCTAGGATGCGATTCATGAACTGGGAAGAGTTTCTAGCAGTGCACAGTTCTTCCTTCAGTACAATGGAGTATGAATCTTAGCCTGCTCAGTGTTCGCTAACCAATCACAGTTTAGGGGAGGAGCAAGAAGAATTCGCCACAGCATCGTGACATCCGATGGTACAATCTCCACTGAGCCACCAAATCGAGATCCAACAGGCACTGCGTTATTAATCCCGCTACTCGAGCTCGATTCCCGTTCACGACAAACATCAGTGACGAATATCTGAACCAGTTAGAGCTTTTCTAAATCCACTGCTGGATCCGGGCCTTCCCACACCGCGTGGGTTGTGAGGGATTTTTCTTTACCATACTTCGACAGGTCAGTGGATTGAAGGTTGCCATAGGGCCCTATAACCCTATTGCAATCTGTTTGTGTGTGGGAGTCACCCATCCAAGCACTGTCCAGGCTCAAGCCTGCTTAGCAGGCGAAATTTGATGAGCTCGGGAGCTTTCTAGCAGAGACTAGTTGTTCCATAGGACAATCACTGGTGACTTCCCACCAAGTAGGGGTGCTCCGGTCGGTGCTCCAGAGGGATCATGGAGATGGCGTGCTGTACTCTCCGGTTGAAATTTTTACTCCCAGTCTCAAAATGAGACCCCCAACTGAGCCGGAAATCTGTTTCATGGTGTGAATGTTTCATAATTAATGAGTGTAAAATGATAAAACAGAATTTATTTTATCTTACCAAAACAATTTCCCTCAACTACAGAAATGTCATCCAGGCCTATATCACTCAATCTTGATGTTCCTCGAATTCCCTCCAGGATAACCTGCAGATAGAGTAGATATTGAGTCAGACACAGGCGTCCTTCGCATAACGCGTGACATGCATTCCTGAAAAACAACGCGTCGCAGCCGAGAGACAAATTTTTTATGCGGGAGAGCATTAACGAAGAAACCACGTAGGTAAAATATTTTTTTTTATATATCAAATAAATGAAAACAACTAAATTAAATCACGACGTTTCAGGCACAACACAAGCGTCCTTCTTCAGGTGGGGACAACGTAGCGAAAGCTCAACCGCTTAGTGTGTCTAAGAGATGGCTGTGATGAGGAATTATATAGTCGCGGGGGATGGGGGGAGGGGGGGCCATGGTGAGTGTGGGTGGGCTGTGGACTGGGAGCCAACGATGTGAGGCAACGCATGGCGCTCAAACTGAAGCCTTGTGATGCAGGGGGCGGAAGTAGATAAGAAAGCTAAGATTAAGCAGCCTTTTGTTAAACTCTAAAATCAATAGAGATCCGACTAATAGCCTAACTACTAAAACCAACAAGATCATCACTAGTTCGACTTCCCTAATTGAACCAATCAAACGGCTCTCCCTGAAACCCTCGGCTGCGAGACCTCCCCGACTCTATGGGCTTCCCAAGATCCATAAAGAAGGTACCCCACTACGGCCCATCGTGTCCCCGATCAACTCACCTACCTACAAACTAGCCCGTTTTCTATCGGATACTCTGCTTCCCTTCACTGCCAAGACCACCTCAGTAGTACTTAACTCAACTCACTTGGTCTCTCTAGTCAAGGACATTGTACTGTCTCCTGATGATGTCCTCGTCAGCTTTGATTTGGTCTCTCTATTCACCAAGGTTCCAGTGCCTGACACAATAACAATAATTGAAGACTTAGTCCAACATGGACTGAACCCTGATGTCCCTGCGCTGGTTAGGCACTGCCTCACCAACACGTACTTCACCTGGAATGGTACCTTCTACAAACAAAATGAGGGCACCCCTATGGGTTCCCCCTTGTCACCAGTAATAGCCAATGTTTTCATGGAGAAATTTGAAACAGACGCCATCCAGACATCCACTCTGTGTCCTTCCCTGTGGAAGAGATACGTGGATGATACTTTTGTCATTTGGCCACATGTCCTCCCAGTATTAAACCAATTTCTAGACCACATCAACTCCATACACCCATCCATCAAATTCACCATGGAAGTGGAGAAGGATGGCAAGCTACCATTCCTGGATGTTCTGTTTGAGAGGAGGCCCAATTGCTCTTTTGGACATTCTGTCTACAGGGAGGCCACCCACACAGATTCCTACTTGAAGCCTGATTCCCACTACCATCCGGCACAAAATAATTCCCTCATCAAAACACTATTCCATAGGGCCCACTGCATCTCTGACCAACACCACCTGGCCAGTGAATTGGAACATGTACATCTGGTCCTCAAGATAAACGGATACTCGGAAGGTGCTATCCACCAAGCTGTTTCTCCCACCGTGGAGAAACAGCCCCCTGAGACTCCGATCAAAATCATTACGTTGCCATACATAGCAGGCGTTACCAAAAATATTTCCTAAATTCTAAATAAACACAAGATCCAGGTCCGATTCAGTACAGTACACAATATCCGTGATCTGATCCCATCCGTAAAGGATGTCATTCCTGACTTACAGTACCCTGGTGCCTACAAACTGAGTTGCACCTGTGGTGATTGTTATATCGGGGAAACGTAACGACATATTTCTGACCGCATTCGCGAGCACAAGTCGGATTTGAAGCATGGCAGGACGAATTCTTCGGCCGTAGCTGACCACTCTTATAATACTGCTGGTTCTCATGACATTGTGTTCTCCGATACCAAGGTACTCTGCAAGCCTCCTAGATACTACCAAAGATTTGTCCATGATGCCATCCAGATATACAAACATAGACATAACTTCAACCGAGAGGATGGATTCAAATTGAGCAATAATTGGAAGGATGTAATTAACCAAGTTCAACTTTAGCTGCCGTGCAGTTTACTGCTAGACAGCCAGTTTAGATTTATTTTCATAATCATATCCTTATTCCCAGTCTGTTACCCCCAGCTTCACACACTAACATCACCATTACCACACGTTAGTGTTCATCTTGCGCATTTCTAATTTGCCCCCCCCCCCGGCAGCATAACAAAAGGCTGCTTAATCTTAGCTTTCTTATCTACTTCCGCCCCCTGCATCACAAGGCTTCAGTTTGAGCGCCATGCGTTGCCTCCCAGCGCCCTCCCCGTTCCTCACATCGCTGCCTCCCAGTCCACAGCCCGCCCACACACTCACCATGGTCCCCCTCCCTCCATCCCCCGCGACTATATAATTCCTCGTCACAGCCATCTCTTAGACACACTTAAGCGGTTGTGCTTTCGCTACGTTGTCCCCACCTGAAGGACGCTTGTGTTGCGCCCGAAACGTCGTGATTTAATTTAGTTGTTTTCATTTATATTTTTTTCTTTTTTTACCTACGTGACTTTACCGACAAAAAACTAACAATAAGTATTATTTCATTACTTTAGCCCTGGATTTACAAACTATGTATACAAATAATGCTTGATAATAATTTTGACTTAAAACTTTCGTGACTGCAGGAATTCATATTCTTTGGTTCTTTCGGTAAAGTCACGTAGATAGAAAAATATAATAAATAAATAAAACGTAAGATAAAAAAACACTATCTTTTATTTTTTCTATCTATGTCACTTTACCTAAAATAATGTTAACATTACAAAAAATACTTAATAAGAAGTTTAATAACAAATTGTAATACTATTTAAAATATTACTATTTACAAGGCTTACTTAATAATAAGTAACTTCAGAGCTCATTGAACACTTCTGTGGGCTGCTTACAGACGCACGCGCGATGCAGACACAGATGGTAGATCGACGATGGCTACGCCCAGCCCGTGACGCTGGGCACTGCCATGACGCAGTGACGCCATCAAAAATATTTTTGTTTGCTTTGAATTTTTTTAAATGAAACATTTTTTGAAACATGTGATTTCAAAATTGTTTTGTTTTTTACAGAGCACGTAAATGTGAAACAGAAAGCGTACGTGTGAAGTATGTCCCTAAAAATGAATTGCGTAACTGTGAATTTGCACTGTGGGGGGGAGGGGGTCAAGTTACTCGAGAAATGCCTGTACTTTACAGTGAATAGTTTTCAGATAAATTAATAACGAAAAAAATGTACGGTAAAGTTGATTCACAAAGGAATAACTGTATACATTCATGGATGTAAAATTGAAAGAATAACGGATGGTTCTAGTTACTTTTTACTTGTTATGGTGGGCAAAGCATAATTATCTCATCCTTGGTATTGAAGGACCAGGCTGAAAGGATAATTACTGTAATTTGTAACAGTGGAAAATCGTATCAATATTATCATTTATAACAGAACATACATGGGTAAAACTTTTGAGAAAGATATAAAAATCCAAGGTTGTTGGAAAACAATAAGTAAATAGAAATTGAAATATCAGAAACGTATTGAAAGGGAAAGCACAGATATAACTACTGCGAGATGCATTGAGAACAAAGGAAGATTGTAAATTAGCAGAGAGGCAATATCAAAATAACATTTACGTAAGATTTTCGAAGAAAAATGGCCATATTTTTTTTTAAGTGGAAGAATAACGAGCAAAAATAGTTTCGATTTAAAGCTTTCGTGACTGCAGGGATTCATCTTCTTGGTTCTTTCGGTAAAGTCACGTAGAAGGGAAGTAATAAAATAATAAAAATAAAACATAATAAAAGAATTCTCACGACGTTTCGGCCACAACGCAAGCAGCCGTCCTCAGGTGAAGAATGAAACACCACCAAGCTTGGAGCGTATATTAAAGCTGGGTTGGAGGAGGGGAGGTGGGCAGAAGAGCGCCTTGACAAAATAATTTGCTTATCAAGAAGAATTTAGCATATTTATGGGAAATGCGTAGGAGGTGGGTGGGGGGTTTCAAAGTCATATTATGCCCGTGCATTATGCAGGATTAGCAGCATCAAAGGGAGGGGATGGGGGTAGCATTAACAAAGGGAAGGAATGTTAATAGTATGTACCTGCAGTTACTAAACAACCACGTAAAAAAAAACTAAAGTATAAACTACATAGTATCATCAGTATACTAAATATACTCTCCAATAAGCTGAGCTACTAACAGTAAGTAACACATTACAATTCTATGTCGCAAAAAATATAATATGCTTCCAGCTAAACTTTTTTCTCTTACATAACACGGGTCTACCCCGTACTATATACTGCCATAGACAAATACAACATTAAATTATATACTGTATTACTATACACCACTCTATACCTTCGACTATAATATTAACCTAAGTATTATTCTACCCACCCTACTGTATACCACACTGCTGTATATTCACTATACAATTACGATACTGTATATTACCTTATACATTGTATTAAACATTACAATTTTATACTATTTATACAATCTGCTATACACTATACCATTGACCGTCGCGTGAAAGATACTAAGAGGTGTATAGTAATACAGTATGTAATTTAATGTTAGGGTTGTCTATGGCAGTATATAGTACGAGGTAGACCCGTGTGATGTAAGAGAAAAAAGTTTAGATGGAAGCATATTATATTTTTTGCGACGTAGAATTGTAATGTATTACTTACTGTTAGTAGCTCAGCTTATTGGAGAGTATATTTAGTATACTGATGATACTATGTAGTTTATACTTTAGTTTTTTACGTGGTTGTTTAGTAACTGCAGCTACATACTATTAACATCCATTCCCTTTGTTAATGCTACCCCCATCCCCTCCCTTTGATGCTGCTAATTCTGCATAATGCACGGGCATAATATGACTTTGAAACCCCCCGCCCACCTCTTACGCATTTCCCATAAATATGCTAAATTCCTCTTGATATGCAAATTCTTTTGTCAAGGCGCTCTTCTGCCCACCTCCCCCCCTCCAACCCAGCTTAAATATACGCTCCAAGCTTGGTGGTGTTTCATTTTTCACCTGAGGACGGCTGCTTGCGTTGTGGCCGAAACGTCGTGATAATTATTTTATTATGTTTTATTTTTATTATTTTATTACTTCCCTTCTACGTGACTTTACCAAAAGAACCAAGAAGAGCAAAAATAGCTAAAGGAATCAGGCCCTTGGTGTGCATTTCTGGAAAGTATTCGGGGCCACTGACCTGGGTGTCTGGCCTGGCCTGAATGGTGACGGTTCCCTGCAGCCAGGCGCTGCTCTGCTGCCCCTCCGCGCGCCACACGCGTCTCTCTCCGCCGTCCTCCAGCACGTGCACGTTCAGGGTCATAAGTTCATCGCCGTACATGTGGTACCAGAAGCTCAGGCACACGTTCTGGTTGGTGTTGATGCTGGGGCTCAGGAGCCTCACTCCTCCCCCAGCTCCCACGGACGCAGAGTCCAGGTAGAGGTAGAAGGAGGCTGAAACAAACCGGCATCCCATGCCGTCAATTTACACCGATAACAAGCAGCACGAGCAGGGCCGGCCCAGAGGTTGCTAGGGTCCTGGTGCAGATACGCCCTGTGGGAGCCCTCTACTTCCTTATTGACAAAGAACCAGGCCCATTATGGGGGTCCTCTTTTGTATGAGGCCTGGGAAAGACTTCCTATCCGCGATGGCCGGGGAGTATTGGGGAGAACTTCAAGCTCGTCAAAATACAGCAAAAAAATACTTTTATTCCGTTCATGAAAACTCGCTAATTTTAACCCTCTAAAAAAGTGTCGACAGTGGGATTAATTTATCATGCTACGCAGTGCCCCCTCCTGATATTACAGAGCAGCTGTGGCTAGCAGGATGAATTCACCACGAGGTACAGTGTAAATTGAGCTCGGTGGGCTTTACTTGGTAAAATAAAAAAAAGTTTAGTTTATCTTAGATTGTTATTGGCTGAAGGGGTGTCCTTTAATTTATTTACCAATTATAATGCAGTTTTGCTTATTGGTATCATGTCATGAGATGAAGACATTTTCATTTCCAAATGCCACAGAAAGTTGTGCACCACTCTGGTTATACAACAGCTTGTGGGTGACATCGCTAACCTAGAGTACCTTGGTCAATTGCCTCTTAGGCAGTGTATGGGTGCTGCACATTCTCATTCAGCCGAATATTGACAATGTTTGCCACATGATAAAGCAACATTTTGTAACACAGAGTGGAGAATATCCCACTTAAAGTGAAGGAGAATCAAGTAGATGGTGTTTTTTCACAAGTCATGACAGTAGTTGTGCAAATGCCCAGATGTTTCCTTTTGCGACAATAAAGCAAATTCCATGGCGATGTTCTCTTGCTGTTTTGGTCAACACACGAATCTGACCAAGCAAATGTACAATTAGTAGGATTTTATGATGTCGTGTTTTAACTTAAAACAAACACGATATACAATATGCCCATGAGAACGCCTGCAAGGCCCAAGTGTTTCCTAATATTTGATCTGACTAAAAGTGGACTTTGAAAAATTATGTAAAAAGGTTTAACTTTGATATTGAAATTAACTTGAAATAACTTGATTGAAACAAAAGAGACATTGAGTTCAACAACGGGGCACATCCAGGTGTTCTTATCTACGAATCAAAGTTCAGGCTTAGCTGCAAGGTGCACACGGAACGAAGAAACACGCTTGGATAGACGAGATTTATTAAAACGCACTGGGCGGCACATTGTTTAAATGCAATGCAGACGTAATAATGTATGTACGCTAAAAAAGTGCCTCTTATTGTTTAATTTATATATTTACATTACAACTGAAAGGTCCGGTATGCTGAACAGGAGAAGTTAAAGGCTGCAGATAATTCTGTAAAACAGTCAACATGCAACAATATCCGAGGTGCAGACTCAACACGGAGTGCTCGTAACAATATGGTTTTGTCATTTAATTTCGTAAGTTCGTTCCCCCAATGTTATCTCGATTGTACTACTGGCGTCACGTCACGAGACAACGCGTCCATTCATATCTACTGCTGAGCAGTGTGACCCTTCGTATTCGAGCACGGCCCGCAGAAGCGACGATCAAAGAGCTACCTCAGAGATCCCTTCAAGTGACCTTCGGACCAGACACAGTAGAGGACAGCACTTCCCACTTGCTCTGCACGACAATTATCTAGATCTGAAGTTTTCGTGACTGCAATGATCCATACTTTTTTTTCTCTTATAATTAACAAATATTAAAAGTAATTAGAACTATAAAAAATACTTGAAACTTTGTAGTAGAACGAAGCAAAATGGAGAGTACAATTATAACAATAACATATTCTCTTTGGTTCTTTCGGTAAAGTCACGTAGAAAGAAAATAAATTAAATAATAGAATACGACGTTTCGATTGCAACACAAGCAGTCGTCATCGGGTAGAACTAAATTTGAGAGAGAGACAAAACACAGACACGGAAATACACAGACAGACACACAAGCAGAGAGAGACAACACAGAGACACACAGAGAGAGACACACAACATAGACACACAGAGACCCAATGCCTCTGTGTCGTGACCTTAAATAAAGAGAGAGGGGGCAGAGAGAGAAGTGGGTCTGCTGGAGCAGAGAAATTAGCATGTCAATGAGAGAGCTGTGTGGAAATACACCCCGCGGCGGCAGGGGGAGAGAAAAAGTGAATGGGCCTATGAGAGCCTGGTAAATTTTAGAGAGAGAAATAGGCAGTTTGAGAAAACAAACCTAGCAAATTTTTGGAAATGTAATGCAATGCAACGCAGAGAGTCGGCTAACACACAACGCATAGCCTGGTTGATTACGTTCTCCAAAGATTGCTAAATTATAGCTGTGTGGAAATCACATATTCATTCCACAGAATGAAAAGCCCTGGAAGAATCATTAGCATCGAAATGTTTAATAACAATGATTCCAAATTTTTACTACATTTATGCTTCTCCATTCTCCTATGGAGAAGCAAAATGCTCCTTCATGGAATAAATATGGAGAGCATGGATCTCTTCATCCTGTGGAATGGATATTCCATTCAGATCGAGCTCTTCTTCGTCTATGCAATCTGCACTCTCTCAATTTTCTTTGTTCGCGATTACAACCATTAGTTCACGTTGCCGACATGCAGCGACTCTATGTGGCCTGATGCGTTTGGGCGGAATAATAATTGATTCCTGCTTTTGTGTTACAGAGTGGCTGCGCAGCATGCCTAATGACACGAAGTATGTGTGACATTTCTTACAAATCCTATCGCTATGCACGGATTGTATTGACGGATAGTACAAGTCATACAGTATGGTGTCGACCAATAAGGATTTGAAGAGCGAGGAAGGATGTCATCCACTTTCAAACTATGTGCAACAAACAGAGATGGGAATTTATGAGATGCTCCGTCTGTTGTCCGTTCTGGAATTTTAAGACATTCGCTTGTTTGAACAACTTGTAAAGGAGGAGGAAGAAATGTGTCTGTTACCACACTAAAATAGGAGCTTCTTGGTTTCAAACAGCACTTGTCGGTGCATTTTACAATCTGTGTCAAGTATTGGCTTGTTCGTACGTGGACGTCGTACCATTTCTGATCTCTGGACAAGAGGTTTTGTTCCTGGAGCTCAGACTCTGTTGGCTCGATGTATTCAGCCACTGTCGGAAAATGATCGACAATCAACTGTGACCAAATTTCGGCTAGAGTGTTTCCAGCAAACTTAAAATGCTTCTTCTCTAAATCAGCGTCGATGGTAATACCTCTTTAGTTCAAATGACTACTGTAGTGGTCATGTGGTAATATCAATCCAGTAAGTTCCTTACTGAGTGGTGCCATTTTTCTCTCGACCCTATTAAACACTTCCTGGAGCGTTGGTAGCGAGGAATAAAGCGTAGAAATCGTGCTGAAGAAAGTGGTGGACTGCAACCTTCATCACTTTTGGTATCTCGGGTTCTCGTCCGAGCCACTATCCACTATCAACTATCGACACTAAAATTGGTTTGACCAATCGATCAATACCACTCCTTGTAATGACGTCAAACTCTTCGAGAGTAAGCAATTTTTCGAAATCAAACCCATGGCTGAATGCTGTTGATGACGAGTGTTTTCCAGATCTGAATGCTATGTAGGTCGGTCCCGAATAACCAACAGCTTCTCGGTTTCCTGGACCATTAGACTGAATTTGGATTCCGGCATAGACCGAAGGAATTAGCTTGTGTCCTGCGGCCACAACCCAGTCATGGTCATGCTTCTGTACACATCGCTCTGCCTTCTTTCATGCGATGCCGATCCATGCATAGCAGTATCCACAATAGGTTCCAGTAATGAAGGCTGATCTTCCTCAATTTTCGGCCTACCCGGCTTGGCCCTGACGTTCAGAGATGTGCGTAAGTCTGGATTATCTTCAAAAAGAACAGTTAATTTTCTTTTCTTCTCATCTCTTGCTTTATGTGCTCTTTTTAAAATCCTTTATATTAAGTTCACGTGCTTGCTTGCGCGCTTACGACAGTGCAAATCTTTTGGTCGTTTTTTAACCCACTTCCCGTGATCCAATCGAGCTGACATTTTGCACACAGACTCGTTGTGCGTGACAATTAATTTTCGTGAAATTTTTTTTCCAAAATTTTCCACTTTTTAGGAAAAAAATTTAAATCCTTTATATTAAGTTCACTTGCTTGCTTGCTTGCACGCTTACGACCGTGCAAATCTTTCGGTCTTTTTTTAACCCACTTCCCGTGATCCAATCGAGCTGACATTTTGCACACAGACTTGTTGTGCGTGACAATTTATTTTCGTGAAATTTTTTTTCCAAAATGTTACACTTTTTAGGAAAAAAAATTTCACTAACACAATCATATATTTTTCCTAAACACAGAAAATTATTCAAGAAAACAACAAAAATGTACAATATAAACAATCATACAAACACTGAAAACCTTATAATCCTTATATACGACTTTCCTTATATTTAATTTAAAATACCTATGTGATAAAATGTTGTATATATTAATTGAGATTTGAGTTTAAAGTAATGACCAGTCTGAAAATGTTTAATATTTTAAATAGATAGCGTTAAATTCATGAATTCTTTGATTAGCTATTCTATGATTATTTGATTACTATGATTACTCAATTAACTCAAACTGAAACTGATACGAAGTATTTTAAAAAATGAAATGAGCTAGTATGGAGCACCTTTATAGAAACATGTAAAAAACTCAATTTCAATTTAATGCGAAATTTATTTTATTTGTGCGAATGATTAGTTCTTGCACACAATTTATATTTTTTTGCGCATAAAATACTAAATCGTGCACACGATATACTGAATCGTGAGCGGTAATTTTTTGTATTTATTTCCATAAGGGAACTCCGTAGTTAAATCAAAGATCCTATACGGTTAAATTCAGTCACTCATGGTTCATAGTAGGACAATGGCGAAAAGAAGCATGACGCCATTTTCTGGGTACAAAGAACTAAAATTTAATGGGGAATAATTAATCATGGAGGACGCGTTGGCTATTGTTCACTTGCTGAATGACGTATGTACTCCATTATTAATTATCCCTCCATGCTCAAAAATGGCTGTTTGATATCCGACCGCTTCAATGACAGCAGAGACACCAGGAACCTGTGGCGAGGGATGCAGACCATCACGGACTATAAACCCTCTCCGCAGACCTGTGACAGCTCCACCTCTCTGCTGAACCAGCTGAAGGACTTCTTCGCTCGCTTTGAGGCAGACAACAGCACCCCAGCACAGAAGACTCCACCACCTCCCGGTGATCAGGTGCTGACGCTATCCCCAGATAGCGTGAGGAGATCCCTCAGAAGGACGAACCCAAGGAAAGCCCAGGGCCCTGACAACATTCCGGGTCGTGTCCTGAGAGACTGTGCGGAGGAGCTCACAGATGTCTTCACCGACATCTTTAACACCTCGCTGAGACAGGCTGTTGTACCCACGTGCCTCAAAGCTACCACCATCATCCCGGTCCCGAAGAAGTCATCTCCCTCCTGCCACAATGACTACCGCCCGGTCGCACTCACTCCCATCCTTATGAAGTGCTTCGAGCGGCTAGTCCTACAACACATCAAGTCTGTCCTTCCCCCCGCACTGGACCCTTTCCAGTTTGCGTATCGGTCTAACCGCTCAACCGATGACGCCATCTCCGCTACCCTCCACTCAGCTCTCACCCATCTGGAGACTAAAGACTCCTACGTCAGAATGCTGTTCATCGACTTTAGCTCAGCATTCAACACAATCATTCCCCAGCAGCTCATCCACAAACTAGACCACCTGGGGCTCAACACCTCCCTGTGCAACTGGCTATTGGACTTCCTGATAGGGAGACCACAGGCAGTTCGAGTTGGCAGCAACACCTCCAGCACCATCACACTGAACACAGGGGTCCCCCAAGGATGTGTGCTGAGTCCCCTCCTCTTCACTTTGCTGACCCACGACTGCACACCATCATTCAGCTCCAACCTCTTCATTAAGTTTGCGGATGACACAACTGTGGTGGGTGCCATCAAAAACGGTGATGAGACAAACTACAGGAGTGAGGTGAGCAGGCTGGCCACGTGGTGCAAGGACAACAATCTCCACCTGAATGTTGAGAAGACGAAGGAGATTGTCATGGACTTCAGGAGAGTGCACACCCAGCATACTCCGCTAACCATCAACGGTGCTGCAGTGGAGAGGGTGAGATGCACCAAGTTCCTGGGTGTGCACATCTCTGAAGACCCGTCGTGGAGTCACAACACTGCATCACTGGCCAAAAAAGCCCAACAGCGCCTGTATTTTCTCCGCAAACTGAGAAGAGCAGGAGCCCCGCCCCCCATCATGCACACCTTCTACAGAGGCACCGTCGAGAGCATCTTGACGAGCTGCATCACCGTGTGGTACGGCACCTGCACCGTGTCCTGCCGCAAGACTCTGCAGCGCATAGTGAGAGCAGCTGAGAGGATCATTGGTGTCTCTCTCCCGCCTCTTCTGGACATTTATAACACCCGCATCACCAGCAAAGCAATCAAGATTGCAGGTGATCCCACCCTCCCATCTCACAGCCTCTTCAGCCTGCTGCCGTCAGGGAGGAGACTGCGGAGTCTTCCAGCCAGGACCAGCAGGCTCAAAGACAGTTTCTTTCACCAGGCTGTCAGGAGACTCAACTCCCTCCCTGCTCTACCATCACTCCCCCCCTCTGCCCACCCACCTCCCTTTGCCCCCTGACCCCAACCCCCACACACACATTCACTCGTACATCCTGATCTCTGGACTGCACATTGCACTACATCGCACTACCACACTGTTTTAAATATCTTATTTCTTTAAATACTTTATTTAAATAATATTTTACATTTTAAAAATTCTTGACTGTTGTTTATTTTAAGTCTATTACATTTTTGATTATTTATCTTGTGTTGATCGCCGATTGTTTATTGTTTATTTATGTCTGTTAATTGTGATTAATTTTGTAATTGCTTGGTTGCACCGTGGGACCAAGAGAGGACTGTAATTTCATCTGTGTTGTATGTCATGCATGTAACACACTTGACAATAAAGTGACTTTAAGACTTTTTTTTTTTACTTTTCTCTCTATATATGTTATTATCAATGTTATTGTAACATAATAATAGTATTAATAGTAGTACATTTTATAGTGATATTAAAAATGTATATTTAATAAATGTGTGTGATTGAAAATTCTGTCGATTAATATGACAGGAATAATAGTACTTACGTTTTTTTAAATTCTTATTCGAAACTATCAAGCGTGTTTAATATAACGACTGCATTAAAATTTTATTTGCATTTCTTCTTCCTGACGAAGTATTATTCTCTATAAAAGTGTGAAGTAGTTTGACTTCCGGTTCTTATGTTTAACAGTATAATTTCATCTATACTATAAATAAAAGGTGACCTTAATACATTTAAATAATAAAAAAGTTAATAATGAAAATTAGTGTTATAACAATTCAATTTAATTAAGTAGAAGGTGTTGTTTATATTTATTTAAAATTGCGCATTTTACGTGACGTTACATTTCTCAAACCCCCCCTCGTCACACATCGTCACAAATGTCTCACCCTCCCTCCCCCCCCCTAGGTGCGTGACGTAATTTATGGACGGCCCCTAAAGATTTCATTCTCAATGCTGGAATTTGTTGCCAAATTAAGCGTGTTAATTCAATTTTACGTGATGTGATTTTTGTGCACAGTCATTGGTAACCATGCTGAGGTAATCAACTCACTAAGACTTGAGAATCAGGTTCAATCACAGGCAGCGGCCTGGACTCGAACCTCGGGCAGCACCTTAGCGAGCAGTCCTCTCTCAGTGCTCTGACTTCTGAGCCACCTGGACACCAGATTATATTTGATGTTTATCTTCTAAGCAGGCATTTTACAATGCAAGTGCTGCTTGCAGCCGGTGGTGTGGTCCCCAGGTGGGCCAGTGCTGGGGTTGGGGGTTGCTCCCGAGTTCCTGATCCAGTCTCCAGCGTCATCGCCCCATTGAGTCCAGCCGCACATTGGGAGCCCCTCATCATCAAAGGTGCAGCCGAGACGCACATCTGAAAAAAAAACAACGCACACACACAGCACGGAAAATTTGTACGTTTTTTTTAATTCACAGAATCAGGCTTTCCTTTATTGGGCATTGTATAAAGGCAATCAAGCTCAAGAATGTTGCCACTGAGAAATGGGCTGTGCTCTTCAATGTTATTGGTGGGCCATTGATCTGCATAACCAGATCAATGTTCATAGTGCAATGGACTGATCACTGCCCCACCACAATACTGTAATATACGGCAGTGATGAAAAGTTGTAGAAATAATAATATAGCGACTTGACACTGGAAACCAGTACAGCACAAAGCCTCAAACCGATGAGGCGTTTAGGTTATCCCTGACGAACCGCGCACTCCACTGCAAATTCTCACTTGGAAGTGGTGGCGTCGGTGGTGGCGTTGGTGCCGGCGTTGTTGGAGCTTCGGTTCATGAAATAAAGACAATGGGACATTACTCGTCAACCGACGTACCCAACATTCATTCATTAAGAGCACTCTTTAATCTGCTGTGTTATGTATAGTGCTTCATCAATATTAATGCTGCAATGATGAAACATAATAGTTCACTTTTACCGTGCTAAAATTTCACGACCGTGCATTAAAAGTTCGAGTGCAACTCAGGAAGCTCGGAACTTCGCTCAGAGTTCCCCAGAAAGCTCAAGAAGCTCGCCAAAATGTGTGTCTACAGGTGCTTCTTGAAGGTGGAAAAAGACTGGATGCTGCTGCGTATGTGAAGGGGGGTAGAGTTACAGATGGAGGGAGCTGCTGCGGAGTGGGCAAAGACGATCGGTATGCCAGGAGGCCACGCAAAGAGCACGGTGACAGAGGGCCGCGACGTTAAGCTTGAGTCGTGCAGATATGGGGAGCGAGCACGGTGATTTTTAGCAAAACAGAAAAAATCTGTTCCACCGTGCCCGATGCCGAGGGCAGCGCATGGCAGATCGTTTCGTAGTTTTTGTAATTTTAACACGTAGGCTTTTGCGACCAATATCCATAATACAGGTTTTTTTGGGTTAAATCGCATAAATATATCAATGTCTTGTTAAACCCGCCACCACCCGACACAGCCAATTAGTAAGGGTTGTCACATGAACAGAACATGCCAATTCGTTACTAGTACAGCACACCAGTGTGTTGGAGAGCCAAGCCACACCATTTACAATCTGAGTACGACGTCTCGCCAGTACTTAAAACTAGCTTCATGAGGCAACAGTCAGATAAACTTTGCTGTTACCCTACGTACAATCCCTGTCGATGAGATAATTGCTGAAGTGGAATCAGCAGTTAGACATCTCCCACATAATCAAGCTGAGATGACTAGGCATAAGGTTGCCAAAATTATTGAGAACAGTAAAATTGCCAAAAACGAATATTAGCTTCAGTGAAGCAAACGCCTTAAGAAAATTGAGAGCAAATAAAGATATCCATATTCTTGTTGATGATAAGGACCGATTAACTGTTGTGATCCCCGTTAGGATTATCATAATACAATCAAAGATTTACTCGATGAAGGTGAGACCCAACCAAAACCTTAGAACGTAAAACAACGGCAAATATTGCCAAGTTATCAATTCCCAAGGAAGACCAATAGCTGATCAAACCAAGGGCATCAAACCACCAAGACTTTATGGGCTACCAAAGATTCACAAACATGATGTCCCATTAAGACCCATAGTGAGTACAATAGGCTCTGCCATATACAAATAAGCACAATACGTCATGAAACAAATACAGCCATACATCGGTAGGACCTCCTCATTCATTAAAAACTCTGAACATCTCGTAAATAAAATTCAAGATATTAAGGTTAACCCTGATGATATTCTCGTAAGTTTTTACGCGACTTCTCTGTTCACGAGGGTTCCAGTCAACGAGTCAATTATATTACTCGACACTCTGGTAACGAACACAGGTTTAGCCAAAGATATCCCACGACAAGCTGAATACTGTCTAAAGAACACCAACTCTTGTGGAAAGGTGACTTCTATAAACAACCGGAAGGAGCAGAAATGGGATCTCCTTTGTCTCCTGTGATAGCGAATTTGTACATGGAAGATTTTGAAACAAAAGCAATAGCTTCAAGCACACTAAAACCCTCTGCTTGGTTTAAATATGCGAATGACACATTGGTGGTCTGGCCACACGGTAAAGATACACATAACGAATTTATAAATCATCGCAACTCAAAAAACCCATCCATCCAGTTCATCATGGAAGGGAAGCTGACAGAACTCTACCATTTCTGGATATTCTGCTCGGATGGGGTCTAAATGGTAAAATAACACACAGTGTTTACCGAAAAAAAACACACACTGCGCCTATCTGAATGCAGAGTCACACCATCACCCTGCACAGAAATCTGCTCTCATCAAGACGCTCATTCCTCGGGCTAAGAAAGTGTCAGATGGTGATAGTCTGAGAAGTGAAATTAAACACGTTAAAGAAGCGCTGCAATTGACGGTTACAATGATGCACAAATAAGCAGGGCATTGAATGCCAAAACCAAGTCAAATAACATGAGCATTGAAGCTTCCCAAGTAGTTCAGACTTAAAATACCGTACATTGCGGGAGTAACTGATAAACTAGCCAGATATTTGCAAAAACAAAACATCCGAGTCAGATTTGGCACGGTAAATAAAATACAGAAATTAATATCTCATACAAAATATGTATTACCGAAGCTATCAACAGATGGTGTGTACCGGATTGATTGCACTTGTGGCAAATGCTATGTTGGGCAAACAGGACGAATGATCAGCACGAGACTAAAAAAACACCAAATAAATATTAAATACTCCCAAATACAACTGTCACCAGTATCATAACTCGTGTGCCAACAAGGACACTCAATACATTTTAATAATGTTGAAGTTCTGTGCAAAACTAGTTTCTACTGGCCAAGACTAATTAGAGAATCTATCGAAATTGAAAGAAAAACATTTAACTGTTCAGATTGCTACAGACTTAATGCTGCTTGGAAGCATATCATCAAATGATACATTACTCTTTGGCTCTTTCGGTAAAGTCACGTAGAAAATCTAATCAAATAATAATAGAATACGACGTTTCGGACGCAACGCAAGCAACCATCATCAGGTGAAAATGAATGATAAAACACAGACAGGAACAGCATAGGCAGACATATGCAGAGAGAGACACACACAAAGACACACAGAACGAAACAAACACCAAAACAAACAGAAGGACAACGAAACTGTGCCGAAGCCTTCGTTGTCCTTCTGTTTGTCTGTGTGTGTCTCGCTGGTGCAATTTTGGCGACGTATGCAGCAGCACCTGCGGGCAATACAGCTATGCCTTTTCCCCGATTGGCCAAGGAAGCACATGCGTGCGACGCTCTGCATTCTTCTCATTAGCGGCTTGTGCCCTGGCGGCATTTTCCTTCACTGCTGCACGTGCTTCCAACACCCGCTTGAGTGAAACCTGCAGCGGCTCGGGTATGTCCCATCGTTTATTGGAGGCTATATCCAGTTGAGCCTCCCGCCCGTACATAAGAAACAAAGGGACAACCCCTTAGAGGCATGTGGAGCCATCCAATACGCCGCCAAAATCCCTGGAACATGCAGGTCCCAATCCGTTTGTGCCTCATTTACCACTTGACAGAGCATGGATGATGTCGTTCTGTTCAAGCGTTCTACAATCCCATCCGTCTGAGAATGGTATGGGGACGTCTTCATTTGCTTAGTACCCAATGTATCACACTTCGTGCAAAAGCATAGATGAAAAATTTAGACCATGGTCAGTGAGGAGCCGCTCACCATGGCGCAGCTCGCCGTCGTGGTGGCCCAGGTGGGGGTGCGGCCGTGGGATCACCGGCGGCCGCCTGTGCAGGTAAGTCCGAGCTGGGGGAAGGGTCGGCCCACCTGCCGCTGCGCCGGTTGCCCCCTGTCGCGCCGTTCGTCGTGAAGGGGGGCGACTGGCTGGACATTCAGACCCGATTGATGCGGTCTATCAGTCGGTGCACTGGCCCACGGAGGAGGCGCTGCGCGCACTGCCAACGTGCCTTGATGCAAGGGCGTTGCAGGCGTTCTCGGCCATCTCACCGGCGGATAAGGCGACACTGCAGTCGGCCTACCAACAGATGGCCGCAGTGTTCGAGCAGCCATCTAGTACGCGCCTTAAGTTTTCCATGCGCCGGCGGGAGGAGGGGGAGTTGCCCCTAGCATTTCGCTGCTCCCTCCTGGCGCTGGCTCGGGCCGCATACCCCGACCTTGAGGGGAAGGCGCTGGACTCCTTGGCCCTTGAGCGGCTGTTGATCCTCGTGGGGGAGCTGGGCATTGTGCTGTCCATTGCCGAGGAATCGAGATAACATCATTGGCCGTTGTGCAAAATATTCAAGTGCATCTTGCGCTGCGACAGCCACCCGTGGTGGCAGCATGCGTGGGAGCTCCGGAGTCTGCAGCGGTGGTGGTGCCTCGGGTGGAGGATGCCCTCGCGGCCGTGGCGGCTTACGACCGCCGCGGGAGGGGTGGCACTACTCGCCGGCCAGAGAGGCGGTGGCGGGCGGGTCCTCCTCGTCCACAGGCCACGGGGCAGGTCACCTGCTTCCGTTGTGGCCAGCAGGGCCACTTCGAGCGGGGCTGCAACAACGCCCCCGGGCCTTCGTCAAGGCCTCTCCTCCTGCGAGCAGCTAGCGGGGTTAGGATCCATCATCAAGGGGTCATCTCTAGGGGGTCGGACTTGTGTCTCGCGCGGTTACACCCGTCGTTTGGGTGGCCCAGATAGACTCGCCAGTGGAGGGCCCTTGCGCATCACATGGTGGCCGCCACTGCGGGGTCCTCGGCCATTGTGGGGCATGTGCAGCGGGTCGTGGTGCGGATTCTGGTGGACACGGGTGCGTCAACCACCATGGTCTCGGAGGCCGTTTTTAATTTGCTACCACGCAGCGTGGGGCCATTGCGGCCAGTTCGCGGGGCTTGCGTGGCCGCCAACGGGAGCAGCCTCAGCATTTTGGTCCACGTCGTTGCGTCGATAGTGATCGGTGAAATTTAATTGATGGGGCTCATTTTGGTCTCCAAGACCTTGGCCGTACCATGCCTCTTGGGGACCGATTTTTTGGCTAGGATGCCCATGCGTATCCTGGTCGACCAAGGGTGCGTCGAGATGCCATCGGGGGGTCGGTTGCATTTCCTGAAATCTCCCTCTGTGTTGGCCCTTCTGGCCGCTAGTGTTCGGGCTTTGACCACGGAGTCTGTGACGGTCCCACCTGGGTCACAGATCCTGCTTCCCCTCAGGCTGCGCGGGCCATTGAAAGTGGAGTCCCCGGAGACAGGCATTCTCCTGTCTCCCTCCAATTATTTTTCCGAATTCGACTGTTTGGTGGGTGCTTTTACAGATGTGTCGGCGGCCGGGAGCATTTTTTGCAGGTCCTCAATTGGGGGCCCGCGCCAATCGTCATCCCTGTCGGTGCTGTGTTGGTGCTCGCCACCCCGGGCCCTCCTCCCAAAGTCGCGGGCCGCCGGGAGGGGTTATGGTGGGCGTGTTGCCCGCGGGGAGGGCCGACGCATCATGGATTGATGCGTTGCTCAACGAGAACGCCTCATTGTCCTCCGAGGAGCGCCAGCAGTTCCGCGTCAGGTTTACCGATGTCTTCAGCCAAAGTAAATTTGATCTGGGTCGTACCACTCTCCTGGAACATCACATTGATATGGGCGACTCGGCCCCTATTCGGCTAAATTCACACCGCTTTAGCCCGGCGGAAATGGATCATGTCCGCTCCGCAGTTGATGAGATGTTGGCGGTGGACATTATCTCCCCTTCCACTAGCCCTTCGGTGGCCCCCATCGTTCTAGTCAAGAAACAGCAAATATCGGTGGCTGATGCTTATCCATTTCCACGAATGGATGATTCCCTCGATGCTCTCTCGGGTGCGCGGCTCTTTTCGACCCTAAATTTTCTCTCAAGATTTTGCCAGTTGCCGCTCGACGAGGCCTTTAGACCCAAGAAAGCGTTCCGCACACCCCAGGGATTGTTCGAATTCAACCGGCTTCCTATGGGTCTTCATTCGGCCCCGGCCACCTTCCTGCGTCTCATGGAGATGGTCTTGGCGGGGCTGCAGTGGGAATCTTGTTTAATCTATTTGGATGACATGATTGTTTTCGGCCGCATGTTTGACGAGCACTTGCAGCGTCTTGAGGCAGTGTTCGCCAAAGTGCGTGCCGCGGGCTTGAAATTCAAACCACAAAAATGCCATCTATTGCAACCATCGGTTAAGTATTTGGGACACATTGTGAGCGTGTCAGGTGTTGCCACGGATCCGGAAAAGACTGCTTGTGTCTGGACTTGGCCGGCTCCTACATCTATCGATGAGGTGCGTAGCTTTGTTGGCTTCGCATTGTACTATTGCCGGTTCATCCGCGATTTTGCGACCATTGCGAAACCACTGCACGCACTCTCTGCCAAAGCTCAAAAGTTTCACTGGGGGACAGAGGAGGAAGCCGCTTTTGTGGCGCTTCGCGCGGCCTTAGCGAATGCGCCGCCCTTGGGATACCCAGACTTTTCACAGCCAATCCTCCTCGACACTGATGCCAGTGACACGAATTTTGGGGCTATCCTGGCTCAGGTCGTCGATGGGGTGAAGTGGGTTGTTGCCTATGGTAACCGTGTTTTGTCCCCCACTGTGTGACCAGGCGGGAGCTGCTGGCTATAGTTTTTTTGTACAGTTGGTCGCCGGTTCACCGTCTGGACTGACGACGCGGCCCTGCAATATTCCCTGCGAATTGACCAGCCCTCGCGTCAGCTGTCCCGCTGGCACGAGGTGCTCCAGGAGTACCCCTTCGATGTCATCCACAGGAAGGGGACTCTGCATGGGAATGCGGATGGCCTTTCCAGGCTGCTCCCCGATGGCGGGTGCGCTTGTGCCCTGGGTTCCAGCCGCTGTAGGCCCCATTGGACACCGTGGCCCAGTTGGTTGCGTCGGCCAAAGCAGCAGCCCATCCAGGTGTGGCGGTGCCTGTTGATTTCGGCCTGGGACTCCCCCGGAAGGTATGGTCCAAGCTGCAGATGGAGGATTCATCTCTGCTGAGGCTGCGACGCCGTGTTGGGTCAAAGTCCTGGAGCTCGGCTCCGTCGGCTGCCCCGGTGATCGCTGTGCATGACGGCCTCCTCATGCGTTGGGATGTCCAGTTGGAGTGCTATTGTGTGGTTGTGCCCATTGGCTTGCGAGGTAAGTTGACTCGGGCCATTCACGAGAAACTTTTGCGCCTCGGCTACCACAAGACCTTGTTAACCCTTAAACGGGACTACTATTGGCCGGGTGTGGAGGATGATGTGGCCCTTATTTTGAAAGGTTGCCACGACTGTGCAGGGAAGAAGGCCCCAGTTGGTCAGGATCAGGCCCTGCTGAGATCCATCCGGGTTTCTCGTGTTAATGAGATTGTGGCCCTGGACATTTTGGGGCCATTCCCTGCATCCCAACGGGGCCACAGGTACCTCTTGGTGGGGTGGAGTACCTCACGCGTTGGCCTATGGCGTGGTCTCTGGTGGACCAATCGGCCTCGTCTATCACCGAGGCGTTCGTTCAAGGATATCTTCTCGACAAGGGGGCGCTAGAACAGCTCCTGACTGATCAGGGGCAGAATTTTTCGTCCCGGTTGCTCAAGGAGGTCTGTGACCTCCTTGGGATGAAGAAGGTCCACACCTCTCCCTACCACCCCCAGTCCGGCGGGATGGTAGAGCGGTTGAACCGTTTGCTCACGTCCATACTGTGCCATCATGTGAGCACGTCCCAATCGGACTGGGACCTGTTCATCCTGAAGGTGCTGGCCGCGTACAGGTTGGCTCCTCATGCCTCGACAGGGTTCTCCCCTTTTTAACTCATGTAGGGGGGGAACCCGAGCCCCCGATGCACGACCTAGGCCCTGCCAAGAAAGGTTCACCTGTTCCACCAGGCTGTTGGCCTGTCGAGGGAAAGGGTCAGTTGGCATGGCTGCACTGCCCTCAAGTGCCGGTGGGTACGTCCCCTAAATTAAATCGCCCATTGCAGGGCCCTGTCGAGGTTGTGGAGATCCGCCAACCTCAATGTGTTCGTATTCGGTGGGGCTGTCGCCACTGGATCGTGCACCCGTTGCGGCTCAAGTGGGTGGTGCCTCCTGGGCTCTCTGATTCATCCCCATTCCCAGAGCGGCCAGCGATTGATGCGTCCAATGAACCGGGCTGCGGGGGTCGTGCCCTGCCCTTGTGTACGCCTACAGAGCCACCGCCAGTGACGCCGCCGGTGCCGGGCCTTCCGGGGGATGTCCCGGCGGCGGCCCTGTCCCCCTCCGAACCACTGCCTGGTTCGAAGGCCAACGCAGCAGGAGGCAGTGGCCTGCCATTGGGGGCGCCTGCGGAGCTCCCGCTGGTTGTGCCGCTGGCGGCGTCTCGCCCTGTCCATGTAGGCTTGCCGTCGGCCAGTGCGTCACCATGCTTCGGCGGCCGACGCCACGCGAGGGTGCGGGCCCGCGGCGGGCACGCGTTCAAGGGGCGTACCCATATGCTGACGGCCTGTGGAGCCGTCTTCTTCCTTCTCAGCCTTGCCGCCACTTACCTTACCCCGAGTGGTGACTCCTTCCAGACTGTATTTTGTTCCGTGCTGCCCTAGTGTTGTGTTCGTATGTGTCGCTTGCGTTCTTTGTCATTGGAATTTCCCACCGGGTAGACTCCGCTCATGTGATAGTTTCAGCCAGGTCGGCTGTTTTTTTTCACGGGGGGGTGGGGGGGTGATGTTGAGGGGTAGTTATGACGTTACATCACGCTCAACCTCCAGTGCAGTGACGTCAGAGAAGTGACGTCATCCACGGGGGGCGGGACAGTGACGTCATGTCCCCCTGGAGAGGGTGGAAGCCGGGACCCAGGGTAGGGTGATCCAACACGAGGCGAGAGTGGCTGTTTCACCCGGCCGGCCGATGTTGGTTCAGCCCTCGGATGGTGCAGTGGGAAGAGCCCAGATAGCCGGGGGGTGTTAGGATTCCCAGTACCCTTCCCTTGCGGAGAAATATGCTAGCCCTTAATAAGTTCCTAGGCGGAGCCCCTAATAAACCTTGGCATCAGCCCTTACGAAGATCTGCGTCCGTGTCATCATTAGCACCTCAACAGACGTATGCATACTGAAAAGAAAATATTTTCCACATATATAAAGCCAACAGCCTCTCTATTTCTATATAAGGGCACTCTCTCAGTAACTGGCATATACCAAAGCGGGTGCTGTGAGTGCAGTGTTTACTTGGAGGAGCTGCTGTCGTATTGGTCGTGGTCGTGATTGCTGGCAGACGAGTTGGTCCTGGCGTCGATTCTAATGGGAGGAATGTTTGGTTTACGAAATGTCGCATTTACAGAATTATGGACACTTTTCATTATTGAACCTTTTCGAAAATTTGACAAAACCAAATCGAATTCTGCGTTAACGAAATTTCGAACGGCACGCGCAATGAAATCAAACAAGAAGCATCAGGGAGGTTGCATCATCCATCCGCGACAGTGTCACAGCTATCCCTGCAGTGCAACAGTAACGCTTCCACATCATCTTTCTGTTCATCCCAACAATCTTATCTTTTCGTGAGATCCCTGAAAAGGTACATTCTTTTAAATGTATTATTCAATTGTTTTAAATTTATGTTCTTTATTATTGTTTGAATTGTGAAGGTGATATAGGTGTATATTTTAGGTTAGGAGTAGAGTTGCAATGATTGTCCAAAACACTTCCCAAACTTTTTTTTTATTAAATGGATGGGAAAAGTGATCCTGATTTTCGAAATTTAGTTCTATGCCTGTTTTTGAAGAACGCATCCCTATCGTAAATCCATGGATACCTGTATTATAAAGGGTACTTAGATGTTAACTTGTACTTTTTTTGTTTGGCTAATCATAAAATAACACAAGTGGTCGTAGCAAAATCTGGAAATTCCCATGTCAAATGACATGACAGATGCGCAAAGCAGTTTGGGTATTTTAAGATAGCAGTTCACGGTGTGTTATGGTTGTCATGTGCTATGGGACAGGATTTTGTAATTAAGTTTATAGTTTCGATTTAAAGCTTTCGTGACTGCAGGGATTCATCTTCTTGGTTCTTTCGGTAAAGTCACGTAGAAGGGAAGTAATAAAATAATAAAAATAAAACATAATAAAATAAAATAATTCTCACGACGTTTCGGCTACAACGCAAGCAGCCGTCTTCAGGTGAAGAATGAGACAATGCCAAGCTAAGAGCTTATATATAAGCTGCGTTGGAGGTGGAAGAGGAGCGCCTTAACAAAAGAATGTGCATATGAAGAGGAATTTAGCATATTCATGGAAAATGCGTAGGAGGTGGGCGGGGGGGGTTTCAAAGTCATATTATGCCCATGCATTATGCAGGATCAACAGCACCAAGGGGGGGTGCAGGGATTAGCAGTAACAAAGGAAAGGAATGTTAATGATATGTAGCTGCAGTTACTAAACAACCACGTAGAAAACTAAAGTATAAACTACATAAAAAACTAAAGTATAAATTGCATAGCACCATCAGTATACTTACTATACTCTACAATAAGCTGAGTTACTAACAGCAAGTAATACATTACAATTCTACGTCGTAAAAATTATATAATATGCTTCCATCTAAACTTTATTCTATTGCATCACACGAGCATATACCGTACTATATACTGCCAACATTAAATTATATACTGTATTGCTGTAAACCTTATACATTTAATATACATAGTGTTATATTAAATGTATAAGGTATGTATAAGGTTGGTTTACAGCAATACAGTATATAATTTTTAATGTTGGCAGTATATAGTACGGTATATGCTCGTGTAATGCAATAGAATAAAGTTTAGATGGAAGCATATTATATAATTTTTACGACGTAGAATTGTAATGTATTACTTGCTGTTAGTAACTCAGCTTATTGTAGAGTATAGTAAGTATACTGATGGTGCTATGCAATTTATACTTTAGTTTATTATGTAGTTTATACTTTAGTTTTCTACGTGGTTGTTTAGTAACTGCAGCTACATATCATTAACATTCCTTTCCTTTGTTACTGCTAATCCCTGCACCCCCCCTTGGTGCTGTTGATCCTGCATAATGCATGGGCATAATATGACTTTGAAACCCCCCCGCCCACCTCCTACGCATTTTCCATGAATATGCTAAATTCCTCTTCATATGCACATTCTTTTGTTAAGGCGCTCCTCTTCCACCTCCAACGCAGCTTATATATAAGCTCCTAGCTTGGCATTGTCTCATTCTTCACCTGAAGACGGCTGCTTGCGTTGTAGCCGAAACGTCGTGAGAATTATTTTATTTTATTATATTTTATTTTTATTATTTTATTACTTCCCTTCTACGTGACTTTACCGAAAGAACTAAGAAGATAAGTTTATAGTGATGGAAAATATCAAACCAGTTGAAATTTACAGGTTAGCTATGTGATATGTTTTTCTCAAGTTGAAGTGTAGATGGGTGGTGCAAAAGGTTTAAAGGTCATAACAATTGATGATGTGAAAACATGCACCATGAAATGGCTATGTACATTTCTTAACGAATATGCGTCTGGAAATAAGGCGTTATAACACCAATTTAACAAATGTGTGTGTGTTTATCAGGGGAACAATTTTACAAACATGGTCTCATTGCATGCCACCGTTAATATGTTTAATGTGTTATAGTAATGTTTAAATAAGTTAAAACACAGCATATGGAATTGCAATTTATATAAAAATGACTGATTCTTTAGCCTGATATCCATTTTATAATTCCTAATGAAGCAACATTTTATATATAGGATATTATTTCCATAGGCTCTAATTTATGATACTTTCATCATTACTGTGAAAGTTAAGAGCACTGTAATCTTAGGTTGATGTTTGGGCTGTGCATATTTAATTGGTGTTGACACTGCTGATGGTGATTTTATTGATGTGGGAAATGCAGTTGCTCTTACATCTGTAGACACAGACGATTCAAAAGGTGGGACCTCGGTGCCTTCATGGTATAGAGAACGTTACCGGCAATAATTAAATTATTTGTGAAGGATTATATTTATGTTTCTAATAATCGTGAACCTTTAAAAATTATAATTTACCATCAGGCATTGTTAGAAACAATTACGGTGCTGTGATCTCAATGTCATCTGTTTTGGGTACATTTACCTGTTGTTGATCCTGCTGGAGAATTTGGTGCTGATGTTGATTCTAACGATGGAACCTCGGTGCCTATATATAGCAAAGAGCACAGCAGGGAAATGTATGGGTTTTTGGTGTTTCAGTCGTCATTGTGAAAAAGACATCTATCAGCATTAAAATTGTAATGAGTCTGATTTTAAGTGCAAGAGTGTACACAATAGAATTGTATTTATTATTGCAGCGAAATTAATTATGCTTCGTTGTAAAATGTCTTGATGTAGTGCTGTAGTATTTTCATGCTTATATTGGATGCATTTACCTGGTGTTGACGCTGCTGATGGTGATTTTGTTGTCGATGTCGGAAATACAGTTGGGGGTAAATCTGTAGTCTGTGAAGGAGCTGGTGTTGAGTCGAAAGGAGGGGCTTCGGTGCCTTCATTACATAGAGAATGTTACACGCAAGTAAGAAGTTAATTATTTGTGCAGGATTGCATTTCATTGTTCATAATCGTGACCCTTTTATTATAACAATGATGTTTGGTGGTATATCATGTATTGTTACGGTGCTGTGATCTCAATGTCATATGTATTGTGCTGTGATCTCAATGTCATATTTGCATTGTGTGCTTTTATCTGGTGTGGATTGTGCTGGAGGATTTGGTGCTGATGGTGATTCTAATGATGTGGTATCGGTGCCTTTATTGTGTAAGAAATGTAATAGACAGGTCATCAATTAGCTTTTAAGGATTTTTTTATTAAGATTTCATAAGAAACGTATATTAGTGCTGCTAAACCAATATCCATAGTAACATTTTGAATGTTGTCTGATAGTAAACAGTCTATTAAGTGCTGTATTTGGTATATTTACTTGGTGGTGATGATATTGCTGATGGTGACTTTGTTGTTGGTATTGGAAATTAAGTTGCTAGTTAATCTGTTGATTGTAGAGGAGCTGGTGCTGATGGAGTTGGTGCAGGTGTTGACTCTGATGATACCACATAGCGAATTACTTGAAGAAAAAATGTTATGCAAGTATGTATTGGTATTAATACGGAGTTTTAATAATGCTGACCTTTTTATGGTAAATTGTCAAATATGTCACATTTTGTGTTTGAATTTGCCAAAGTAAAAGGCTTAAAATATATCAAAGCTGCCATTTAAAATCCACTGCTGAGGATGTATCAATACCCTCTGGATATGCTGATGTAGTTCACTTGATTGTGGCATGGATGCAATGTCCTTTTTGAGCCCATTCACTCTTTGTATCCTGTGTTCTAAACATTTCAAAGGTTTTTACTTCACTTCTCTCACAAAACCTCTCCATCATCATTCATGACACTCTTTTAAGTACAAAGAAAAAACAAACATTGTCTACTTTCCATTATTCTGTTATAAAAACACGTTCTGCAACTCATTTTGAATTCATTTGGTGAATTGAAATAGTAAAAATGTAGTTGTTAAACACAGCATATATTATACACACTGAGATATGTATTTCTACATATATATAAAATTCGAATCGAATGCCGCCGCTGTTCTGACAGGAGGCGGAGCTCAGACGGTAATGCGAGCGATGGGGAGTGGCTGTAAATACAGATGAAACTTCGCTCGCTCGCCCACCGCTCACCTCCTGCTGTGCGGCCCGGTTCCTAACAGGCCACGGACCGGTACCGTTCCGCAGCGCAGGGGTTGGGTACCCCTGCTCTAGAGAGTTCCAGGGGCTCCCACACGAGGTCTACCATGACCCTTTCCCCAGTTCCTCCACCCTGTCGGCGAACCCACGTATAGGCTCAGCGGTGTGTGCGCTAAGTGTCCACCTGCAGTTGCTGCTGCTGTTCAACAGTCAGCGCTATGTCACTATACATGTCTAATGACAGTGTGCCATTGGTTGACCAGGAGGGGTAATCACGAGAATTGGTGCATTATATAATAACCAACTAGAAAGGGGGCGTAACTGGGTTAAAGGTAAAAGGCGGGGGTCAGTCGGGAAGCTCTGGGAACCTGCTCGAAGGTTATAGAAGGGGGCGTGGCCAGAGGCGGGGCCTGGCCACACAGGGAAGTATATAAGTGGGAAGTGACCGTCGCTGTCTTCGCCGTCATCTCTTTTCATCATCTGGCCGCATGGCCAATCCTCTGTATGGCTCCCATCGTCGTCGCTATATTAGTCAGTCAGCTATATAGTTAGACGCCGACGATGGGGCTGCGTAGATGGGTCAGCTATGTGTAGCCGTGTATATATATGTTGCCCAGTGATTGTGCCTGAAGTGTGAGAAATAAATAAGAATCTCTCTACACGTTAAGTCTCGGAAGTCACTCACCACACATGTATAGTGATTGACTCAGAGACACTAAGAGTAGGAGGCACTCTGTTTATTAACAGCCTTAACACTTAGTAACTACAGCTCCCAGTCAGCACAGCTGGCAGACTGCCTGACTGATGACGCCAAGAAGGTGAAGACGGAGACGGTGACGAAGACTCCAGCAGCACCACGAGATCCCACTCCAAACGACAGCACCGAGCTCTTGCTCGGGGCCTCCTTTTATGCTCCCAGCGTGGCCTTGCTTTTTTCCAGCCACGCCCCCTTTCTATAACCTACTAGCGGGTTCCCAGGCTTCCCCCACGTGCCCCTTCTGTAACCTTTCCCTACATCCCTCTCTCTGGTCTATCACGTGACCTGCTGTCAGTCAGTGCTGCTGTAACTACAGATCCCTTTCCCTGCCAGCAACAAGCGCTATTCTGCTAAGTGACCGATTCTATGTCACTACACATGTATAAACCTAAAACATTGTCTCTTGCTGAGGGCATTCCGAGGAAATAGTGTAAAAGGTCTGCTAATATACATAACAAATATACATACCATGTATTTATTATTGTAAATTAAGCAGTACGAAAACAGAAACATTTATATTTTTTATTCAGTATTGCTCGGATGCATCCGACCCTCTCCCTCGCCTTAGGCTGATGCTCTGCTGGTACAGTCCGGATTTGGTGGTGAATTGCGTCATCAGGCCAGTTTCGAATGCATTGTTGTGCTTATGGTTGTGGTTGTAATGCGGTTATGGTTGTGATTATAATGTTATCATGGTTTTGATAATAATGTGCTTATGAGTATGGTTATCATGTGCTTATGGTTGTGGTCATAATACTGTAGTTGTGTTTATGTGTTTATAGTTGAAATTATAATGTGCTAATGGTTGTGGTTAGAATATGGTTATGGTTGTGGTTATGTGGTTATAACATTGTTGTTAATGTTGTTGATTAAAAGTAGACCAGAGAGTGTCATTGGGAAATTAATAGCAAGCTATCCATAGCACTTGCAAAAAAAGGTGTCAGTTTTGTTGCCAGATAGAAGGGTAAAAACCCAATTATCAAGAGGTGACTACTTATATATTCTGGCTTTCTTATGGCCCCAAGCCCTGCTGGTCACCTATCCAATAACTTAGCAGGCTCAATGCTGCTTAGCTGACAACATACAATTTGATGGGGTGCATTTATGATTCTTCGGTCAAATACAATTGTAGTGACATCATGGATATCACTGTATTGTGCCAGCCCCGGAAGGGTCGTGCCGTTCGATGTTCCTACATCGTGGACAGCACCGTGTGGGTGGCTGTGTGTAATACCAGCCTTAGTGTGTGGTAGGGGCTCCCCTGAGGGGGAGGGTGTGAGTGTCAGCCCAGAGGCAGGGATGCCCCGGCCATGGCACTCTGGTTGACCCCGTAGACACGTGATCCGGAATGTCCACACAGGGGGCCCCGGGTGGGGGGACTGGTGGGTGATCACATGTGCGGAGAGAACTCTTGAGAAGGTTCAAGAGGGAACGGGAATGTTCAGGAAGGCAGGCAGGGCTGATGGCGGAGCGGCCCCTACCGGAGAAAGATATAAGGCGGGTACCTGAGAGGGACCGGAGTTACTGCATTCTACAAGCTGGAAGCTCAACATCTACAAGTGGGAAGCTCTACGTCTCAAGCTGAAGCTCTTTGTCCTCCGAGGCAACCACATGGTCGGAGACCCATGTGAGGGATCGACTCTTCGTAGCAGTAACTCGCTGTAGTCTGGTAAAGGGGCAGTTACCCCTTTGTATTACGGTGTTACGGTGTTACAAATAAAAGTGTTGCCTCTAAAAGGAGCAACGTCAGTGACATTAGCGGAGCTGGGTGCCGTCCGGGCGTTCGATGCTTCGCCGTCGGCAGTGGTGACCCTACGGGAGGCGTACGAGTGTCTCGCGGAGCTCCTCCATACGGCGACTTTGGTCTTGGCAGAGTTTATCCTTGCGGTCACGCCGGTGACGGAAGGAGCAGCAAGACCGCTCATTTCACGACAGGCGGGAAATGCGGTGGTGCAGCCTGCGTGATTGGCCGCCATTTTACCGCCTGCACGGAGCGCGCAGCCCGCCAAACTTGAAGGCGTGCCGTCGGCGCCGAGGGACAGCCCGGCACTCCAATGTCAGCTTCCCTTTGTCGAAGACATCATGGCTCCCGACGGCGACTGGGTGGCCTTCAAGCAGTGTTTCCTCGTGAACGCCGGCTTGGCGGGATGGTCGGAGAAGGAAGCGCTGTGGGCGCTACCTGCCGCCCTTGCAGCGTTTCTCGCCATCCCGCCACTGGAACGATCCACCCTTACGCAGGCCTTCGATCAACTGGCGTCCATATACAGGCCTCCGGCGGACATGCACCACAGAGTCGCCAAGTGCGTCTGAGCCCAGAAACTTTTGCATCAGGACGAGGCGCTGGCGACTTGCGCTGTGTCCTGCACAGAGCCGGGGCCACCGCATATTGCGGGGCCCCTTACGGAAGGCGCGTCGACTCGGATGGGTGGTGACCGGGATAACGGTGGCACGCGGCAGAAGGACAAGCGGAGGCAGTCGAGGTCGTCTTTTCGTTCAAGAGGTGGCTGTGATACCTGCTACCAGTGCGGCCTGTCGGGCCACATGGCTTCGGGCTGCCGCGTCCCACATCGGCGCCTCCCGGCATCACCGCCATCCTGCTCTCCTCTACGACCAGATGCGAGTCGCGACGCACTCCATACTCAGCCCCTGGCCTACCTTCACTCATCTAGGCCATTTGGTTCAAGGCCCGATCGCGTGTCGGTAGGGGAAAGTCCTACGCGTAGTCGCGAGGTGCGCCAGCTCCAACCGGGTGAGTGGTCGGAACTGGCCCATCGAGTTGTGGTTGCAACCGATAATTCGTCTATGGTGCTTGGGTCTATCGAGGGTGTGGAGATGAGGATAGGCCTCGGCAAGGTAAGGTAAATTACCTTTTTTACCGGGTAAAAGGGTAAAGGTAAAAGATAAAGGTTTCGACATGCCAAGGGGTAAAGTAAAGGGTAGGGTAAAAGGTAGCTCAGAAGAATTACCCGGTAGGGCAAAAGTAGCGCGAATAATTACCTGGTAAATACTGTACCTTGTTTACCGCTAAAAGCTCCGTGGCGCA